ATTACTTATTGGCCGAGGGAAGGGTAGCAGCGTACCTCTTAAAACGTCACCAAAGCCTACCTGCGGTTGCCAACCTGTCTGCCGAGCATGGCAACTACTAGCAAACCTCCCCAATAGGGGGAGGCCTATGTTCAATAGTGGACAATTAACGGCTATACGGATATATGGTATTATTTTCCCATAATACCATATCAGGCTTTAATGGTCCACTTGTGTCGTACGGTCCCGGAATAGAATGTGCCACCCCTTCTTTTCCCGTGGGTGTTGTACGAAGCTACTAAGAAAATTTAATGGTTGATAAAAGGGCTGCGACCTTCTTTAATATCCCCAAAACCTAACTGCGGATTTTTTTTTAATGGGTGATAATGGAATGGTATACGCCGGCGGGGCACCAGTGAAGGATGATAGGTGAGGATGAAGCAGGTCAGTTAGCCCATCGTGACGAATTCAACAAGAATTGTTCACGTTGGTTTCCAGGGAGAACCACGTTGAGGTCGACCTAATAGGGCATATTGCTAGCAATGGAGCTCTCAAACTCCATTGCTAACAATCCGTTTCCCCCACCTAACTGCGGTTACCAACCCAACTACCAAGCATGATAACTACTAGCAAAACCTCCCAAGGGGAGGCCTATGTTCAGCAATAGACAGCTGCTAACGGCTGATATTATAATAAGAAATAGTTGCCACTTTCCATCAGGTGGACCGTCGGCTTGTTTGCCGGTCTAAGTTGCATAAAAAATATCACTTTTCTCGATGATTCGATCATATTAACAGGTTCTCACTTTCCATTTAATGTAACTTTACTATAGGTACCATAATTTATGTGTTATAGATAGGTAATACTCGATATCATAGGATATCGCATTAATATACGTTTCTTAGTACAATTATATAATTATTTAGAACATCTGGAACATTTAAGAACTCTAGTTATAGATTTTATTAATCATCCGACTTTAAAAAGACAGGGGTTCTCAACTCGGTTTTACGTTTTCTTTTTTTGCTAATATTTGTTACCTCATAACTCCGTTAGTAGTGAACCGATTTGGAAAATTCTTTTTTTATCTGAAAGAATGTACTTACATATTGGTCCCATAGAAACTTTATCCAAATTAGTTTAGTAGTTTAGTTTATAGACCAAAAAAACTGGTTTTGTCACAATTGAATTCGGTTAGTTTTTGTGAAACACAATCTACATTAATTTTGGAAATCAACTAACATAATATAATATAATATAACGTTGCTTTGCTTAAATGCTACCCAGTTTAGGAAACAAACTTAAAAAAAAAGGGTCTGAGTGTGCTGCGTTGTACCTTCAGATGGTGGTCATCTGGTTCATTATGAAGTAGGGTATCCTTGTTTGAGGATCAGGAGATAATCACTACTCGGAAATGGCGGCTAATATGGAAGAGTGTGAAACTTCTGGTAGTAATAGTGGTGGTCAATCTTCTAGTGTTGGCAGTCACACACGTACACTAATGGTAGCGGCATTAAACAAAATAAGTCTAATCACATTACTGGGGGGAAAGGGATTGTTAGTAATAGAGACTGAGAATCCCATTGCTAGCAATATACCCAACCAGGTCGACCTCCTCGCGGTCCCCCCTGGAAACTATCATGGTTAATTCCTGATGAATTCATCATGATGGGCTAACTGGCCTGTTTTCATTCTCATCTATTACCCTTCACTGGTGCTCCGCCAGTGTATCCCGTTAGCGCAGGTGGGGTTACCATACCATTTTCACCCATCAAAAAATCATATAACTGAACAAAAAAAAAAACAATTACTTCATCAATTTAAGAATTAAAGCGTTAACTCAAAAACATGCATGAATTATAAAAAATAAAGTATCAAGATTGCAATAAGATATTTTCAAGTAAGACCAGAAATATACACATCAATTGTAATAGTGTTGGTAAATATACATATTGATTTAATAGCATATTATGTAAAAAAGAAACTATAGCGTCGAGCTTTATTAGATAAAGGAGGGGGAGGGGGAGATCTCATTCGATTAATGTACCGCAGATCTCACACGGTATAGTTACGCCACTAAGTATGTTATTTAGACTTATTTATAACTTCATATCCTTGCGTTCAACGAATCACTAGAACATTCGATCGCAATCTCCCGATCAGTGTCGCAACGATTATGCCGCGAACTTAATCGCCGGCCACGCGGTACGTTTGCAGGAGATCACCAACTAGTGATGTCCGAGAGAGACTGACTCGATAACCTATTAGGTATTCTACTAATCGAGTACCCAATGCCCTAATATTATGATCCGAATTTTGTATTCGAATATATTCGAACATAAGTTTCGTATACTTCCAATACTAATACAGTAATACTAGTCACGACTTTATCGTAAACTTTATTCTTTCGTTTTTGTCGTTTCATTATTTTTTTACGGAATTTTCTAAACGAAGCGATTAATTAAATGAATATTATTCGTATTTTTTTCAAAATAAGCTTCAGAAATCATTTGAAATATTACTTAAGTCTAATGATGTACTCGAATACAAGTATTCGAGTTCCTAACGGGGTCCCGTACTTACTCGAATCCTCTGTTTTGATGTATTTTTTTAACGAGTACCAAAAAGGCCGACTCGGCACATCTCTACCGCCAGCTGGCAGCATTTATCACCATTTTAATGTCCGCCGGTGTTGCCCGACCGGATTAATGTGCGCCGCCCGCCCGCCATAAAGTGTAAAGTGAGTGGACAACGATTAACTTAAGTGGACTGCCGTAAAGTGTAAATATAGTGCCGTGATCAACTAGCCGCGGACCACCTTCGCTATGCTTTTGAGGTTATTGGACACTTATCATTAAAATGTAATCTTGTTTTAATAAGTTAACTGCTTATAATGCGCCGGCAAGAGATTAAATTCGCGCTCCATTATACAGTACTTGAAGTTCGAACATAAACAATGAGATTAATGGTTCAGTGTTGCCTGTGATGGAAGCGTTTCCTGGCTCCACTGTATCGACAACCTGTTTTTAGCGGGGTTTGTCGTAAAGCGGCCGCTTTGTTCGGAGCTCTTCTGCGATAACGAGACATGTAACGCGCCCCGGGGCTCCGCTGATTCATGTTCAGATTTATAATAAAGCTATTATGCGGCCCGTTCGGTTTCGCATGCGAATATTTTAATGAACACGATCTCTGGCTCGCTTATTGTTTAACTTGCGGGAATACGAGAAAGTGTGTCGGTGCTTCGATTCAATTAAACGTCTGGTTGTTCAGTACGAGTATATGTGAATAGTATTATAATGTACGATGTATATTGCACCACACATCAAGTGAACGTTCCTTCGTAACGCACTCACGCGCACTCCGGGTGCATAGTAATTACAGTCGACGAGCTAGACAGCCCGGCTACCACCCAACGCGAAGATAAAATGCATTCAGTCTAGGATACTCACGATTTTCTTATGCAAAAAGTACACGAGCGCGAATAATTGATCCTTCGTGCCGGATGTTTCATTATATCGAAACATGTCTTCAATTTATTCCAACAGAGAGCGTCTCTGTTATAAATTTAATGGAGTTGATATAATTTTAAACAGATTGCCTACGATTACCGTCTAATAATAAACGTTTTATAAATAACGTTGCGAATAGCACGTTAAATAAATAGATACTCAACGGTTCCTCGCGTCCTTATATTGAAATGTACTTGCATTTCAATGGAAACGTTTATGTTCATCGCCTTCTTACCATAAATATATCGAATTTATTTTGTTTACAAAACTTGGAAAAGCCTTCTCGAGTCGATGTCCAATATACGAAGACTCGCCTTTCTCTCACTTTTCTTAGGATAACGCCCAGAAGCAGGTATCTTGTAGACTTGGTCGGTGTGTATAGACAAAATGGCACCTCGGCGTGCATTGAGATTATCTTTAATGCAGTTGTCGCCAAATGAGAATGGAAGCGATGCGAGTAACAGTTTCAAGTTGTTAATGCTCCTATATAGACCTACATAACCTTAGGCTTAGGTACCATCTATCTATATTTATTTGTACTTTTTTATCTGTCTTACTTTGTACAAGTTTTAAATGAACTTTAAAAAAAAAATGTATATTTCCAATATTACATTTATTCTAAATATCAATCTCCGCGCTCGAGAAATCTACATTATCTATTTCTTTTTCTGACAGAATATTTGATTTTATTTTTTACAGCTTAGCTTTTTGACAATCTCTCAATAAAAAAAAAAATAACTATTAATGCCCGTCTTATATTATAGGTACACGTTTTAGGTTTTTCGTGGCAGTACCTTGAACAGTTATGCAAGGATATTCCTAATTATCAACCGTCATACTAATAGCCCCCGACTTGTAACTGGCGATAATTAGTGCGGGTATTAGATATAATCCAACCGCTAGTAATTACGTAGGTTTATAGTTGAACATTATTCATAGACTTATTTCGCTCTATACCGCTTGTAGGTTGAAATAATTAGGCTACACTATTTTCATATACAAATCTGGGTATAATTTACTAGCTACAATTTTCTTGCCTACATTAATAAGTAGTTATATTTATTAAATTTCTAACTACAGCAACATTCAGTAAAACATAGTTCTAAAATGGTTCAGATGTGAGTACAACATAGAATTATATTGAAGACCCAGATTCGCGCCAATTGAAAATCATACATACAATCTCATTACACTTTAGTGGTCTTTTACCTTTAAATAGCTGTGGTTTCAAACTCCGCACAATAAATATTTGTATAAATGAATATATCTGAATTTATGGGCTGGCCATTTCCTATGTCTTTAGTATAAATAAAAAAATCTTGAAAAATATTTTAGTACCACGTGACGTGACGTGAACAAACTTTGTTGTCTATGGATTTATTCAAATTATTTGTAGCTAACTACTTACTAATAATATTAGCTCTGCTTAGTTTGAAACTAAATAGAGTTGTGTGATAAATTTCAAAGATGACTTATTATTAGAAGTACTCATTTGTGATGTATTTGTTACAGATGCATCTAAGTTCAGTGCAAGTGGTGTGCGCGGCTCTGGTGACGCTGGCGGTGAGCGCGGCGGCGGCGCCCCCGGCGGCGGCGCCGCACCACGTCGCGAGGCGCTCCTTCTTCAACCTACAGTGTAAAGGCGTTTACGACGCAGCCATATTCGCCCGCCTCGACAGGATCTGTGACGACTGTTACAACCTCTTTAGAGAACCACAGCTCTATACTCTATGCAGGTTCGTTGCGTTTTATATATTTAATCTGTGGCGGTTTTAGTTAGGCGGGAAAGATAATGAGATTTTATTTTAATTTTTTTGATTTCCCCAATGCATCTAAAAAGTATTAAAGTTAATAAAATGTTTATATATAACACAATACTGTTTAAAATTTAAATACATTCAAAATACAATTTATACATTATTTTCCAGTACCATAAATATGAAAACTTTTCATTCATTCGTGTGAAACAACTGTACAGTTTCCGCTGTTTCCTTAGCTAAGATAACTTTTTAAAAAGTCAATTGACTCCAATGACTGAATATGTTGATTGTTGGGGCAGGCAAGACTGTTTTACGACAGACTACTTCAAGGGGTGCGTCGAGGTGTTGCAGGAGACGGATCAGCTAGAACTATTCAAGACCTATATAAAACAATTACACGGGGCCGATCCAGGGATTTAGGTACTTCGGTTTGATTTTTTTTTTTTATTTTACTCCTTTGCCTGGTTTCTCTAGCGCTTTGAATTTATTAAACCTTCTGGGGATTCTTAATGCTTTTTTCATCTTTTAAGGTTTTTTAAAGTAACAGCAATTGTTTTTTTTCTTTCAGCACTCTATCTAACACTTTTAGATTATTACCTGCAAATATTTAATTAGTTAGATATTATTTTAATTATGACTAACAGCATGTGCTATTTTCAAATTCGCTTTAAAGTATTCTATAAAGAATAATTTTGCTTAAAGTACTTACTAATATTTGCCTCGTGGTCTCGGCATAGAATAGGCCACCCCTTTTCCGTGGATATCGTAAGGGGCTACTAAGGGAATCTAATAGTCGAAGGATGGGCAACAGCGTCCCTTTTACAACATCACAAAAGCGTAACTGCGGTTACCAATCCGCCTGCCAAGCGTGGCAACTACTGGTAAAACTCCATTTACGAGTAAGTGGGACGCCATCTATGTTCAGCAATAGATAGTAGATGGCTGATATGATAATTATGATGACAAAAAAGATGAGCAAAAAGCAAATTAAGATCTCAGGAAAAATTGGAATCGACGAATCGAAATTCAAATTAAAGCTCTGCATACAGGAGCATATAGCGACGTAACATGTTGAAAGGCTGCAATATAATAAGGACTCTTAGACAACTGTCAAGCGAATCCATCGATGGAATCGTTATGGCTAGCGATAGTCCATAAGTAGAAATGAGACATCAGACGTCGCTATCTCATTCTTTTTTTAATATTATATGGATGGTAATGGAATAATAACCCTGTCTGCGCTATCAGTATCTACTGACAGGGCATCAGTGAGAAATGATAGGTGAGATCAGTTATTAGCCTATCGTGAACAATTCGACATGAATTCACTACAATGGTTTCCAGGGGGAACCACGTGGAGGTCGACTTGATAGATGATTACATTGCTAGCAATGAGGCCGTTAGACCACATTGCTAGTAGTCCCTTCCCCCCTCCGAAGTGTAACGGTTTAACACACCGCCTCTTGGGGGGAAAAGGGATTGTTAGTAATGGAGACTAAGAATCCCATTGCTAGCAATATATCCAACCAGGTCGACCTGCTCGCGGCTGATGAATTCATCATGATGGGCTAACTGGCCTGTTTTCATTCTCATCTATCACCCTTCACTGGTGCCCCACCAGCGTATCCCGTTAGCGCAGGCGGAGTTACCACTCCATTTTTATCCAATAAAAAAACACACCGCCTTGCTTTATTATGATCGCGGGTTTGATTCGGCACAATATAAACATTCGTACAATATTTGTATTCTGTAGGACTTTATGTATTCATTAAAAAAAAATTAAGTAAACTACCAGTTGTATTATAAAACAACTGATAGAATACTCAGTACTCCCATAGTACAATTTCTGTTTAATTTAGGAATAGATGGCGCTGAGTAATTTTTTCACTGATAATTTAAATATAAAGAAAATATTTGTATTAAACATTGAAGTATATATAAAAAAAATATTTGGCAACGTTTTAAATAGTTATAAAATTGTTCTTCAGGTAATCTAATAACTGCATGAAACATTTTTAGCACTTCTAAACTTCTTGCATATTTTTCCATCTGCTACTTTACTGCAAAACTGCCTTCTAATCTGTATTTTAGATATAAAGAAGCTTTATTTTATCATAAGTTACTTATTAGACACCTCCGTATCTCTTTGTCACATCTAAGCCGAAGTTAATTTTGGAAAATAAATTTTGAAACTGGCTAATTGCGATGACAATCACTTTTTGAATATCTGTTGACTTTATTTGGATTTTTCATTCATTTAATACTTATATAGTTGCTATTAGATGTAGATTTAGTATAAGAATTATATTGAAATTAAAAACTTAATGAGAAAACCAATTAAGTAAATAAATGAAAATTTAATATCAAACCTAATTAGAAATGTAGGTCCCTAGTTTGTAATCTAATACATTAAATTCTAATTTGATTATTCTCGTTTCAGGGCAAAATGCTTCACTACGCCCTATTTCAAGGGTTGCATGGAGTCTTTGTACCTCTACGACGAGGAGGAACAGATAGATCAAATGATCGACTTCGTCGGGAAACGCTAACGCATACAGCCAGCCCATTTCGCGCCAACTCTTGACACACGACGCCATCTTGGTATAACCCAACCAAGTGAAAAACGCCACCATTATATAACAACAATGTATTATTGAAACGGTATCACAACTCCACCGCTTTGCCAACATAAAGCATAAACAAATGTCAAGTTCCTCCAGTTGACGTTTGCTTGCTATCCTCAACGTATTCTAGTCTTCGAAGCGACATAAATTAATTTATGTTTGCAACTAATTGTAATGTTATAATTAATGTGTATACAATTTTAAGGACATTATTAGTGTATTTTAAAAAAATATACATTTTGTGTTATTAGGTATGTGTTGTAAGCTTGACAGGTGATTGTATATTACATTATACGTAGAACTGTGTATATGTACACCTCCTAGATATAAAAAAAAATATGAATCGAGAGGCAGTTGTATATTCTGGTTCGGTTCGTATTTTCGAGATGCCTGCCTTTCATTTTTGTCAATGTTACTCTCCGACTGAGATTGTCAATTTTAATGGTCATTGCATTCCAATCACAGTATTTATACTTACGCTTCTTTTGTTTTAAATTTCTTCTTCTATCTTTTTGTTCGCATTGAGTATTATGTACAGTATGAATTATTATTTAATATAAGACTAACTGTAGTTAGAAATTATTGTAAATCACGTAAGTGGCTTATACTATACAGTTAAATCCAATTAGGTTACATTTTAATTCGTTACAAATGTTTTGATGTCAAACAGTGGATGTCCATGGGCTGGTGATGAGAGCGGAACGGTGATGACGTGACGAACATAGTTTGTCTATAATTTATTTTTATGTAAATTATGTTAGTACCTAGTAAATGCCTTTACAATTCTAGACATGATATTTATAATTTGAAATTTAAACCAATGTTATTCAACTTAAACATGTATGTTTGGTCGTATACTGTATATTAATTTAAGTAGTTTATAAGTATTTAAAAAAAGGTTTATTTTTATATTGCATCCAATCTATTTATTGTTTGTTACTTGGAAATGTTTATAGTTAGAAATTACCAGTGATTGTGGACGCTACTCACATATCGGATTTATATGTATAAGTTGCGGTTTATACTTATTTAAATATTTTATAGTCCTGCAGACAACTTTCTCTGTATCAGAATCTCACCTTTTTTTTAGTTTTAGCGTTTCTTACATCACGATATTACAGAAAAACACCGTGTCACATGTAGTCGATCAAAGTAAGATTGGGAATGTCAATGACCTGGACTTGCTAACTGTCACTTGAAAGGTACAGTTTGCATAGAAAACTAATTTGCATACATTTTTTTTATTATGTTATTGGACTAAGTCCCGTAAATAAACTTATTTTGACAGCTTAAAGCTCACGATAATGGCGTAAAATTTGTCCTAATCTTATTTTGATTGCGCCATATGTTTTAATGGTGCCAAAAGTGTCAATGACACTTGATGAATAAATGTGTAATGCTTTTGAATTTGTAGAAAAATTAATATTGTTATATAAATTGAAATTAGTAAAATATTAACCTATTTGTATACATTTTATAAAAACAGCTAAGAAACGCTACGGGTTACATGAAATAAATGTTTCATTTTTAAAAATCCAACTCGATTTTTTTTTATCATTCCCCTATGTCTACCTTACACGTTGAAAATGAAATACAATAAATAAAAGTTTTACTAATATAACAAAATTGTAAGCGGATGATGTATGAAAAATAATATTGTGACAGATATTTATGAAAAATAATATTTTTTAGAGTTTTGTCTTTCTGTTTGTTCCGTCATCACGCATAAACTGCTATTCGAAATCGAACGCCGTTTTCACATGAAGATCTAACTTAAAATCTTAAAAATATATTTTATCTATCTACAAGTAGTTACCTATTTCCAAATCCACACCTAAACAACTTTTAAAATCAAATTTAGAAGCTTAAATCAAACGGACCAGTGACGGTACCCTCATACAAGCTAAAAAGTGACAAAACAGCCTATAATTTAAGCTTATAATTGTCGGAGTTCTTATTCACATAACAGAATGATAAATAAACAAATAAGTAGGCAATTAAACCTACTGAGTATTTTAGTAACTTGTATTAAGTTACGTTCTTCGTTTTTTACCTTCAACGCAACGAAATATCAATATGCAAACCCTTAAGCATTTTCTTAAAATGTTTCACCTCATTTTTTTTAATAAAAAAATATATTTTTTTCATCATAAATTTTATTTTTTAAGAAATAAAACAATATTTGTGCAATTCAAGTGATATGACAATAAAAATGAAATACATCAAGTTAAATACACGAAACTTAAAACAATTCCATTACAAATATTAGTAATCAAAGATTAATTAATACAGTCTACAATTTCATGTAACATTTAGTATTATGAGAAAGAATATTTAAATATTTCACTGCAAAAATCTAAAACAGCGATGACCAAAAAGTAAATTTAGAAGGCAATTTTGGCTGAGTTGAGCTAGTGTCTATTAAAACTCATTGCAATGAACATAATGCATTCTTAATTACTGATAAAGAATATTTTATCCGCAAATTAAATTAGCCTTCAAAATTGCCTCGTCTAGACTTTTAAATGCAATATTTGGCATACATTTTAGTTCGGATATAAAACTCCTAAAATGCATGCTACAACGCACACCTATTTTTCAAGTCGGTTTACATAAAGAGAATTTTGTATGCGGACAAAATGACCTCGTCGGACTTTAAGGATCAGATTGTCATTATAAATTACAATATATCCAACTACTTATGTTAAAACACAAAATAATTATTTGGTCTAAAATTAAATTCCTTTTGTTGATAAACGAACTTGAGAACAATTGGACAGATTTAGTTATTTTTTTTAACATTCCTAATAATACGATTAGTATTTTGAGAGAAAAACATTTGCCAAACCCCTGTACGATTATAAAAGTGCATTATTTGTTTCAAATGACTCTAAAACAAAATAATCTAATAAGACTAGTGTATTGAGCGCTCAAATACACCTATTAGAATGAAGAACCCCATACTAAAATACCTAACTTTATATTCTGCACCTACTAAATAACAAAATTAAACCGTAGTTACCTAATTTTACATAATAATAGCCGGCGCGACAAACAATATTTTGAAGCATTCATAAAATTTTGGTTTGCTAAGTGTCACGGCATATTTTTTAAGTCTGGGTGCTTGTTACTCAATCAAATAAATAGAACACGTATATATATATATATACATACATAAACATATGTATTAATTTGTACATGTGTACATGGCGGACTTACCGCTAAAAGTATTCTCTCCCAGTCAACTAGTGAAAAGGAAGTATCAGAATATTCGAATGCGGTACTAGTAATTATTGATATACATACATACTAAAAACAAATAAATATATATAAATAACAAATATACTTACACATATACAAAAATATACTATATTATACACGAAAATAAGAATAAAATATAGTATTTACTGCTCGAATAAAATATAAAAATGTATGCATGAACTTTTTTTATTAATATATATATTAATACAATGTATTTATTACTTTAGGCTATTCTATTTCTTATGCGAAACAAGATACTTTTGACGATAATTAAAATGTCAATAGCTTTACGGTTTGTAAATACGAGATACGACGAGATACGTTTGTAGATACGAGAAGAAAATCTTGCGGATAAAAACTACGAACCTTTACGCGCCGACCGTGTATGTAATTGTATAATTAAATAAATTTAAGATTCCCTTACAAACAGTCTTATAACAATCACACCATACTATATATGTATGCTCTTATTAACATAAATTGATATACATTCGAAACTTACATATTATTTACTACTCTTGTAACTAATATGCCTTTTAGAACGTCAATTGAGAAATTTAAAAAAGTCTTAAAAGCATCACGAATAATTTATAAACTGAAGATAGAATAACTATAAAAGAGGGTAACATAAAACCACTAAAATAAAATATTTTTCTCAAAAAAGCATAAGGCGAATTAATATAATTGTAAGGAAAACGTGACTGCTGGATATACTATGTCAATATAAGTGGTTCAATTATTTTCCCATTACTTCTAAAAAATTGTTAAGTCACTTAGTAGAAAACCTTAAAAGAATACTAACAATTTTAAACCGTAAACATGTTTTTATTACATTATATCCTGTATGTAGAGGAGAGGTTTACAGGTATAGGTAAGAAAATTGAAAAGGTTTTTTTATGCAACTTAGAATGGCAAACAAGCTGACGGCCCACCTGATGGAAAGTGGTAACCGTCGCCTATAGACATGAGCAGTACCATTGACATAACAGAGTATACTGTTTAGCCCATGATACCCCCCATGCGTTGCCATTCCTGAGGACTCAGGTGTTACTCCTCTGTACCCAGTAAATTCACGCCATATCCCACCCTTCAAACCGAAACACAGCCATGCAAACACAACTGTTTCACGGTTGAAACACGAATGGAACAGAGGTGTCCAAGCAAACGACTTTTATACAGTCTCCCTAGTCTTAGACAAAGTTTTAGTATCTCTATAGATAAACTATCTCCAATTGATTTAGACATTCGTGATTTACTACCCGATACAATGTTGGACAACATATAATGCTATGAATTTTATTTGACTTTGACATTAATAAATTTACAAAAATAGGTAGGTACCTTTTTATTTTTGGTATTTTTAGTACACACTATTAATAAATATAAAATGGCACTAATGTTAAAGATAAAACAAAAAAAAGCAAAAATTATATTATATGAACAAATCTACAATATTCGGAATCAATCATTTAAATTAAGAATTCTCGCAATTTATTCGATTATTGAATGTAATCGACTTATTAATTAAATACAATAACTTGTCTTGACTTTTAAAAAATATCCTTTTTAAAATAATAAAGTACGGAGTTCTACAAGGCTCCATGCTCGGTCCACTTTATTTAAAAATTATAACTATGGTAATGTTTTAAATAAAACCTATGATAAATTTACCAATTTTCTTGTTAATTGAATTAGTTTGACTATTGATGATTTACTGACTGTAACAAACATTCCTAATATAATATACATAACGTTTCTATAATATTTCATCTACAAAAAAGTAATTGACGAATCTTTATCCACTTGTCTTAGCACATGAGGAACGCTTCTATCTGATGATAAATTTAATAGAATGAATGCAACATTTCTTTAAAGAGGGCTTAAACAAAATAAATTTCATTTCAAAAAGGAACTAACGGCTTTTAACAAAGTAATGATAAATGATTTTCACACGTGACAAACACCATACAATTTGACAGAAAATATATGTAATCTACTCGTGTTGCATCTATTCGTAATATAAATATATTTATATTATTATATAGGTAATTTAATAGTCAAAAATGTAATATTTTACAACACGAAACGTTAATTCAATATGTCATATAAAAATACATCAAAGCTAATAGTTCATTCTAGTTTTAATCTAAACACGACAGTTCAAATACTTGTACAGGCAAAAACATGGAAGTTGAAAATTCCACTACTACATTATATCACATACTTATTTGTCTGTTATTTACTTAATTAAAAAATAAACAAAACACGACAGAGATAAAAACAATTTAGAAGACCTAAATATAATAGTACAGTACAATAATTTCTTTTGTTAGTATTGAAAATATGGCAATACTACTGACGAAAACAAATTATCTACACTCTATTCCAAATATGAAGAACTAATTGAAAAAACAAAAGAGTTGAAGTGACGTAAATAAAATTGTATAAACAAAATATGTTAGGATACGTAATAAATAAATATTTTGTAATATGTTTATTAATAAATTTTCAAAACAAAATAATACAGCTAAACTAATGGTTTGGTCTTTTGTACTATAAGTGTATTTTTCAGCTACCTTACAAAATTATTTGTAATAAAAAAATTAATTAGACTTACATAAAAGTACATTAGGCGGAAATTGCAATATTTCCCACCTCCCAACCTTAATGCATAATGTGTATGTATATATATATATATATATATAGTGATGTAATCAAAAATATATATGAAAATGCGGACTTAACACCGGACGGTGTTCACCTACCTACCAGTCGACCAATGGGCAAACCGAGAAATAAGTAGGCGATGCATTATTAAATAGAAAAAAAAAATTAAAAAAAAATCTGAATATAGTTTATTCGTTTTATTAATGACCACTAAATTTATAAAGTATATATTGAGAAAATATTTTTCTCAAACATCAGAAAAACTAAGGGTGGATAATATATAGCAATATCTATATATTTTATATAATATCTATATATTGGTTCAATAACGAATATGTTAAGTGTATATTATAAAATATTTATTGTCGAAGTATTTAGTGTCGAAGAACCCGATCAAAATTAATTTAGACATACAACCGGTACAGTATCGAAATGGGTAATGACCGCCACTAATGTATAAAAACGCCCAATATATAGATATTGGAACAGTACCTATATATCACCTATACCTACAAACAACGTCGTTATCTATATAACAGGACTTCGTATTTGGAATATAATGTATGTAAATGATTCAATAAACATTTAATATAAATTATAATAAGTATAAAATACAGAAATTAGTAGTTCATCATATTTTTTAACATTTTAAAACTAATCGACAATTTAAAAGTCAATTCACATCCATATAATTTTTTAAAACTACTAAATCTACCACAACTATCGAAGTATCTCCTTCTCTGTCTTTCAAAGTATATTTTAAATTTAAAAGTAAGTGGCAAAACACTAATTGTTTTGCAATTGGTGTTGCAATCGATTTTAAGCTTTATTACCTACGGCCAGGTTTCAATTTTACTTACAGCGAATTACATCGGGTTGCAAGGGTTGTTATCCAAGCCAGCGCAGAAGTCTAGATGCCCTTCGATCTCGCGCATATCTTTGCTCTTGTATCTCAAGCATTGAGGACAAGTGTATACCTGGAAACATATATATTAGTATTATTTTTATGCCTCATTTTCGCTTGATTATTGGTATCATATTAGCTGAAAGAGATAGATGGGCAAAGATCTCCACATTCTGGATGCCTATATAACTACAGTGTTGCCAAGGTCGACATAGTATTTTTTAGGGGTCATACTATACTAGTCTGCATTATTGGTATACGCTGATGGGAAGTACACTACACTAGTGAATGACGATGGATGAGAATGAAAGCCTGTCATCATGACGAATTCATCAAGAATTAACCACGATGACTCCTAGAAAAAACCGCGTGAATATCGACCTGATAATGACCAGAATGACAGTATATAGCAATAGTGATAATCTGGACGCACAAAAAACATACTGTTTCAAGATGGCGCAGAGCAGAAACTGTTGGAAGGTAATGGGGGAGACCTTTGCCCAATAGTGCAATTTTATGGGTTAATAATAGAATAATAACAACAACAACGTACTAATACACTCAAAAGAATGCTCTTTATAAGAAAACCATGCCTGAACTGAAAATAGGACAAAGTCAGCAAGACAACTAGTTAAAATTAGTGGAAAAACATAATTATTATTAGAGTTTAACATAGCTTGACCCAGCTGTTAAGAGGCTCTAAATATTTTTTACATTTTCACTCATATTTTACTCCTTTATAAAAATATTCAGTTGTACTACTGGAGTAATCAAAGTGTAACAATTTTAACAGTTTAAAAGAACTAACTAACTGAACAACATTTCCCTAACAAAACAGGTGGTCTACCATGAAATGAAATTCCGAAATTTCGAACTCAATTTCGTCTTTTTGTTTATACCACAATCGGACCAATAAATGGAGTTTAACATTTCGTTCGTCATACATCCTATCATAAAAGTCATTCATTTACAATTTTTCTAGGGAGACTGATAGTGATATTTTAAATAATTTAGAAAAATAAAAAACCACAATTCGAGTCGTAAACATTACATAACGTATCCTAACGTACCCTCCTTGGAAATGATATTGTTGGTGGTATCCGCTACCTACGGTATGAAAGAAATTAACCCTTCTTTGCATAATGATGGAAATTTCCACCATAACATTGAATGCCCAAAAATTATATAAAACAACATGTTCACTTTAAGTTGACCATGTCTGGATACCTTTTTAATGTTCATTGCAGAAAAAAAACATAGCTGTCAAATTTATTTTTCTAACCATTTTTCCTTTAATTTTGAACATGAATTATATTTGATTTATTTCATTAATAAAAAAAAATCATGCAAAGGAGGGTTAATGGACATAAATAGACATAATAATTATATGAGGACAGAAGATGCTCTTTTAATGCTAGTATAAATTGTGTAATCGAACATTATATGGGAAAAAAAAATTAATTGCCACGCTGTGAAGAGAGTCAACAAGTATTATATTATTAGAAGACAGAACGAACAATATATTTTCATAAAATATTCATTCATGCTATTGTAAATACAACAAAAAAAAACATGCAACAAACAAACAAACAAATCCAAACAAAAAACACACCAATAAATAAAGTAATGCTCACCAAATTATTCCATTTAAAAAATGCACTAAAACTAAATGAAAATATTAAATAAACAATAAATTTTGCTACTATCAAGATATATTTGAAATAGAACAAAAACACATATATATATATATATATAACAAATTTTATTTCGAAACTATTAGAAATAAATGTCATTTTAATGAATAATAATTATCAAAAATAAATGCAAAACAATATTAAGCCTTGAGAGCAAAATAATATAATAAGCGTAAAAATTGTTTTAAACTAATTACAATTTATTTGAAACCGCACTAGCTAGGTCTGGGCCCTTTCAAAAAGACACGTATATATACTCTTGGATACTTTTTCTTTTAGCTGACAGTTCATACTTATGGGGGGGAGGGGGCACGGCTCGACCGGCCTCTCCTCTTTAATATGCTTCTGACTAACCCCACTCGCCCCACGCACGAAGTGACTTAGATATACATAGGTATATTTGAATTAGTCTAAAGATGGGACATCGAACGATCTATATCACATCTGTCAATGGCGACTGTACAGTATATTAACTGTACAAACCTGCGGTCGTATGTCGCAGACGTGAGCGGTCTACGACTGCTCTTGAACGATCAACAATGGTTTACTGGATACTTTGCCCTTACACATGCACATAGATTAAGGAGGGCGGGAGGTGAGGGGAGAAGAGAAACTGGTGCTAGAGCAGGTGTGAGTAAGAGAGAGGAAGGGAGAGGCAAAGGAGAGTGAGGAAATGAAAGGGGAAGAGAGAAAGAGAAGTGGAGAGAAATTGGTTAAAAAAGGGGGTAATGAGAAAGGAAGGGGGAAAGAAAGGGAGAAAAGAGAGAAAGAGAAGGGAGAGAACAAGAGGCAGGAAAAGACGGATAGAGAGCCAGATATACAGAAACAAAGAAGCGAGCTCATATCTCGAAGAGAGAAAGAAGAGAGGAGAGAGAAGAGTGAGGGAAGAGCGAGAAGATCGTAAAGAAAGAAAAGAGAGAAAAGCGGAAGAGAACGAATAACCGTGCAGACGTCACTGTATAGGGTTGAATCGCAGCAGATAGACGCGATACGTCTGGTAGTATGTTTATAACGTAATTGCCTACTGACAAATTCAAAGCAAACATGTATCAACATGTTGTTGTAACAATATCATAGTCTTGAGCTCCTTATCGCACACCGGACAGCGGTACCTCTGCGGAGGCGGTGTCGACTCTCGCGGCAAATCTTCTTGTTTGTCTTCCACCTTCTGCCGTTTGCGAACCTTATATACGTACACTTATTTATTTACCTGTTTACTTATTCACAGATATATTTATACTAACTTAAAATACTATGACATACAGAGCGAGCTCGTAATCGTTCGCATCCTTCTAAATGAGTGTTCTTCATCTGGTAGCACACTTATTTGGGCTAACTAAATATTTTCATAAAAAAAAATGTGTCGAAACTAGACATGGTAACACTGCGCTATGCCGCGCAATTGCGCCAAATCACTTCTTCAAAATGAGTAGACGCACAGCGCAGTATTAGAAAATTATTGGGCTTTCCATACTAACAAATATAAATCCCAGCTGTAAATTTTTTTTATGTTATTTTTTGTGATTTTTATGTTCACTCTGTAAATACTCATAATAGCTAATAAAGTAGTTCAACATATGCTAGTGGAGAATGGACACTAGTGCCATCTATGTCTCAGATATATTATTATATATTCAACATCTTTGTTCCGTATGACTTTCCATAGTGAATCCATAGACAAATAAGGGTGCTTTTACACTTTTTTTTTTTTTGGTTGGGAATCTATGAAATAGATACTAACCGTTCTAGTATTGTTGGTATTTTGTGTAGTAGGAGTTCTCGAGACGCCCACGCTGGTAGTGCGGCCGCGGGGCGTTCGTGAGGAAGCCGACGATGCCGAGAAGGGACCACAAGCAGACGCTGAACTTTGATGTGCCTCCTCCAACTGGGACGAATTTAAAATAGGTAATTATAAAATGAATTGCTGACAACATATTGCTAGATGATTATTTTCTCTAAAGACAGTTTTCAATCCGCTTTTTTTTTAATACGCCACACGTATTGCCCCGGAATAGAACAGACAACGCCTTCCTTTTCTGTGAGTGTCGTAAGAGGCGACTTAATGGTAGAGGAATTGGCAGCAGCGTCCCTCTTTAAACTGCTCTAAAAACTTAACTGCGATTGCCAACTCGCTTGCCAAGCGTGGCAACTACTGATAAAACTCTACTTATGAGAAAGGCTTATGTTCAGCAGTGGACAGTTAACGGTTGATATGATGACGATGATAACGTCATCAATTCAGAAATGATTTTGATAATCTTGTAATCTATATTAATACTGTGAGGATTAAAGTTGACGTTTTTCACACACGTTTAACTTAGTATAAGCGCTAACAAATATGTACTTTTTTTTTTACTGTACCATGGACATAACAGAGTACTGTTTCGCCCATGATACCCCCAATGCGTTGCCATTCCTGAGGACTCAGGTGCTATTCCTATGTACCCTGTAAATTCACGCTATATCCCACCCTTCAAACCGTACTATATGTAAAACAATTTTTTTTATACAACTTAGAATGGCAAACAAGCTGACGGCCCACCTGATGGAAAGTGGTAACCGTCGCCTATAGACATGAGCAGTACCATGGACATAACAGAGTATACTGTTATGTCAGTAATAACAGAGTATACAGCGTGTAGTGGTTTTCGTCTCAACGAGAGGCGAGATGCTATGACGCGTAACGACAAAAACACAATGGGTTCATTAATTTCCTGTAACATATATATATGTCTCTTTAGTGGCAACTGTGTTCCTCTGACTGGTCATGAAACAGAAGGTTATAATTTGACGTAACATTTTGTTACCATTGTCATTAGTTCCTGTATCCTCCGCTGGGCGGCTCGCAGATCTGCCGCGATATTTTCTTTTTCAGACGCCATTTTCTCTCGAGCCTCGCGCTCCGCTTCGAAATCAGTCCTGTAATAAAAATATATAATGTAATTAATAGTTTCATCTAAACCATTTTGCTTTAAAGCGCTTTCTATCTAGTTATAATTATTGTATTTCTAACTGACATATATTTTTGTGCATCCGTAAATTCTAGTTGTAATAAAAGCATTAAACCTTTCAACTGTGTCATGCAAAATGGTGGAAAATCCACATCTGTGACGTCCCGTGAGCGGACTTTACACAGACTAGGTATTTTTAGCGTATAGGTTTAAAAAACCTGATTTTTCCGAAATCTAATTGGAATTATACAAAACTCAGATTAGATTTATATTCCAACTAGATTCCTTATGTAATTTCTTACACTACGCTCTACTTGAATTGCATTGCAACTGTTCTATGAGAAAAAAAATGGGGACACCTATATATAAATATAAAAATAATTAGGTTAAAAGCTTGACTAATTTCGGGACCGTTCGGGACCCTTAATCGAGAGCAGATGTATCGCTCGCGCTCGCGCTCGTTAATTAAAGTTAAATCGATAGTTATTACCTTAAAATACTAACATATATACATAAAAATAAGTATTTTATGATACAATATTTTTTTTATGCAACTTAGAATGGCAAACAAGCTGACGGCCCATCTGATGGAGTGGTAATCGTCACCTATAGACATGAGCAGTACAATGGACATAACAGATATGATATGATAGCAGCTCAAAGCCTAGCTACGGTTGCTAACCCGCCCGCCAAGCGTGGCAACTACTGACATAACTCCCCTTCCGGGGAAGGATTACGTTCAGCATTGGACAGTTTTTTTTTTTAATGGCTGATAATGTAATGGTAACCCCTGCCGGGGCACCAGTGAGAGATGAAAGGTGACGATGAAAGCAGGTTAGCCCATCGTGATGGTTTCCACGGGAAACCGCTTGGAGTTCGACCTAATAGGGCATACTGCTAACAATGGGGCTGTCAAACCCCATTGCCAACAATCCCTTTCCCCCCCAGCATTGGACAGTTGATGACAGATAAATGATACGACAATCAGGTGCGCCATCATTTTAGTTGCATAAAATAATACTAACTTGTACAAGTCCATCTGTGTTTTAAGCACCAAAGTGTCCTCTCTGTCTAGCCGCAGTTGCTTCAACTCGGACTGCAGCGTCTGCAACTCGTGACCGCGAGCTATCAGCGCCGCAGTTAACGTCTCTACGTTCTGATCGCTTGACACCTGCACAGTAATAATATGCATGAAAAAAAATGTTTTTTAATGGATGAAAATGGAATGGATATTATTTTAATGCATGCAAAATAGTATGGTAACCCCGCCTGCGTTATCGGTATCCATTGGCGGGGCACCAGCGAAGAATGATAGGTGATAGGATAAAATCAGGTCGAATTGTGACCTTTATTTTACAGAGAAACAATTTCTAGTTTTGAAAACCCTTTAATAAATCGTTAACCCATACATATATAAGATTAATTAAACCCTTTAATTAATCTTATATATGTATATACATATTACCCACTGCTAGTTAATAGATTTTATAAGACAGTTTTATTAACTAAACACTAAATTACTATACTAACATTTTCTGGTTTATTTGTTGTCTTCTGCAGCAACTCCTTGTGATCTTTGAATATACTGTCAAATATTGACAGCGCACTTCTGACGTGAGCTCTGTAAACAATAATATTAATTTATAATCACAATATATTTTTTTAACGCGCCACCTACCCCTATTCTTTAATTGTTTCTACCCAAAGGCTCTACCTTTACCCTTACCTTCTACCAAAGTGTAGAAAACCCAAATGTTTACCCATTATTTATTATTATACTATCAGTATACAGCGAAGAAATAAAATATATTGTCTAATAAGAGAATTATTAATTGTTAGCTTAACACTACATGTGTTTTTTTTTTTTAATAGGTGATAATGGAATGGTAACCCCGCCTGCGCTATCGGTATACACCCGCAGGGCACCAGTGAAGGATGATAGGTGAGGATGAAGCAGATCAGTTGGCCCATCGTGACGAATTCAACAAGAATTGTTCACGATGGTTTCCAGGGGGAACCACGTGGAGATCGACCTGATAGGGCATATTACTAGCAATGGAGCTGTCAAACTCCATTACCAACAATCCCTTTACCCCCTCTGCCCAAAGGTTGTCTGGAAGAGATTGCTTAGCAAGAAGACCGCGTTACATTTGCATGCTATTCTGTAATGGCTAAATTGGCTCGAAACTTTATGTAATATAAGACCACCAATAACTATCCTTTTTAATACAAATAAAATTTATTATTATTATTATTACTACACTATACTTATCGAAAATTCTTCAACAAGTCCTGTAATTTTGGTGCAATAAAGTGTTAAATTAAAAAATAAAAACAAAATAAATACAAGTATATAATTTGGAACAATAATATGTAGTCTGAGGATGAAACCAAGTTTCTGGAATTGGCGTGTATGTATGAGATGGGGTTTTTTTTATCTAATTCTGAATAGCAAACAAGCAGACAGCCCACCTGATAGAGAGTGGTAACCGTCACCATAGGTGATACAGCTCCATAGATTTCACAGACTTCGATTGCTTGGGTACCTCTGCCCCATTCGTGTTTCTACCGTGAAGCAGTTGTGTTTGCATGGCTGTGTTTCGGTTTGAAGGGTGGGATATGGCGTGAATTTACAGGGTACACAGGAATAACACCTGTGTCCTTAGGAATGGCAACGCATGGGGGGTATCATGGGCGAAACAGTATACTTTGTTATATCCATGGTACTGCTTATGTCTATAGGCGACGGTTACCACTTTCCATCAGGTGGGTCGTCAGCTTGTTTGCCATTCTAAGTTGTATAAAAAATCTCTGCTATGGCTCAATACCATTGTAATTTCACTGTCATATTCCATCTTTTACACCGAAATAGACATAGCATAAAAGTAGCTGTACTTTTCAGAAACACGAGTGGTAAAGAAGTATCCAAACGACATTTGTCTCCCTCTAATTACATGGCATTTATTATAGTCATATTTATCTTCTCTACCCATAAATATACTCACATATTGTTCAATGTATTACTGTGCTGGTTTTCCAGCTTCTGTTTTATTACCCCGAGGCCAGATTTGAACTGCTCCACCGTGCCGCGTTCTAATTTGAAATCGTATAGACTGGCCACTACGCCTATTGTCTCGACAAGATTATCTACAATCCTGAAATAAAATAATTAAAAAAAATAATAATAAACTTTTATTATAGCTCTTCAAATTCGTGTGCGACACAGCAGCGGGGAGGACTACTGGTATTTAAATTATACGGTCATAAGTGACGACTCCTTGAGCAGTACTATATACGAATTTGACGAGCTATAGCTTGGAATGTTCGAAGCGGACATTCCAAGCTATAGCTTTATAGCTTTTATTTGTTATTCACGAGAAAAAAAACAAGTCGTCTAAGAGAGCACTACTTATCACTATGCTGACGTATTATGTATATGTGTATGTATATTTATATATGTTTATATGTGTATATATATGTATGTGTATATATGTGTATATGTATGTATGTGTAAGTATACGTGTATGTTTACAGGGTTTATGTATTTTATGTAATTTATAATGTGTAGTTTGTATTATTCTTTGTGTATACATAAATTATGTGTTTATACAATATATACAGATCGTATGACTGCCTATTTTTATTTTTAAAATAACATACAATTTACATGAAAAAGTTTTGCTGGAAGAAATCTCTTATTAGAGATAAGCTCGGCTTTGTACATTATGTTTCAAATGAATTGTAATTAACATAATGTTTTGTGTACAATAAAGAATAAAGGTTACTTACATACATATATGTCACGCCTGTCTCCCATTAGGGTAGGCAGAAACAATGGAACGCCAAATGCTTCGATTCAAACAAACCTCTTTCGCTTCTTCCACATTCATCAATAAAAGTTACTTATACTTTGACAAATACTGCTTTGACAGGTACTATACTTATCAAAGCTGTTTGCATACTGCGAAACAGTTTGTTGGCAAAATTAAATGTTACAGTTAAGGGCATTTTGTTAATAACTTAAGATTTCGCTCAATATAACTGATAGCTGAAGACATTCATGCACTTGTGATGGGGCATTTCATCAGAACGATGAATACAACAATAACCTGATTACCTCTAATATATTTTTATAGATAAATAGTGTGTACAATAAAGTTTATGTATTATATGTGCATTTCTATATATTATATATATTTCTATATATTATATATTTTATATTGTGTATTGCCTTAATGTGTTACTATAATTGTCACGTATTTTTCACAACATCTGCCCTTCATACGCTTTCTGTTTTTACCCAATGGTTAGCTGGTAGAGAATGCCATATGGCATTAAGCTCGCCATTTGTATAAAATTTTATTGTGCAATAAAGAATAAATAAATAATTAAAGTATTAAATAAATAAAAAAATAAAATAAATAAATATCTGTCTTTTGCTAGCAATAACTTACCCATTGGTGAGTCCATTCAGATAATCGGATAAGTATTTCAATGTTTTGTCGTACAATTTGATATTGGTGACCAATGTGGCAAACTGACTATTAGAGGAGCCCGCCTCTTGCTCTGGACTTATGGACACCCTCACTGGTTGGAATGCCTGGAATTATTATTACAATATTAATCCTAATATATTTTGCTCTACTCTATAATAATAAATATATTTTGCTCTGCAAAAAAACTTCATACGTGACAATCTTCATCATTTCATCATCATGGCTGTGTTTCGGTTTGAAGGGTGGGATTTGGCAGTAAATTTACAGGGTGCAGAGGAATAACACCTGAGTCCCCAGGAATGGCAACGCATGGGAGGTATCATGGGCGAAACAATATACTCTGTTACGTCCATGGTACTGCTCATGTCTATAGGAGACGGTTACTACTTTCCATCAGCTGGGCCGTCAGCTTGTTTGCCATTCTAAGTTGTATAAAAAAATCTGTGTTCATGACAAATTACTGTAATCTTTTTTTTTTTTAACAATAAAGGGTGTATTTATAGATCTATATATAGATATTGCCTTTTTGCATCACTGTGGTACACGTATTATACTTTCGTATAATTACATGTTATGTAAAAAGTTTTGTATATATCTCCCTTTATTATTATTTCAGCCCTTAATTATCTACTGTTGACCATAAGCCTTCCCCATAAGGGAATTTTGTCAGTGGTTGCTACGCTTGGCAGGCGGGTTGGCAACCGCAGTTAGGCTTTTACAGATGTTTTAAGGGGGATACTGCTGTCCATCCCTCCACCATAAGCACCCTTAGTTGCCTCTTACGACACCCACGAGAAAAGAAGAGGTGACCCATTCTATGCCGGGAGCGACACGGCGATATTGGCCTTTAGTTAGTTTTTTTTTCTGTTACTATCATCACAATTTTTGTGTATCTTGATGTAAATAATGAGTTTATCTATATATCTATATTACTTACAATGGTCTGTGTGTCCTTCAACTTGTTTTTGAGCTCATCAATTTGGTCTTTGTACATCTTTATCGTGTCGGACAACGCTGACTTCTGTCTTGTGTATTCAAGCTAAAAAAAAGAAATTTCGAATTATCTTATCTTATATTCGCATATGGGGTCAGCTAAGCTGTTGCACGTCGACCCATCGGGATCTTTTGTGCTTCCCCCTGCTTTATACCATAATTTCATAGATCCTTTGTGTTACCTTAACGATATCCCGCGGTTTAAGATATCTGTAGTCCAATGGCTTTGGATAAGCCGTTCCCAGAAAAAAATTAAATAAATAACCTATATGCTGCGAATTAAGGTTCAGTAGTTGGCAATTTGGAAGATTTGGGTTAACATTTATTAAAAAAGAACAGATTTTTCTAAATTCCTAAGGTAATTACCGACTTAAGTAAAACTATGACAAAAGATTAATAAAAAAATGTATTTAAGTTTGTTTCGCGTAAATACACAACGGAAACCGGATCGGTCATCTTCAGTAACGATATGTCTGCCAGCAATTCCATGAACGTCACAGTATAATGTTGAGGCCTACCAAGAAATATTTTCCGGAATTTCGGGGACGAACGAAACAGAAATTTGATGTTAAAATTACATAATACATGCCGTTTAAAATTATTAAAAATGTTAAAATATCATTCCTCTGGACTATTAGAATAGGATTTATAATCAACGAAACGTTAAGCTCCATTTACTGGGTCGATTTCGGTACGAACAAAAACACGAAATTGAGCCCGAAAATTCGGAATTTCATTTCATGGTAGACCACCAGTTCTTATCTATAGTCGGTTATCATTTTTCATCAGGTGGGCCGTCTGCTTGTTTACCATTGTATGTTATATAAAAATAAAAGTATCTTTTTTTTATATAATATCAAATAATAATATTATTTAATATATCTAATCTGCGTTAAAAGAAATTACTCATAATACCGTTGATGCCGGAGACTCTTGGCACTTGATGGAGTTTGGAATTGGTCTATCATAATTTGAATTACGAATGAAATAAATATATCGAAAATTATATATAACTATAGTTAAATATTTTTTTAGATTCTGTTCAACAAAAAAAAAAAAACACCGATTACAATTGTGGAAAACATTTTAATTTAAAAACCGAACTACTGAACCGATTTTAAAAAAAAATTCTATGTGACTAATCTGAATACATATATTTTCAGATAAGAATGAATTTTCCAAATTGATTTAGATATTAGTGACAGAGTTCAGAGTTTTCCCAAAGAGGGTTGACGTCAGGCAGGCGGCCGGTCGTAAAATTAAAAGTAATTTTTTTTTAAATATGGATAAAAACATTACGCCGACTCCAAATAATAATTGGGATAAGGGTAGGAAGATGATGAGTGACAGAGTTCAGAGTTAACAAATATAAAAAATACAATCGAATTGGAAACTTCTTTTTTTGGGGAGTAGGTTAAAAATCTGTGGAAATAAAACGAGTGAGGGAGACTTTGTACAAAAGTCGATTGCTTACCTCTGTCCCATTCGTGTTTCAACCGTGAAGCAGTTGTGTTTGCATAGCTGTGTTTCGGTTTAAAGGGTGGGATATGGCAGTGAATTTACTGGGAACAGAGGAATATCACCTTAGTCCTCAGGAATGGCAACGCATAGGGGATATCATAGGCGAAACAGTATACTCTGTTATGTCCATGGTACTGCTCATGTCTATAGGCGACGGTTACCACTTTCCATCAGGTGGGCCGTCAGCTTGTTTGCCATTTTAAGTTATATAAAAAAAAGAGTGGGTTCAAACTTAAAAAAAAATTAATACCTTAACATTTTCGTGATTGAGGACTTTGAGTTGGGCGTTCTTGAGCTCGGACTGTAGATAGACTACTTTCGCTTCTAGCTGGCGTATCGTCGAGTCGCGTTTCGTCATCTCCTCCGACGACAGAGTCGACTGCAATTGCAAAAAGAATATTCAAGGATACAAAGTTAAAAAAAAATGCACAAACATACAAGAACAGAAAATTGTTATATACGAATAAATCATTATTACTTGTATTTCATTTTAACCGACTTCAAAAAGAAGGTTCTGAAATCGGTTATTTTATATTTTTTTTAATTTTTATTCTCCCTCGTTCGACTCGTCAGCTGTCCAACTGACAAATCTAGTTAATATTGCATCCCGAGTTGTCATATAATCTTTTGGGACATGCCAAAGGTGTTAGACCATTTATTGTTCCTTACAATTGTTTTTTTTTTTTTTTCACTTAAAAAATACTAATATCTAGATAAGGTGAATAGCCATACGAAGTACTTTATTGAAGTTACTGAGTACTGTCTCAATACATTAAACACGTCAAATAAAGGTTGATAACGCGTGTGGTCCTGGGATAGAATGGGCCATCTTTTCTTTTCTTATGGGTTTTTTTTTTATACAACTTAGAATGGCAAAAAAGCTGACGGCCCACCTGATGAAAAGTGGTAACCGTCGCCTATAGACATAAGCAGTACCATGGATATAACAAAGTATACTGTTTCGCCCATGATACCCCCTATGCGTTGCCATTCCTGAGGACTCAGGTGTTATTCCTCCGTACACAGTAAATTCACGCCATATCCCACCCTTCAAAACGAAACACAGTCATGCAAACAACTGCTTCACGGTAGAAACACGAATGGGACAGAGGTACCCAAGCAATCGACTTTTGTACAAAGTCTCCCTCTGATAAGTCTCGTAAGAGACGACTAAGGAAATTTATTGGTCGAGGAATAGACAGCAGCGTCTCTCTTAAAACGTCAACAAAGCTTAACTGCAGTTGCCAATTCCATTGCCAGGCTTAGGAAAACCCCCCCAAGGGGGAAGAGTATATTCAGCAGTGGACAGTTAACAGCTAATATGATGATGATGATGACCACTCTGATGCGTTGCGGTGACTGTTTATCATACGGCGAGGCGTATGCTTGTTGTGTAAGTAAACTTACCATACTGTTGATAGCGTCTATTTGATTCTGCAGCTCTTGTATATTTGAATTTAGACTTCTAATTTGGATGCTGTGCTCACTATCTTTGCTCGAAAGTTGTAACTGAAATAATAAATCATTATTACTAAAAGAACGTAGAAACAATCGACTACATCTAACTATCCCGTTTGAGATTATAGTCGTGAGTATATTTTTATTATTATACAAACCATCAGAGGGCTACGGAAAGATCTATGCACGAAATTTCTTCTGCGTGATAGAATCCGAAACGAGGATATCCACAAAAGAATCAATGTGACCGATATAGTCCAAAGGATAAACAAGCTAAAGCGGTAATGGGTTTTTTAATGGGTGAAAATAGAATGGTAACCCCGCCCGCGCTATCGGTATACACCAACGAGGCACCAGTGAAAGATGATAGGTGAGAATGAATGTAGGTCAGTTGACCCACCATAATGAATTCGAAAAGAATTAAACATGATAGTTTCCGGGGGGATACGCGAGGAGGTCGACCTGGTCGGGTATATTGCTAACAATGGGATTCTCAGTCTTCATTACTAACAATCCCTTTCCCCCCAGCGGCAATGGGTTGGTCACATAGCTCGAAGAACCGACAATCGACGGGAAGAAAGTTTCTTAAGTGGAAACCCCGTATGAGCAAACACAGTTTAGGACAATCCCGCCATTAGATGGAATGACGACCTGCATTGCAGGGAGTCAGTAGATACAGGTGGCTCAGGACCTTATAACAATCTATGAAGGCCTATGTTCAGCAGCGAAAAGATAATGGCTGAGATGGCGATGATGATGAAACCGCCACTAGATGGCGCCATAACCATATATGTGTTGCAGACAATTAATGGATGTGTATATTTCAGTGCTATTCATTGTGACAATCTATAAATAACACTATATAGCCCCAAAATGAAGATATATGGTTGTTTTTATTTTCATAATTTTTTTTTTTATTGAATTAATGGAAACTGGTTACCGTCGCCTACAGACATGAACGGTACAATGAACACAACACAGTAGACTGTATACTTCCAGAAGTTGCCTGGAAGAGAAAGCTCTTAGCGATAAGGCCGCCCATTGTTTTCTAAGTGTAATATTCTTTTGTAATTGTTTGTATTAATAATAGGTTTACTATTATAATCTAATGGACGAAACAATAAAAAGTATATATCTATCTATACTGTGTCGCCCATGATACCGTTCATTCGTTGCTACTCTTAATAGTAAACTCGACACTTACTTCTACTTTTTCTAATTTTTCCTTGAGATCGTCCCGTTCCTTTGTAATCGCATCCACTATGTGCTCTAACGATTCCTTCTGCCATGTCAGCTTTTCGTTTTCGACTATAACCTAAAATAGATTTTATTAATATAGCCAGCGCCATCTAGTTCCAAATTTTGTAACTAATTTATATGATGATACATATAATTATTCAGGAAATAAAAAAACGTATTAATATTAAACTATTCATAAATATTTATTCACTATATAATTGGTGATGTATGTTATGGGATGTCAATTATATATGTCTGGCAAAATGTCACCAAATTTAATTTATATAGAAAGGCATAAAATGGGGGCCGAGTAAAATTTCACGTAATTTTTTTGTTTTCCTCTTTTTTACATATATATTAAAGTAAACGAAGCAAAATACATTAAAATCCTACTAACATAAAATATTTACAACTGGACGATATCTGTACATGGGAGATATTAAACAAAAATTGATATTTTAATAAGGCCAGTAGAAAACAAAACTATAATTTTTAGAAATTAGCCACACTGGCAACACTTGAAGATTGATCACCACTATTACTATTAAATAATAATAATTTCTAGTAGTAACAGTGGTTTTTTTTATATACAACTTAGAATGGCAAACAAGCTGACGGCCCACCTGATGGAAAGTGGTAACCGTCGCCTATAGACATGAGCAGTACCATGGACAAAATAGAGTACACTGTTTCGCCCATGATACCTCCCGTGCGTTGCCATTCCTGAGGACTCAGGTGTTATTCCTCTGTACCCAGTAAATTTACGCCATATCTCACCCTTCAAACCGAAACACAGCCATGCAAACGCAATTGCTTCACGGTTGAAAAACCAATGGGACAGAGATACCCAAGTAATCGACTTTTGTACAAAGTCTCTCTCTGGTGTTGAATTCGAATTGAATTTCGAATGTTGGAAGTCACACATACTAACAATAGCGGAATTAAACAAAATAATTCGAATCAAATAACCAGTGGTATAGACTTCCACAATACAACGCCTAGTTCAGTAAAATATCTAAATTAATACATTACTTGTCGCCTCTGTTTCTCGATGAGCTCCAACTGTGCTGTCAACTTGTTGATGGTATCATCGTCAGGCGACGTGACGAATTCCACGGAGGAGCTTGGTCCCGATTTGCTTGAATCGGCGTTCGTTTGAGGCTCGACCTCTGCCATGCGCGCTACGTCCTGCTTCAGCTTCTTGTTGTCCTGACGCAACTGAAATGCAAACAACTCTTAGTACCAGGAGACTATACAAAAGTCGTTTGCTTTAGCACCTCTGTGCCATGCGTGTTTCTACTGTGTTTACACGGCTGTGTTTCGGTTTGAAGGGTGGGATATGGCACAGAATTTACATGGTACAGAGGAATAACACCTGAGTCCTCAGGAAAGGCAACGGCTGGGGGGTATCATGGGTGAAACAGTATACTCTGTTATGTCCATGGTACTGCTCATGTCATAAGCGACCACTTTCCATTAGGCGAGCCGTCAGCTTGTTTGCCATTCTAAGTTGCATAAAAAATATTGTAAGTAAACGATGTCTGTACACATATGAGGCATTTATTAAAAAAAATACCAATACATACTTAAACGATACCTTTTAGTAGTTCTGTTTTCATCATCATCATCATTTCAGCCTTTAATTATCCACTGCTGAACATAAACCTCCCCCTGGGAGGGTTTTCCAGTAATGTAACCCAAAGTATCAAGCCTATTAAAGGTAATATAAAATACTAATTTATTTTTTTATTCAACCTATGTGAAGTGGGGGGAAATTGATTGTTAGTAATGGAGACTGAGAATCCTAATGCTAGCAATATACCCAACCAGGTCGACCTCCTCGCGATTCTCCCTGGAAACTATCATGGTTAATTCCTGATGAATTCATCATGATGGGCTAACTGTCCTGTTTTTATTCTCATCTATCACCCTTCACTGGTGCTCCGCCAGCGTATCCCGCTAGCACAGGCGGTAACCATACCATTTTCACCCAGCAAAAAAAAAAAACCTATGTAAAGTTATTGCTAGTTTATTGTTAGTTTATAATATAAAAAAAAAATATAATAATGTATGATTTTTTTTATACCACTGAGGTGGCTAACAGGCATACGGCCCACTTGATGCAACTGGTTACCATAGCGTATGGAACGCTTGCTACGTGCGCATCGCCGACCCTGAAGAAACCTCTTTATCCCTTTTTTTAAGAACCCCATGCTATTTCTTGGTAAAACCTCGACTGGGTCCTCACTCTATACCTTGAATATGAATAACCCTACTCACCTTTTCCACCAGCTCCTTAATTTTATCGAACTTCTCCTTATGCAGCATATGTGTCATCATCATGTCCTCCTGACATGACGCTATCAGGAGGAATTGTTCCTTCATCGAGTCATTGTTTTGTTTTAACGTCTCTTTCAAGATTACATTCTCGTCGAGCAGCTCACCGAATCGTTTTTGTAATTCTTCAGTGCTCTTGTCGTTTGTTATTATTGTACTAGCGGCCATGAGGCTGGCTGGAGATGGCTGAAAAAAATATGTATTATGCAGTAGATGCAGGTGGCCCAGGATCTTCCTTATAGCAGTCTATGGGGTAGATCTATGTGTACTATATAAAGAGGTATATATCATACTGTCCTATGGGATATTATTATGGGGTAAAGCAACCGACATCCAAAGCATATTTGTATTACAAAAGCGTGCTGTTCGCGCAATTTGACCTAAGAACGAGGAATTATATAGAAAGAAAGATAAAATAAAAACTGTATATCATATGGTTTCTTTTTTGATGGGTGAAAATGGAATGGTAACCCCGCCTGAGCTAAAGGGATACGCTGGCATGGCACCAGTGAAGGGTGATCGATGAGAATGAAAACAGGCTAGTTAGACCTTCATCATGAATTCATCAGGAATTAACCATGATAGTTTCCAGGGGGAACCGTGAGGAGGTCGACCTGGTTGGGTATATTGCTAGGAATGGGATTCTCAGTCTCCATTACTAACAATCCCTTTCCCCCCAAATCATATAGTTGCCTCCTTTCTTCTTATACAAATATAAATACGAAACTACACCATCAGTTGCTATTTTTCTCAATTCATATCAGGCTAGTATAATACAAAATGTGTATATATAATTTTTGTTCATTTACATTACCAGATTATATATTCGACACACTTTATGTAGAAAGTATGCAAGTAGTTTGTATCTAAATTTGGTACGGTTATACGGCCCTATAACATTTTCTATAGGTACCTAACTCATAACGCCATCACTTCTAAACCCATTTTGATTTTGTTTTTTAAAGAATATAGGTAATAATTAGGGTAGAAATTTTAACAAAATCAGTTCAGTAGTTTAGTTTTTAGATTTGTCACAATTATAGTTGTTTTTTTGGGACACAATCTTTAATATATTAATATAGAAATAATAGTTTCTGATAGTTTTTATATTGACTTTTGCGTTGCAACTTCACAGGCCAAATTTCATACACGAAATTTATCTGCATGACTCTATCTTAATGATAAAAGATAACAGGCGATACGTGATATGCAAAATCAAAATGCTTAACCACAATTTAAGTTTAGTACTAAAAGATTCAAAATTTATGTATCCGTACTGTTTTAGCACTGAGGTGACAAACAAGCATACGGCTGACCTGATGATAAACAGTTACTGTAGTGAACGAACGCCTGCAATACCAGAGGTACTACATGCACGTTGCCGGTCCTGAAGGAACCTCTTTACCCTCTATTTTGAAAAACCCCATGCTGATCTTTTAATAGCAATTCTAATTATTACTATTACCCTGTTGGGGGGAAAGGGATTGTTAGTAATGGAGACTGAGAGCCCAATTGCTAGCAATACACCCAACCAGGTCAACCTCCACGTGGTCCTGAAAACCATTGTGCTGAATTCAAGATGTAATAATCACGATGGTCTAACTGACCTGTCTTTTCATTCTCACTTATCATCCCTCACTTATTATCATTTTTGCACATTAATTTAAATAATATCAACATGGGGTGTTATTCTTTTATAATGGATCATAATGGAATAGCAACTCCGCCTGCGCTAACGGTATACGCTGGCGGGGCACCAGTGAGGGATGATAAGTGAGAATGAAAAGACAGGTCAGTTAGCCCATCATGATCATTACACCTAGAATTCAGCACGATGGTTTTCAGGACCACATGGAGGTCGACCTGTTTGGGTATATTGCTAGCAATTGGGCTCTCAGTCTCCATTACTAACAATCCCTTTCCCCCCAACAGGGTAATAGTAGTAATTAGAATAGAATAGATAGATGAGGATGAAAAGGCAGATGAATTAGCCCATCGTGACGAATTCAAAGATAAATTAGTCACGATAGTTTCCAGGGGAACTGCGTGGAGATCAACCTGATAGGGTATATTGCAAAAGGGCTATTAAACCCCCTTAATAAAAAAACTCCCACCCCCCCGCGCCAATAATGATGTTATACCTCCCCGTACCTTGTTTTTTTATTGGATGACAATGAAATGGTAGCCCGTCTTTGCTAACGGTATACGCTGGCGGGGCACGAATAGATGAGAATGAAAAGGCAGGTCGGTTAGACCATCGTACCTACGCTTGTTTGTAATAACAACGTGTTGCTTATTAAAAAGAAACAAAATTTATAACAAATTTATAGCAAAAAAAAAAAAAGAAAAAAAAAGTTATTAAGATTCACATTGTATTCTTTTTTACAAAAAAAAATTAACAAATTAGTAACAAAGTAAAAGATTAAGAGAGAACAAAGAGAGAAGATTATAACCACTTTCGAGTATTCTAACACATCTTTAAGGTTGACTGGGAGAGAATGCTTTAAACAGTAAGTCCGCCTTATACACATATATGTGCTAATGAATAAATAAATGCCCTATTAAAACCCCATACATTATATTATCTGTGCCCATACTCTACAGCAGTGATACTCAAAATGTATTATAAAAAACTTTGAGAAAGCCACGGAGCGCATAGCTTCTTCGAAATATTTACATATACCTAATACTAAATAATAATATTCCTAATATTATTGTACTATAGGACAATGATACTCAAAGTGTACTACGTGGAGGTCCTAAGCCTCACAAGGCATCTATAATCTATAAATAACAATGGTTCTAAAGAATTAACCGCATTGTGTACTTTTTTTTTGATGGGTGAAAATAGTATGGTAACCCCGCCCGCACTAATAGTATACGCTTGCGGGGCACCAGTGAAGGGTGATAGATTAGAATGAAGACAGACCAGTTAGCCCATCATGATGAATTCATCAGGAATTAACCATGACAGTTTCCAGGGAGAACCGCGAGGAAGTCGACCTGGTTGGGTATATTTCTAGCAATGGGATTCTCAGTCTCCATTACTAACAATCCCTTTCCCCCCATTGTGTACTGTATAGGTCCAAGGCGACGTTTATATGTTACTCATTTTTATTTTGAACTACAAACTGAGTTCTTTTCAAACAATTTTATCTTATTCATACTGTTATTTCGCAATGTAAAGCATTTGTTTTTATAACCTCCCTGCTCATTAATATTTGTTGGGTCGGCGTTTTCAACTAATCATGCCAGTCGTCTTTGTCCCTTTTCGGCCCTTTCTTTAATGGTTTATTGGTGACTATCCGTTCAACAGATATTATATTCTATCGAAGTTGTAGATAGATAAATAGATATATAATTTGTTTGCATTACTTACAGCACACAAATAACCACATACATACACAGTAAAAAGAGATAAAAGAATACATATCAAAAAAAAAAGAGCAAAACACACAAAAAAGTAATTTTTTTTTCTTGCATGCCATTCATTTGCATGCCATGCATTCCTTGGTAACCACTTCATTGTTTCCGGCATGTTAATTTTTTTGGATTCTACATTTATTGCTCAAGGCTCGCAGGGTATGCTCCTACGTCGAATTTTTACCTGACGTTACAATTCGTTTCGTTACGTTTTGGACACTCATTTTAAATAATACTGGGCTTGCGCTATTTTTGGGTCGTTAACATTTTAATTTACAAGCACAAGTGGTTACAACCTGTAATGCGAGTTTTAAAGTCCATATATATGTACATCAGTTGATATTACTTATCAACTGTTAAAAAAATCTTGCATGTAATGTGTGTAACAGAATTCAATATTATATGTAGTGGGGGAAAGGGATTGTTAGTAATGGAGACTGAGAATCCCATTGCTAGCAATATACCCAACCAGGTCGACCTCCTCGCGGTCCTGATGAATTCATCATGATGGGCTAACTGGCCTGTTTTCATTCTCATCTATCAACTTTCACTGGTGCTTCGCCAGCGTATCCCGTTAGCGGAGGCGTAGTTACCATACCATTTTCACCCATCAAAAAATAAAAAAAATATATGTAGTAACGTTTGAAATAATTTTATCTATACCTATTTATACCTATACGACGGGATCGTTGTACTATTATCTAACTAAGATACCTTAGTAACTATTTTAGTTATTTTCATTTAAAAAATAAATATACTGCCAGATTATTTTCGTTGTAGAGTACAAGACTTGTTAAAGAGGTACGTCGCAAAAAAGTTTGAGATTCACTGCTTTACTATGATAACAATATCATTACAATGACTCTTATCAATCTTTGATAACGAGCAATAATATGATGACTACAATTTGAAGAAACCCAACAAACACACGGATAGAGTTACAAAGGGCAAGCCCATATCTTTCTAATACAATAAAATTGCAACTACACGGTGTCTATACATGGAAGCTCCATGCCTAGGTTTTCCCTAGAGACTATACAGTATGGGGTTCTTCAAAAAATATATATTAAGGTTACTTCAGGGTCGGCAATGTGCACGTGACACCCTAATGCTGCAAGGGGAGGGATTGCTAGTAATGGGGACTACCAGTCCCATTGCTAGCAATATATCCAACCAGGTCGACAATCACATGATTTCGCCTGGAAACCGGAAAAAAATGTGGTAAGTGTCCATAGGCTACAGTGATCATTTAACATCAGACGGGCTGTATGATAGTTTGCCACCTTTGTGGTATAAAAAAAAGGGGAGATATTTAAAAAAAAATTATATGAGGGGTCTTATTAAGATCAATCAATTCCAAAACTGTCTGACTGTGTCTATGTATCTTTGTTTCACCAACACGCAAAAACTTCTGCACCAAATTGGAAGTAGTTTGCTCACAGTTGTGTTCTGAAAGTCTATCTTAAAATCTGGTTTAGCTTTTTCCTTGATACGCCATCTAGAAGTGGTGGTGGTAAGTCGCGAAGTAACGGGCAAAAAAATCGTAATTATATAGAATTATATATAATTACTATTTAATTAATTTAAAACCACAAAGACGAATTATTATTTTTTAATCAAATTCGAAAATGGCTGCCGCATTTTTGTGTCCTATTCAATTTAATATTAATGAAATACAATTAAATACGAATGAAATATAAATAAAATACCGCTATCCGCTTATCTCCTAAACGAAATGTCGACAAAATGGAATGCATAACTCGACAATAATTTAACAATCAATTATCAAGGCTATCTTTAGGTAGATATAGTAAATTACAACCGGTATTTTATGCAGCAGGTGGTGATCAAGAGCGTGAAGCAGGGTCTGAGAACTAGCATCGTGAGACCTTGATCTTTTCATCACTTAAGAATCTATCTTTCTTATATTATTAAAATGGTGATGATTTGTGTTCCGTAAATAGATATATAAATACTCTTTGTTCCATTCATATGATTACATTAGTAAACTTAATATAAATACAAACAATTATAAGATTAGACTAAGAAAACAATGAGCAGCCTTATCACTAAGGGCGATTTCTTCCAGGCAACCTTTGGATAGAGAAGAGTAAATATATACAGTTTGACTGGAGGCACGAAATTCTACTCTTTTTTTTTTAAATACATGGTGGGTCTACCATTGGGGGGTTTTGTCAGTAGTTGCCACGCATGGTAGGCAATGAAAGAATGTGAGTGTAACGGCAAAAACGAAAGGGAAATAAACCTGATAAAAACATTTTAAAGACGCTCATGTTTGTTAAACTAGTCTTCCGTAAGATCCAGATAACAAGTATCAGCGTAATCTTAAATTGTAATGTAATGTAAAATCAGTAATAAAATATCGACATAATAATTAGAATGTTTCACTTACAATCATGTTTTTATCAAAATAAGAGTAAGAAAATTCGAAAAATAACTTAATTATTACATTAAGTTTTATAAACTAATTAATAATTTAAAAATTTTTGCATGCCTTAATACTCACACTATCTCCAAGCTTGAAATGTGCTTTTAATGATGACATTGCTTCAGCAGGCAAATCTTTCATTGCATCCTCAATTTGTAACTTGTCAATGGAGCCATGGCCATTTACTATGCCTTCACACTTCAAGTCCAAACTGGAGCCAGGGGATGTACCCAGTACAATGAATGACTCATCATCACCATTATCTAACATTGAGTCCATATTTATACCTGAAAAAACCAATGACTCATAACTTCTAACTTATTAGAGTAGGATATTTTTCAAATGCATAGTTATATGGACCTTTGGCACAAAGTATAATCAACACTGGACTTTTTTTATTTACCATTTACAAACTGTGTTATGTATATTTACATGATATCAAGGCAAAGATTCTCAATAATTTTAGTATCACAACCACTAGTTGCTATACTAAAATGGTTATATCATGTAAATATACATGTAATATATATACTAAAAAGTAATCATAAAGTCTTAACTCTTCTATAAACTATTTTAACTATTAAAGTAACTTAACAATTAAAAAAAAATTGCACAAAAAAGAGACAAACTACTCTAATATCCAAAGCAGGGTTATGAGATGTTCAACGTTTTTATAAATAAGACTGATAAGAATGAAAAGAACATTGAATAGTACTTCTGGAGCAGAAAAAATATGAACTTTGGAAAGTACTCAATTTTAATATAAATAATAACAGTCTGTGTTTGCATACACTGCATTGAAAAATGTAAAAGAAGATTTAAGTCAACTAAGTCATTAAATAGATATATTAAATATCAAACTATTAAGTGAGTCATTTTCTAATACTTGATTTTAAAAACACTAATACTTAAATAAATAGATATTTCAAATTAGTTCTTGTATATTGAACACATTGTAACCTCTAATAAACTCAAACAATGTGACCCTCTGAAAAATTTAGAAATGATGATAAATAATTAAAAAAAAAAACTAAAATAAACAATAACTGGCCAACCTGGTTAACCTTGAACCTTAAAATATGACATAAGGAAAACAAATCAAAAAAATTACAAATAAGGATAATTTATATACACAATTATATAAATGAAAACAAGTAACTATAATAATTTTTAACATAGTATGGAATCATTGTCTTAAGTTTTTTTTTTACAGAAAAGATTTCAGAGGATCGCAACATACTGAGAATGTAAATGTCACTAAATATTGTGAAGTTTTAGGATGACCAATATTAATTATAATTTTGAATATTAGTAATTAAGAGACTACACATGTATTTTATTTTATCTCACTGACCCAATTGTGTTACACTAGACACAGACGAGTTGTGTATGTATAACATATACTTCATGCATTAAGCATGGTACTGGACACTGGTAACAAGAAAAATATAGAAAAATAACATTAAAATGTACTATTTATAATAATGCAGCGTCACAACGATTGCTGATTGTGAGAAAATATCATCATGATTATTAAATTGCCTAAACTCCAAATTTACAGCAGTCATCAACAATGTGCTATAATGGACAGAGCATACTGCTATTTCATTAAAATCTTATGTAGATAAATGTTTAGTTTTATTGAAATTATAGTATAATATAAAGATATGATGATTTATACAGAATAAGAAATACACAAAAAGGAAATACAAAACCCGGTGTATTTATAATGCTGATGGCAGTAAATTTCCATGAATTATTGAAAATAATAATTGTAAAACATCATTGAACTCGATAAAACATCATTGAAAATAATAATTTTTCACCTAATATTCTCTGTTGACATAGATCTTTTCTAACACTTGTATATTTATTAACCAATTAATTAAACCATTATAATCAAATAGTACCTAATTAAAAAATAAACAAACACAGCAACCTACCAGTAACAATTCCAACGTTGAAACAACCACACTATCGCCGGATTTGTTTATTAAACTTGTGTACACTATTATGACACAAAAATTGGATCATGGAATAATAACATTAAAATATGAAGCTACATGCGTAAATTGCGCGAGCGAAGCGAAGAAAATATAAGGAAGAAAAGAAAAAAAAGAGATTATTTCGTCTCGTTCTTGACAGATGTATGGCATATGTGACTTATTGTACTGAAGGAAATATAGATTAAGAATAGTACATATAATAACAGTAAGGATAGACAAAAATAAATCCTTAGAAGAAATAAAATATAATTTTTCTTTTGTTTCTTCTGCTGTCTAACAATTATATCAAATATACAATACTATAGAAATAATTCTTTTACCATCTTATATCGTTACCACAAGTTGTTTTTTTTATATTCAATCTATGAACAGAATAAAATGTACGAGAAAGAAAATATAACATGTATGTTAAAGTGAAAGAGACAAAAGAACAATAATTTGCACAACATAGGCTCAAAGCTGCGGGAGTATAAACAGAATATTTTCTGATTATTTTTACAGATTTGGAATTAGTTTCAAGTGAATGTAGATAATTAGAAATAAGTGTGCTTGAGCTGAATGTTATATAAATAACAGAGAAAACACAATTTTATATTTTACGTGTAAATATGCTTGTAACTTTTCCCTTATTTAAATACAATATTTAAAACTATAACAAATATATTGTATATAAATCCAGAGAGAAAATTATCATATTGAAACATGTTATTACTCTGAAACTATAAGTATTCAAATTAAAATAATAACAAATATGTGAATATCTATAAATTTTGACTTTAGTTTTTTTAAAGATAGCCAATAAATGCTAATGACATCTAATAATTCTTTTCTTTTTTTCAAATAAGCTGATGGCCCACTAATGGAAAATGGTAATTACCGCCTATAGATATGAACAGTACCATGCACGTAACAGAGTACATTGTGTCATCCGTGATACCTTTTAGTAAGTGAATTTAAATACGTCATTTTTTCATTGCTTAGCGCAAGTGCTCATGCTTTATTACTAACAATAATAATATAAATATGTACATCCTATGTACAATTTATTACATGTGTACCGAAAAGAAAGAAAGAAATAAATTATTATTAACTTTTAAAAATTCTAATTGTTTATTAAAATTGAAACTCGAGTTTCGGTTTATAATCATATACAAAATCGATAAATCATCTATAGATAAGATAGAAAATGTTTGATGAAGCACTGTACTATGCTCATATTTTATTTTACTCACACAAATGTAACGTAAATTTTCGTCTTGTTTTTTTTTTATGGCATTGCTGGTCTGTTAATGATGATGTTCGATGTATGATGTTAGTGCATAGTATTAGTATGTTATACTAAGTTTATGTTCCATTTATTCTATTCCAAAATATTTAATCACAGACATCTGTGATGTATGTAGAAGTAAAAACTAATGTAGAAAAATCATATTTACCGTAATATTTTAATCTGATAACTTCCTCAAATAATTGTTTTATGGATCATAGTATAAAATAATATTATAATCTAAAATTATAATAATTGTGACTTAATCTACTAATAAAAATTGTTCATATTGTTTTTTACAATAAAGATTTCGCTGCGATATCAAATAGAAATTTTAATTTTAGGACTAGTTTTAGAGAAATGGTGCCTCAGAATCGATTTACACATAAATAAAGCATTGTACTTTTGAAAGAAAGAAAGAAAGAAAGAAAAAACTTTATTTTACAAGAAATATGCGACGGCACCCACACAGGGGTTAAAAAAAATCCATATATTAAGAATTATAATAAAGAAACAACACAAAAAAATATTTATAAAAAAAAAATATATATATATAAAATTAAAAAAGAAAAATAAAACGATTCGTATTATAACAATTTCATCAAAAATGAGTGTGTGTGTGCGTGCGTCGCAATACCTGCAAAATGAGGCGCGTGCTCAGCATTATGCTGTAGTGTCAGGGACACTATAGCGCTGATTTTCAGCACGCGCCTCGCCAACCCGCGGGGTCCTAATAATAACAATAATGTTTGAAAACTTGACCAACACAGTGGTGTGCTTAAAGTGTATTGTGTAAAAAATAAAAATAAAATAAATATAATAAATTTGTAGTGGGTATATATTGAATGATAAATTGTGACGTTGTCAATGTTGAATAATAATAATCACACGAAAAACATAAAATACGTATAGAATAAGTATTTTCCTTTTACGTAGTAATACTACAGACGCTAAAGAAACTAAATATCGAATATAGTTGAATCATCCCCACATTCAATCGAGGACCACAAAAACTAGGTAAGTACTTACCTCCTTGAGTTGCAATATGCTCCTCTTGCAATATGCAATATGTCAATAATGTAATCAATAGCAACCAGTAATTAGATAATAATAAAAAATATATTATTGATTGTGAATTATATTAAAGTGAAATAACTGTTCATATATGTATCATAGAACTCCTAGCTGCACCTAATAGGATACTCATTAGAAAGTCTCTGGTAAGGAAGATCCCGGACAGAGACCAGCAATTTAATTGGCTTTTTGTTGGTGTAGATAATATTTTTTTAGATTACTCTTAAACGTATGTACATTTTTCAGGTTTCGAATTGGTGGAGGAAGATCATTCCAACAGCGAGTGGCAGCGTATTTGAAACTGCCCCTGAAAGCAGCCGTCCTATATCTTGGAATGCTGAGTACATTCACAATTGGACGAACAGCATACTTGTGATAGTTTTGCCTCCACGACAGTTTTTTGTGCAAGTAGCGTGGTTGGCCAGTAGCAATTACTCCGAAGAGTAAAGTAGCAAAATGAAGCTTTCTCCTGGCGGACATTTTGATCATATTATTTTCGTTCAAGAAAGGTGTGATGTGACTCCTACATGGTATATCAAAACAAAATCTCGCACAAGCATTTTGAACGCGCTGAATTAAGCGTTCCGTTCTTTTTAAGAGACAAGGACCGTATACAACGTCCCCATAATTTAATTTCGATAGAATGAGCGAGTCAACTAGTCTTTTTCGTAATTCTATTGACAAATATTCGCGTAATTTATATAAAACTTTTAGTCTATAAAAACACTGTCGTACAACATCATTAACATGATTTTCAAAGCGTAGCTCTGGGTCTATAATGAGTCCCAAATTTCGTGCCGAGTCCACCTGATGAATCGTTTCATTCATTATTTTTACAATCGGTTTCGTCAATGCGATTTTACTAATTTGCTTTTTGTTTCCTAGAATCATAAATTTGGATTTTATCGCATTTAGTGCTAATGTATTATTTTCCGCCCATGTAGTAATTCTTTTAAGATCTTCATTAAGTTTCTGTATAGCTTCTGTCGTATCTTTGGGTTCACAAGATATAAACAGCTGCAAATCATCAGCATATATGTGATATTTGCAGTGATGAATACAACTGATGATATCGGCGATATATATAATAAACAATAAAGGTCCTAAAATCGATCCTTGTGGAACACCTCTAGATACCGAAAGAGGGTGAGACGAAAGAAACGACCCATCTTCCTTTCTAATTTCTACAATTTGACTTCGGTTTGAAAAATAGCTATTAAACCACTGAATTGTTTTTATATCAAAACCATAATAAGATAATTTAGATATAAGCAGTTGTACGTTAATTGAATCAAATGCCCGAGAACAATCCAAAAGAGCCAACAAAGTTCCTTTACCATCATCTCTTGCTTCTAAAATATTGCCTACCACGTCTGATAAAGCTGTAGAGGTGCTACGGTTTTTCCTAAAACCAGATTGCAAGTCAGGTAATATGCTATTTGCCTCTAAATACTCCATCACTTGTAAGTATACTACTCTTTCCAAAATTTTAGATAAAGATGGTAGTATACTTATGGGTCTAAGGTCTTTAATTTCAGTAGGATTATTGGTTTTAGGAATCGGACGCACAATAGCCATCTGCCATATCTCTGGAAAGGTACTACTTAGTATTGATTCATTGATTATTGTCGTGATTGCGTCTAAAGAATATGGTAGCGTGAGGTGTAACATGTCACGGCTAATGCTATCATTTCCCTGCGCATTTGATTTTAATTCAGTGATAATTTTTAGAACAATATCCCGACTAACAGGCTTAAGACTAAAAGTATTTGAGCTAAATCTATTAAATTCATAGTAAGTTAACTGAGATATGGTAACACTATGCGTACCAGGAACGTCGAGAAAAGTTTTATTCATTTCATCAGGGTTGTTAAATGTTGATGGAATTTCAAAGTTCTTAGCATCTGGTAAGATATCTGATTTAAGATTTTGCCATAATTTTTTTGGATTATTTATGTTATTATTGATATGCTGATCATAATATGCCTTTTTTTCGCAAGATAATGCAATAGTGGTGTGACGTTTAAGTTCCTTATAATAAGTTTTGTCACATTCTAGTTTAGAGTTGCGATATTTATTATGGGCTTCATTCCGTAATTTCATTACATATTTTACGTTATCAGTAAGCCAAGGCGTAGACCGAGTCGTAATTTTTTTACTTCTAATTGGAGCATGGAGGTCATAAAGTTGTAAGATTAAATTATTTAAACTCAATACCATATCATTTACTCCACGGCATTCGTGTATGGAATTCCATGGTATTGATCTCAAATCTTCCTCGAACAGATGCGGTAAGATATCCTTTAAAGGACGGTATTTTAAAATTTTAGGTCGCGGTTTATCTTTTTTTACTAATATTTCGCAGGAGATGAATGAATGGTGGCCAAGGTCAGGGACATGATCCACCGAAATATTTCTAGTTTGTGCGTCTGTACATACAACGTCTATAAGTGTTTGACTATTATTTAGAATATGAGTAGGTACAGTAATAATTTGCATCAAGCCACAACATTTTAAAAAATCATGTAATTTTTTAGTTTTGCTATCATTAACTTCAATCATATTAATATTGAAATCACCAAGCAGAACGACATTATCACAATGAGCAAAGGAACAGATACTGTCCATGATAGCATCTAAAAATATTTCAGAATCGAGCCATGGTGGGCGATACGCGGTACCGATAAGCACTTGAAATTAAGTACACGAATATCTTTTAGGTAAACAATATGCGAACACAATTGCTCATAACCGCTAAATGGGTTAAGTTTCAGATAAATTGACTTATCCTATACCTATAAGTAAATGTTTTTTAACGCAGCTTGAAACCTATTCTAATTTTTTATGCGTTCCTTTATTATATTTTCAGTTTTCTTAGATGTAAGTGCAATAGGCCCACGACTCCATTGCTAACCTAAAAAAAAATAGATAACGTCACTGTCGAATTGTCAATGCTTCAACTGTCATTAGACTGCAACTGTCATATCGTTCATTCCTTTGTGTTTTGATGTGTGATATTTACAGTTTGCATTTGCTTGCACTTTTTCATTTCTTCTTTTCGTCTTTTTTTTATCTTTAACACTTGTTTTCTTAGTTTATCGTTTTGAAGTTTTTTCTTTCATAAGATATGTCTAACGATAATAGTTTAGATTTGCATTACGTACATCAAAGTTTTCAACGGAGTCTCAAAGAAAACGACGATGTAGTAATAGAGGCATATATTGACGGCTATAATGAACTTGTGAAGTAAGGGTTTTTAAAAAACAATATCCCATGCTTCCATATGGCCTATATTTATTTAAAATTTCCTGTTTTCAGGTTCTTAAATCTTATCGGGACTGTGTTTTCGTTTGTTAGTAGTGATGTTAAAAGTAAAATTAAAGTTATGGAGAAACACAAGGAAGGCGAAAATGCTGTACATTACGAATCCTTTAAAAAGATGATGAAGTTTGAAAAGGAGACTAGTTTACATGAGAAGAGCGGTTTCGTTTCCGGCTCACGGACCATGCTACGTCTCCACAGAGGTTTAGGTTTGTACAAAAATATTATTAAAATAGTTTAGAAAACAAAAACAAAGTAATACTAAGGTACTGCTTCGAGAGTGAGATGATATGTAACAAATAAAAATTTTGACATATACATTCATGTGTAATATACCAAAATATGTGTAATGCTTGTTTTTTTTTTCATTCCATGATTAAAGAAGGATATTTGTCAAAATATTTTAGTTAGTAGTTTCAATAGAAAAATAATATATATTGTTATATAAAATATATGAAGTATTTTATGTGACTATATTTTTTTTTATAATCAATCAGGAGTTAAGTAAATTATTAGAATTACCTTTTTGAAAATCTATATTTTTATGAATGAGTTTCAAATATCCATTATTTGTTATTGAAATTTTTATGTTGGTTAAAGAATAAAATAAAATAAAAATAGGAAATATGTTTTAACTCAAAAATCAAGTGGATTTTTAGCCTGTAGGTGACTCCTTTTATCATGTTTTTTTTTTATATTTTTTTCTCACCTAAGTCCCCCTTTCCAGTTGATAATGGAGATGAAAAATTTTATTTCAGGATTCTTTAATTCTGAAATAAATTAATTACTTTGCTAAAGTTATTATTAATAATAACATTATGAAAGATATTTTTAACTATCAAGATAAGATTCTTCATGGCTAACTGTGAATACTAAATGAAATATCATTTTGTCTTCATATTTGCTTTGCGTAAAGTTAGACAGTACACTGATACTGATACTGCTAGATTAGTCTATTTTAGTTATTTTCATAGTTTACTCTCTTATGGAATATTACTATGGGGAAAAGCGGCAGATATTAAGAATATATTCATATTACAAAAACGTGCCATTCGAGCGATCTACTGTATGAAGAGTCGTGACTCATTAAGAGAGAAATTCAAAGAGGCAAATATTCTCACCGTTGCTTCTCAATTTATATATTCAAATATCCTATATGTTCATAAAAATCTTGACTTGTTTCCGAAAAACAGCAATATTCATAATATTAATACTAGATTTAAAGACAAACTTGCTGTCCCCAAGTATCGTTTAGAAAAAGTTAATAGGTCTTTTATGGGAATAGGTATAAAAATTTACAATAAGATACCAAAGGATATGTTGGAATTACCCTTAAATAAATTCAAAACATCTGTTAAATCATATTTACTGAGCAAAGCCTATTACTCACTAAACGATTACTTGAATGACGAGTGTGCATGGCAATAGTTGTTCATGCACTGAATTTTCATTTAATGTTAGACATAGACACCTATATAAATATACATTGTAAATAAACTGGCTTTTAAAAAAAAAGTAATTCAATTGAGTTTCTTGCCAGTTCTTCTCAGTTGGATCTATATACCGAACTGGACGGTAGGGAAAAAAATAAAATTATAATGTAAAAATTTGACGTTCATAAGCGGCTAAAATGTCCTACATGAATAAATTATTTTTGAATTTGAATTTGAATATTTTGCAAATTAACTTTTGAATTTATATCAAAGTTACATGAAATTGATTGTTAGTAATGGATTTTTTTTAATGGGTGATAATGATATGGTAACCCTGCCTGCACTATCAGTATACACTGGCGAAGCACCAGTGGGAGATGATAAATGAGGATAAAAGCAGGTCAGTTAGCCCATCCTGATGAATTCAACTAGATTTAACCACAATGTTTTTCAGGGGGAACCATGTGAAGATCGACCTGACAGGGTATATTGTTAGTAATGGGGCTATTTTATTTATTTATTTATTTATTCTTTATTGTACACAAAAAAAAAAAATATTACAAATAATATATATAAAATAAAGGTGTACAATAGGCGAGCTTAACTCTGTAAGAGTTCTCTTCCAGCAAACCCTGAGTGGAAAGGAGCATTAATTATTTATTAGCGGGCAGTATGCGTACAATAATAGAAGGAAACATTATTGATGTTTCTATTAAAACATATGAAATATGTTGACTACATAAATAACTCATACAATTAAAATCAAAATAAATACATATCTGTATACATATACATATATACATAGACATAAAATATCTCTTTACATACAAAAAAATAGGTACATATACATACATAGACATAATAAGTTTATGAGGACAGAAGATGCTCTTTTAATCTGCTCTTGAATATATTCAGCGATTGACTTTCACGAATATGCAGTGGAAGAGAGTTCCATAGTCTAGCCGCATGAACCGTAAATGATCCACTATAGCATGAGGAGGTATGAGGAGGGATTTTAAGAATAAGGGATTTACTCGACCTACTGGACATGCCAGTGGGGTCAAGGAAAGTGAAACGTTCACAAAGATAAGATGGAGAGGAAGAATTATACAGTACAGAATACAGGAAAGATAAAAGATGAAAATCACGACGTTGACGAATTGGGAGCCATTTTAATATGCTTCTGTAAGAGGAGACATGATCGTATTTTCTAAGTCCATAAATAAAACGTATGCATAAATTCTGTAGCCGCTCCAACCTATTTAATTGTTCCTCTGTGACATCTAGATAACATACGTCAGCATAATCTAGAAGAGGTAGTAATAAAGCTTGGGCGAGTGTGATTTTCGTTTCAATGAGCAAAAATTTCTGAAAACGTTTGAGCGAGTGAAAAGAAAAGTATAGTTTCCTACTTACTCCATTGATATGCTCACCCCAGGATAAATTACTGTCGAACATGATTCCAAGATTTTTGGCACTTCTAGCATACGGAATTGGAGATTGCTCATAGAAAATAGAAGGTAAAACATCAATATCAAGTGCACTATATCTCCGATGCCCCCCGATTATTAATGCTTGAGATTTACGGGGGTTGACTAGAAGTCCGTAGGATTTTGCCCAATGGGATATTTTATTTAAATCATGGTTTATATGATCAATAGCCTCAGAGATGTCACAGAGTTCAAAGTGTTGGTATAGTTGCAAATCGTCTGCATAGAGATGGTAGGGAGAAGAAATTACTTGAGTAATAGCATTAATAAATACTGAGAAAAGAAGCGGGGAGAGAACGCCGCCTTGTGGGACTCCAGATGCAACCTCACACCAATCTGAGTATACCTCATCATAGCGTACGCATTGCAATCGGCCCCGAAGATATGAATCTAACCAATTGATTACAGGTGGAGATATGTTAAGAGATGAAAGGATACTTAAAAGAATGTCATAGTCAACAGAATTAAAGGCACTGCTGAAGTCCAATAGAACAAGGAGTGTCAGGGAGTGGTTGTCCATAGCCCAGCGTATATCATCAGTTACTTTGACAAGTGTGCTGTGACCAGGACGGAAACCAGATTGATAAGGACTCAGCAAGTTATGGCCAGACAAATAAACGGATAGTTGCTTGTGCACAATGTGCTCCAATACTTTAGATAAGGTGGGAAGTATTGAGATAGGTCTCAGGTCAGAAATAGATGTGATTTGACCATTACAATCCCTTTCTCTCTAGTAATAGGTTTTTTTTTAACCTGCACTATCGGTATACACTGGGTAGTAATGGGGTTTGACAACCCCTATCAGGTCGACCTCCATGTGGTTCCTTGAAATCATTGTGATTAATTATTTTTAAATTCATAATGAAGGGCCAACTGACCCACTTTCATCCTTACCTATCATGTTTCATTGGTGCTCCACTAGCACATACTAAAAGAAGGTGTAAAAAAAAATCTATTGTTATCCATTAAAAAGACTGAATGGACAAAGCTGTGGCTAACAACTAGTTAACTATAATGAAATACTTTCAGATTTTATCAGATTATTTCTGAAACGATTAAGTGAATCAGACGATACAGTGAGCACGTGTACCACGTGCCAGGGCTCTTATAATGAAACCCTGGCGGGTTTCCATCCATGGTACATCAGGCAGGCCGCCACCCTCGCCATGCATGCACTGCCAACAAGACCTGACCTGCTCAAAAAGGTATTTATTTAAATAAGTTTATTTATTATTATTTCAGCTGTTAATTGTCCACTGCTGGACATAAGCCTTTCCCTTAATGTAGTTTTACCAGTAGTCGCACTTGGTAAGCGGGTTTGCAACCGCAGCTAGGCTTTTAGAGATGTTTTAAGAGGGATGCTGCTGCCCATCTCTCGTCCTCCCTTCATTGTTTCTTACGACACCTACGGGGAAGAAAGGGGTGGCTATTCTATGCCAAGGCACATGGCGAAGAAATAAGTTTATTAACCATATTGAAATATAGTACAAAAGGCGGACTTAATGCTAGTAGCATTCACTATCAACAATCTTTGGACCAAGCAAGAGATAAAGTTTTTTTTTTGGATGAGAATGGATTGGTAACTCCGCCCGCGCTAACAGGATACGTTGGCGGAGCACCAGTGAAGGGTGATCGATGAGAATGAAAACAGGCCAGTTAGCCTATCATGATGAATTCATCATGAAGAATCAATCATGATAGTTTCCATGGGGAACCGCGTGGAGGTCGACCTGGTTAGGTATATTGCTAGCAATGAGATTTTTAGTCTCCATTACTAACAATCCCTTTCCCTCCAGAGATAAACAGTTAATCTTTTGGTATAAAATTGTATAACTTATAGCACCATCTAATTACAGTCCTACTCTCCTTATGAACCGTCAAATTAATTGCTAGTGAATTGTTATGATGAGTAAACTGACCTGGCTTCATCCTTAACTAACATCCTAATTAAGGGATTGTTAGTAATGGGGACTGAGGCTATGTATCAAATGAACCTCCCTGCTGTTCCTTCTGGAAATCATGGTGGTTAATTTGAACTTGTTACGATGGGTTGACTGACCTGAGTTTTTCATTTCTGTCATCATGTGCAGGAGGGGTTACTGTACCATTATTATCCATTAAAAAATCCTCCACTGGCACCCCACCAGCGTATAACGAATGGGAGAGGGGGTGGGGGAAGGCATTGTTAGTAATGGGATCTAATATACCCTGTCAGGTCGACTTCCACGTCCCGGTTAACGGTACCCCGTGGAAACCATAGTGATGAATTCTGTGTGTGTTCGTCACGATGGGCTAATTCACCTGTCTTTTCATCGTCACCTATCATCTCTCACTGGTGCTTCGTGAATGTGGAATACCGTTAGCGCAAAGCTGGGGTACCTTTCAATTATCATCCTTTAAACATCGATAACGAAGGCACTAGTCGTATACCTAATCAGTTTTATAGACTTGGTATATGCTGTAAAAGATCTTCGAATCTGTTTTTCATTACCGCCTATTCGGAACGCAATTTCAGCCAAGATAGACGGGCAAGAAACTCAGCTGTTGCTTTTTTTTTTCAAAACTATAATTTTATAAATAATTAATTTGTATCAATACAAACTACTAAGCAGTTTCAGGTCGTAAAATCATCATCATTGCCATATAAGGTAATAACAATTTATGATCATTCGATAGTAACAAAGCTGTTAAAGAGTTTACTCTCGTGTTCTCTATAAACCCTATTGATTTCAAAAAGAATTATCAATATCGGTTATGAATTGGCAAAGATATAATAACGTAACATATCTATACTAAAAATATATATAAGAATGCATTGAATTCGTTTAAAATTATCTTCAAATTGATACAAAGCGTGGGAAAAACTTTTATCTCAAATAGATATGTCAGTGTTAAGTAATACTAATAATTTGATATAGGATGATATCTGATAGCATCCCGGCTTAATATACATGAACAACGTAATGGAGATCACAGGATACACTGTGCCGTCTGTTATTCTTTATAATTATTATAGAATAATACCTATAGTTTTATAGTCATGTGGTTCCGAATAGGCCACCCTTTCCTTTCCTGTGAGAGCCATAAGAAGAGACTAAAGAAACTTAATGGTAAAAATATGAACAGCACAATCTCTCTTAATACATCGTTAAATGCCTTACTGCGGTGGCCAATCCATTTGCCAAGTGTGACAACTACTGGCAAAACTCCCCTTACGGGGAAGGCTTATGTTCGACAGTGAAAAGTTAACGGCTGAAATGATATATATTTTACAGAGGATGTTTATATTTAAATACACTATAAGCAGCCATTAGATAAATTATATATAAACAATTACAAATTCAATCTATAACTTAATTAATTTATAAATCAATAAAGTAGAAATATCAATATTAATAAATTAACTATGGCGCTTCGCAAGCGTTAATGTAATGTATACATAACAATAAAACTGATTACACCTTGTTTGTAAACGTGGTGAGTGATTACAACTTATATAATTATAATATGCTCACGATAATATCTCTTAATGGGGTAGTCAGAGGTATTTATGTCTTTAGTGGTACACTGTACAGAATAGGCTATTCCTTCCTTTCCCATGGGTGTCGTAAGAGGCGACTAAGGGAGAGCGAGGGATGGGCGACAGTGTTCCTCTTAAAACATCTCCAAAGCCTAACTGCGGTTGCCAATCCGCCAGTATTTGCCGCGTTCTTCAAACGTGGTAACTGCTGGCAAAATCCTTTCAAGGGGGAGGCGTATGTTCAGCAGTGGACAGTTGGAGGCTGATGTGATGATAACACGCGTAGATCATATCCTAGCACATCACACTAGAGGGAGACTTTGGACAAAAGTCGATTGCTTGGGTACCTCTGTCCCATTCGTGTTTCAACCGTGAAGCAGTTGTGTTTGCATGGCTGTGTTTCGGTTTGAAGGGTGGGATATGGCGTGAATTTACTGGGTACAGAGGAATAACACCTGAGTCCTCAGGAATGGCAACGCATGGGATATCATGGGCGAAACAGTATACTCTGTTATGTCCATGGTACTGCTCATGTCTATAGGCGACGGTTACCACTTTACATTAGGTGGGCCGTCAGCTTATTTTCCATTCTAAGTTGTATAAAAAAAAAAACATTCACGCAAAAACCACTGAATGGATTTGAATGAAATATTGGTACATGGCTAAGTTATATCCTAACTTCCTCTCAGTGAGGATACACCTACAGGTCACTTAGTGAAGGGGTCCGCCTTGTGGGACGGACCAATGCGTTCGGGACGGGACGATTGCTCGCGCACGCCCACATCTCGAAGAAAGTACTGAAAAGAAAAAAAAGGTTATATCCTAACCTGTTATGTCCATGGTTCTGCTTATGTCTATAGGCGACGGTTACCACTTTACATTAGGTGGGCCGTCAGCTTGTTTGCCATTCTAAGTTGTATAAAAAAAAAAAACAAAAAAAACAACAACAACTTAGCAGATAGGATACTTCATGTATTTACTGATTCATGGAGGTAAAGTCGCGGGATAGAGCTAGTATTTACCTATAAATAGATTCGTGTCACTGTTTAGGGGCGCAGTTTCCTTAATTGCAAATAGCCAAGTCGGGCGGGCCACCGAAGGTCGGACTACTATCAGTAATTAACTCTTATTCGGTCCAATGCCGCCAATAATCGATACAGAAATTTATCTATCAGTCAAAATGAAACCACTTATTCTAATGATATACAGCAAAAGCTCTTTAATCGCGGAATATATGTTCAGTAAATATATCGCAAATGCAGAAACTGGGAATACGAAAAGCCAAACCACTTGTACAGCGGCAATAGCATTTGACAACATACTTTAGGTGTAATTGTAATGAGATCTGTTTTAACTTTTTAATAGTCCATTTGCCAACGTATTTACAAATGATACTGAATTCTTTTTATTAATACATAATGATTAGATACGCGAATAAAGTAAATTTGGGAGACTTTGTACAAAAGTCGATTGCTTGATAAAACACGAATGGGACAGAGGTACCCCTCTGTCCCATTCGTGTTTTAACCGTGAAGCAGTTGTGTTTGCATAGCTGTGTTTTGGTTTGAAGGGTGGAATATGGCGTGAATTTCTGGGTACAGAGGAATAACACCTGAATCCTCAGGAATGGCAACGCATGGGGGATATCATGGGCGAAGTATACTCTGTTATGTCCATAATACTGCGCATGTCTATAGGCGATGGTTACCACTTTCCATCAGGTGGGCCGTCAGCTTGTTTGCCATTCTAAGTTGTATAAAAAAATATATATATAGCCGCGAATATAGGTATTGGGTTGTAATTTTTTAATCCGTGAATAATAAATACGCGAATAGAGGAAGCGTGAATAATGAGCTTCTACTGTATAAACATTTATATTGGAATTGTGGTAAATAAACTTACTTCCGTATAATTTAGCTGCATCTTGTATTGTGTCACCCGTTAACTGTCCACTACTGAAAATAGCCACGCTTGACAGGTGGGTAGGCAACCGCAGTTTAGTTTATGGTATTGTTTTAAGAGGGACACTACTGCCCATCCCTCCACCATAAGTTCCCTTATGCCGGGACCTACTTAAGCTGTATTTTATGAGTATGTTGATTTAAGGTTGTAACATTCAAATGGCGTAATTAGTGTTTTACAATTCCTTGCCCAAAGCCTAACTGCGTTTGGTAATCCGTCTGCCAAGCGTGGCAAATCGCCCGGAGTAAAGCGTGGAAGATAGGCGTGACAGATATGTATGTATATATATCTTTTATTTATGACGTAATACTTTTAGATCTTCGGCACAGATGAGAGCCTATCAGCAGCGTTGTCTGTCCTACCGCAAATGTTAACATCATGCGACGAAGTGTACCGGCGCGTACAACAGCTTTACACGGACTTTGAATTCCACGAGTTACCATAAACACTCCCTCTACAATATATAGATAAAGGTACCTGTTTCAGGCTATGATTACATCGAAGTTGCAAGATTTATGATTATATTTTCACATATGTTAGCGTTGCAGCGTTTAGACTAAGGATTGTATTAAATTTTTAGGTTATGTTTACATCGAACTGGGAAGGCAGCGCTGCAGCCCTTGTGTATGTAAAAATTAGAGTTATATTCGAAGAGTTATACTATATAAGGTCTTAAGGACTATTTATACTATTGTTCGTTTGAATAGAATATTAATGAAAATGTAAATGGAATACTTGACTTAACCGTAAGGCATTCTGCTCATGCCCAATAGTAGTATAAATTAAAAATCAATTATTTAATTACTAATTTCATTTAGAGAGTGTTTCTGTGATAATATCAACAAAAATTCGTTACGTTTTCATTAAGTTCTAATAAAACTATATATAACGGGTGGCGAAATGCCCTGTGCAATATGCTATGTAAAATAATCTACAGCCTTTCACTGCCTGCATATCGTTGAAGAGCGATCGGTCGTTAATATAGACTTTATCCGTATACTATTAAAGTTAATTTTATATTACAATCCTGTGTGCTCCCGTTGTTAAATACCGGGTGAAGTTGACATCGTTGGCATCCTTTTATGGGAGAAAACAACTAGTAAAATTAATTTCCCAAAAAGACGAAAAATAATGGATTATCACCATGGCAGTAGCTGGAGGGGGGGGGGGCATTATGGGGCAATGCCCTACCTTAAAAGGCCTATCTTAAAATGAAAGGCCTGAAGGAAATTATATAATTTCGCTTTTCGAAATCATTTAATTATGGCTTCTGCCCTATCAAAAAGTTCTTTTGCCCTACCTTAAACATGGGCCTAGCTACGACCCTGATTTTCCCATATTAATTTATTAACTGTTCGCGTGATTTTAATACAGGGAGGGGTTTTATTATTGGTTTTCGGTGAATGTTTCTATACAGGAAATATTCAGTTTTGTTGTTAGGGCACTCCCGTAAAAGGTAGGTAATGCGATTTTATCCCATATGTTAAGGGATTGCCAAATTCATATTCGATCGGGTTGTATCTCCTGCCAGCATTAAGGTCGTCACAACGGTGTATATATTTTAACTACACGTGTATTTGAACTACAGTTATTAAAAAGTAATTGGCTAAAATTTAAAGCTATATAATTTAGTTTAAAGTGTATTCAGTAATGTTAAATGAAATGCAGTTCATGTCTATAGGTGACGGTTACCTCTCTCAATCAGGTGGGCCGTTTGTTTACCATTTTGCCATCATAAAAAAAAAACATAACTAGGCATGGGTAATATGGATACCGATACGATATCTATATATTGGGTTTCTCTGGACACTGATGACGAAAAAAAGAACATCACCTATTACGATATCGATCGGATATCTATTTTCGAATATGTTAAAAGTCTGTTATTCAATATTTTATTTTTATAACAGACTTTTAACATATTCGTTATTGGAATGGTATATAGATATTTATAACTTTTTAATCATTTTATATATATATATATATATATATATATATATATATATATATATATATATATATATATATATATATATATATATATATATATATATATATATACCAATAACGAATATGTTAAAAATCTGTTGTATGCGCACTCCGAATTATAACATTTTGACAGACTATATCAATGTAGATGTTCGCAAATAGTGTCTTCTTTAAATCAAAGCATTTGGCGTTCCATTGTTTCTGTCTACCCTAATGGGAGACAGGCGTGACAGATATGTATGTATGTATGTATGGTTAAGCCGTTAAAGCGCTATAAGATAAACAAACAAACTCACTTTTATATTTACAATATTAGTAAGAATATGACGATAGATGTTTGTTACTCCTTATGCAAAATCTAGATATTAAGAGATTTGACAGAAATTTTGTACACGAATAAGTTATATATTATACTTTGTATATACTAAATCAAGCGGGCGAAGCCGCGTAATACAACTAGTAGCAAATATTGGACCATGAACCTTTTGGTGCGTGGTCAAGTGGTAGGTACATATGATGGGTATTGCATTGTTTTGTTTGGAAGTACATAAAGTATCCTGTGTGCTAATTTAGGATAGAACCTACACGTGTACTTAATTTCATTCAAATCCGTTTAGTAGTTTTTGCGTGAAATAGTAACAAACATCTATCCATCTATTTTTACAAATTTTTGCATATATACTCGTAATATTAATAAGATTCTCGCAGTGGACCTGATAGAGTATTTTGGTAGTAATGGGGTTGTTAGATCCCATTACTAACAATCCCTTTCCTCCTATGGAGGACGGTTGCCACTTATCACCAAGTGGGCAGTCAGCGTATTTGCCACACTTTATAATAGAGACAGTGTTTCAATTATCATTATAAATGATATATGTTTTAACTTCATTTAAGTCAAAGACTTTATTGTTTGTCATTTTATCATGTACTGATAACTTGTCTTCATTAAAAAGGCCCAATTTATCAGATAAAGTTGATAATAAACGTTGGTGTATACAGAGTTTTGGGTAATGAATAAAGGTCAGTGTACTATGAAATAAAGTTATGTTATTAAAAATACCGGGACATTCATGAAAACATCTTGGAAAATTAATCCTATTAATTAAGCATGAGTAATATGGGTACCGATCTTTTTTTTTTTATACAACTTAGAATGGCAAACAAGCTGACGGCCCACCTAATGGAAAGTGGTAACCGTCGCCTATAGACATGAGCAGTATCATGGACATAACAGAGTATACTGTTTCGCCCATGATACCCCCCATGCGTTGTCATTCCTAAAGGCTCAGACGTTATTCCTCTGTACCCTGTAAATTCACTGCCATATCTCACCCTTCAAACCGAAACACAGCCATGCAAACACAACTGCTTCACGGTTGAAACACGAATGAAGATCTGATATCTATATATTGGATTCCTCTAGACATTGAAGGCTAAAAAAAGGTGATCACCTATTTCGATATCGCCCATATCGGTCGGATATCTATTTTCGAATATATTAAAAGTCTGTTATCCAATATTATTTTTTGGATAACAGACTTTTAACATATTCGTTATTGAAACCAGTATATAGGTATTGTAACTAAAATATATAGATATTGCTATATATTTTCCACCCCTACTATAAATATAATAAATACGAAAGTTTATAACGATGGATATATAGGTATTTGTAACTCTTTCACGCAAAACCTACTGAATGGATTTGAATGAAATTTAGTATACGGGTAAGTTATATCCTAACTTAGTACATAGGATACTTTATGTACTGGTTCTCGTGGGTGAAGACGCAGGATACAACTAGTATATAATATGCACGAAGGGTTCGATGTTACCATCACGAAAAATAGTAGTTACAGATTATTATCTCAAGAATCATATATATCAATAATAATAATAATTTATTTGCCAGAAACATAGATGATATGATGTTACAGTTTGTTTTTTCATGTTCAGTATGTTTCGCCATATTTAATTGCCATTGATTCATAATTAACACAATGACAAGTCCAATTTCATTTAATTATCTCATTCTAATTACAAATTTATCATATTTTATTAAGTTATAAAATTATTAAATTGTACATAAGAACACACTATTTGGAATAGCATGCAAGCATTTTTTTATTTCCGTGCACGAGTCTACGGTAGCGTTGCGGAGAATTAAAGGCATTTCCATACATTAATGAATACGTTCATATCTTCCACTAGCAGTGTCAGTACAGCTTTGTTCGCGCAATAAATACATAGAGTATCCTATGTTCTAAGGATATAACTTACCCGTGTACCAAATTTCATTGAAATCCATTTTTGCGTGAAAGAGTAATTAACATTTATCTGTCTATGTCTACAAACTTTCGCTTTTATATTAATAGAATTCTATGAAAACAGCTTACTGTTTAAAATATTAATTTTAACATAACATATTACTCTGTGATTTTAACTCACCTAGCTATTTCAATTTTATTTATTTATCTATTTATTTTGTGATATATAGGTAACAGTAGGTACATAATAATGGATAGTAAAACAAGATAAGAGTCCTCTATGATCAATGTTGTAAATAGCAGGATGCAGTAATAAAACATATATGTATTTGTGATATAAAATAATAAATTTAGTGAAAAAAAAAAACACGAGACGTCTTATAAAAATCTGACATAGAACGAACTTAAAAATAATACATTGTTCTAAAAACTTTAGTGTCAACAGCTAGTATTAAAACTACAACAATTAACCGTATCTGTCGAGATATATAAATTCACAAACATATATATATATAAGAGAAAAAAAAAAAACAAATTCAATAATGTCACATTTACAGTGAAAAAATCATAATAATAAGGAAATTTATTTCTTGCCTGCATGCTGCATGCACTGGCCTTAAAATTTATATCGTCGCGTTAGTAATTCCCTTGTCACACACAAAAAATGATCTCATTTTAGTGAGATGTGAGTATTCTTCTATTATATTAATTTTGTTTCATATATTATTAATTTATCATTTATTAAAAAAATATATTGATGATTGAGATTTATATATATATATATATATATATATATATATATATATATATATATATATATATATATATATATATATATAAATCTATTAACCAACTTTAAATGCTAGAGTGTATTGTCATATTGAAAATTTAATGTAAATGATATAGACAAAACATTTCAATAGCTAAAATAGGATTTTTTTTCGAATTTTGTCGTTTTTCTAAATAAACGAATATATCGTAACGATTAAAAGTAGTAGTAAGGGCCTACCATGAAATATTTCCCGAAATTTCGAAGCCGAACGAAACCCAAATTTGATATTATATTAGTCATACCATATAAAAATATTAAAAATGTTAAAATATCATTCCTTTGGCCTGTTGTGGTAGGATTTATGACGAACGAAATGTTAAGTTCCATTTACTGGAACGATTTCGATATGAACAAAAACACGTAAATGAGTTCAAAATTTCGGAATTTCATTTCATGGTATGTCTGTATGGTATGTATGTATTCTCCCTGTTGATGTGAAAATTGACACTTGGTTATTAAAAAATTATTCCCGTTAAAAAGTTGTTGCCGTTGCTTTATCGTTTATATATATTAAAAAAGAAAAACTAACTTTATAAGATATCCAGAAATGTACCTATATTTATTTCATTTTTACGTTTTATACTTTTTTTTAAATAAATTCTAAAATTAAAATAAATAAAAAGATTTTTTGAAAGCGTATTGAGGGATTCTCAAATTCGAACGTTTTATATATTTAAATTTTGCTTAGTACTTATAAGGGAATAAGTGCATCAGTATGTATGTACTTATGTATTTCTTATCTGTTTAACAAAAACAACAATCCACCTAATCAATGATTAATTTGTAGGTACATAATGTGTAAAATCTTGAGCTCAATTGTAACTGTTGCTCAGGTTATCTTTTTGTACGTATATTTTTTATAAAGAAAGAAAAAACATTATAAGAAAAATAAGGACTTAATTAAATGACCTGTTGTATCTAGCATTTATGTGCTTATAAAAATGCTAATTTAGAAGCTAAACGTAATTTTAAGTACAATTTTCCATTGATTTATTTTCTATTTGACAAATTTTAGCACACTACTTTCATTATATATTAAAATGTATGATATATATATATATATATATATATATATATATATATATATATATATATATATATATATATATATATATATAATTCAAAATGTATCATATAATAATGGTTCTTATGCGTTAAAATAAAATTTAGTCTAAACACTTTAATTTACTCTAAACACTGGCATATTCAGTTCACTAGCAACTGTAAAGAATGAAATAAAAAAAAAATAAGGCTTCTAATAGTCAGCCATTAATTGTCAAATAGAAAACAAATTAATGGAAAAATTATATTAGTAATATTTATAAGAGTTTAATAAATAATGGCTTTTAGCTTTTGGCCACAACAGAATATCAGTGTTTTGCTCTTTTTGAGGGCAAAGCAATAAGCTGAGTTGTGACCATTTTGTGTTACTGTGGCACACTCACGAGAAATTGTGTAACCTTTTTTTATGTATATGTTTTTCTTTTTTTTTTTGTATATGTTTTGTTTTAATTCTTTATTTAAAAAATGTAATGCTGTAAGTGATGCAAATAAATTATATATCTGTCTATCTAATAATATAAGAGAGCTGTATTTGAATAAATATATCCAGAACATAATAGATAATGATATATTTTTATTTATTATTATTAATAATAAATTTCTATACTATATCTCATTGTTAAATTAATTTAATTTAATTTATTCATTAGTACATGTATGTGTACAAGGCGAATTTAATGCTAAAAGCATTCTCTCCCAGTCAACTGTAAAGAAGTGTTAGAATACTCGATTGAGGTACTAGTAGTAAATGATATACTACGTATGTATATCTAGAATTGACATATATAAAGAAAGAAATATATAAATAACAAATATACTTACACATATATAAGATATACTATATTTTTTTTTGTTAACTGTCGATCCCCAATCAGTATTCGCATTGTAATGATGTACGACGTACGAAATTAAATGCTAGATCTGCTGACATTGTTTTCAAGTTGGCACATGCGTATTAACATTTTGCTGACCGGAAATTTCTTTATGGTTGAAAAACTAGACCAGAGGGAGACTTTGTACAAAAGTCGATTGCTTGGGTACCTCTGTCCCATTCGTGTTTCTACCGTGAAGCAGTTGTGTTTGCATGGCTGTTTCGGTTTGAAAGGTGGGATATGGCGTGAATTTTCTGGGTACAGAGGAATAACACCTGAGTCCTCAGGAATGGCAATGCATAGGGGGTATCATGGGCGAAACAGTATACTCTGTTATGTCCATGGCACTGCTTATGTCTATAGGCGACGGTTACCACTTTCCATCGGATGGGCCATCAGCTTGTTTGCCATTCTAAGTTGTATAAAAAAAAAAAAAAACTCAAATTGTGATAAAAATCTAAATACAAAGAAAAGTAATGTTTTGGTCATGAACGCTTTGTAAGTCAAACGGTCTTGCCCGTCATGGTAGGAGGACGTACTTACACGCTAGTGCAATGACACGTTCACTCCTTACCGGTCAGCCACGTTTGGATATGAAAAGACGAGTTAATTCATCACTGGTCAGCAAAGTGTTAATATTAAATTTAGGTTTATTGTAATTTATTTATGCTTAGACTATTTGTCTGTTAGCCAATTTAGAATAATTCATTGTGCAGCTATATATTTGATTCGTAGCCTAGTTTCAGATTTTATTTCAATAATTTTTTTCTTCTATAAATACATATGTAAGTAATATTATTTTAATTAAATTTAGTTTTAAGTTACTATTGTTTTAAGGAATTATGATTAATATATATATATATATATATATATATATATATATATATATATATATATATATATATATATATATATATATATATATATATATATATATGTAATAATGGAATAAGGTAAAGCAATGATAGACTAGAAAGAATCTAGTGGACGAAAATGAGTGGCGGAGTACTAGCGAGGGATGATAGGGAAAATAGTCAGGTCAGTTGGTATATCGTGAGGAATTCACCAGTATTAACCACGATAAGTTTAAAAGGGCCCGTGTGAAAGTCGACCTGATAATTTCAACTATCAAACGATGTCTCGTACGTACTTGTGCAATGTGGCTTATTGAGTTATTTAGTTGAAAAATTGTGCTAATTGACAACAATCCTTCGAGTTGTTAGGCAACTCGACTTAAATCCTGTTGGAACTGTATTTTTTCAATTTAAATATATCAAATATTTGAAAGTTCTGAAGCTTTGTGTCAGTTGTATAAATATTTGCTTTACTATAACAATCATGCTTCGATAAGTTTGTATAGAAAACTGAGTTTCCAAAACCGTCCGCTAGTGGCGCTGTTTTCAATACAAACTCATCGCATGTAAACGTAACGTGCAATCGTAACGTAAATGTCTGTGCAACTCGGACTAGGCACTCGGTTGAATTTTAAATCATGTATTTTTATAGTTGGCACAAGTAAACAAAACTTAGCATTATTTACTGAAGTATCAATACTTACATAAAATAAAAAAGTTAAAAGGTCTGTGTAAATGATTGTAACTTTTATTTTTCTGTGTCAAGTATAGATAAAGTTATAATTATATGTACTATAATTGTGATTGTTCTTTGTAATTTTAATGTTTAATCAATGTCGCGTGCTTATTATACATTCCTAAGTCGTAGCATTCCTCAAGTTGTTGAGATAACATAGAACGTATTGATGCAACTTTTTATATGCAACATTTTTCTATTTGCAATAAATATTTTTGCCAGTGATTAACTATTTTATTTATCAATATATCCTATCAAGCTATGATTGCCCACTGCTGAACATAAGCCTCACCCCTTGTGTGGGGGGGGGGGGGGATTGTCATTAGTTAGCACGTTTGGTAAGTGGATTAGCAAACGTAGTTAGCTTTGGAGATGTTTTAAGGGAGCCGTTTCTGCCCTTCCCTCGTCCTCCCTTAGTCGCCTCTAACTACACCCACGGGAAAGGAAGGAATGGCTTTTTTTTATACAACTTAGAATGACAAACAAGCTGACGGTCCACCTGATGGAAAGTGGTAACCGTCGCCTATAGACGTGAGCAGTACCATGGACATTACAGAGTATACTGTTTCGCCCATGATACCCCTCATGCGTTGTCATTCCTGAGGACTCAGGTTTTATTCCTCTGTACTCTGTAAATTCACGCCATATCCCACCCTTCAAACTGAAACACAGCCATACAAAAACAACTGTTTCACGGTTGAAACACGAATGGGACAGAGGTACCCAATCAATCGAGTTTTGTACATATTATATAAGGTTTTGGCTTTTAGTTTCATGACTGCATATTTGACCAACGTCAGTTCTCCTTGGGAATGAATTGGTTCGTGGTTATCCACCACTAACTAAATACTACAAATTACATAGGAAAAAAGGAATGTGTTCGTAGGAGTAATAAAGGATTTATGGGAGAAGGGAAGGGGGTACACTACAGTTGCGGAAGAGATACTGGTCAGAAACTACAACGGTTCGGGAAACCGGATTCACATACCCGTGTGCCCTTGAAACTCTAGAATCGAGACTAACACTAGAGGAAAATGTAATAAGGTATTTATTTCTAGTAATAGCCATGTCACAGCTAAGAAATTTACAAGTAAAACAACAATTGCATATGTCGCTGTTTATTCGATGTTCGAAAACAAAATACAACTAATGGATGACGTCATTCAAAAATAAACCACATCCACTCAACTCAACAATACAAAATAATGAACTTATCATAATTCACAGATCGCTTATACTTTACAGCTAAACATAATATACTTAACATGCTTAAATTAAGGTGTAAATTAGCTTGACAAGGTTAAACAATGTGCAATAGCGCTTACACAGAAGCGGAAAAATTTACATTTCTAAAAATATGAATACCTTAACATTTGCAATGTGAAATAATTCGAAAGACAGTATGTTTGTCATTTCTCGTTGAAAAATACACTTTATATTCTGAGGAGATAAAAAAAACATAGCTACAAAAAATATTTTAAAAAATTCCTATCACTGATAGGAATCAGCAGCGAACTTTAAAAAAAAAAGGGGCGAGAACAAAAGATCATGGAAAGGTCGCAATGTCACAGGTTTTTCTAGCTAAATAAAGCTTATTTTTTCAATAATAATAATGTCATCATATTATTCACGCAAAAGGGGAAAGGACCTTCATTCACATTTGGTAGAAAGCAAAATAAAAATACTATAATAATAGGTCCATTTTTCTAGATAAAGAAAATTTTACATTGCATAAATTATTAGCGATTTAAAATTAGAATACACTCGAGTTTGACATTTAAAAATAAAACAGCAATAGGATTATATTTTTTCTCTCAATTTTGATTATGGAACGAGAATACTGGCTGACTACAATGCGACTAATGGTAAATTAAAGGTTACATAGTTCAGTCAGGCTAAAGATACCGTTTTTGGCCCTCTTAATTTTAAACTTAGGTACTAAAATTTAGTAATTATGTATGTTAGGTTGAAGGTATTTTTATATTAATATATTTACTATTTACATATAAAGTTACAATAACTTATTGAATAGTAGTAAGACAAAAGTTTATATATTTGAGGCTACCTTTCTATAACAGAAAACAGATGACATTTCTAAATAAATCATTGGATGGACTCTCTTTATATATAATGGAATATAAATAAATGGAATAACAAAAGTTGTTATATATTGTATTATATTATAATACAATTTGCAAGTGATTATGGTTTAATAATAATTACATACAGTAAAATAACATTTAAAATATTATAATCGCTTTTAAACCAACTAAATATTAAATGTTTCATAACAGTATCAAGATTAAATTGTGTTTATGAGCATTGAATAAGATTTTTAATAAAACTATTAAAAAGATCGAAATTAAAGACACACTCTCTCTTTAAAGTTTTAATTTATAGGAAAAAAATGTTAAACGCTTAAAAAAAATTATGGGTCAGAGGAAAAAAAGAAAATTTACCAAATAATTTAGTGATTATCTTTGAATTATGTGCGCATGTGGGGTATGAGAGATGCGGTCTTAGAAAAACCTTGGTCATTTTTTACTTAAATGGGTCGAATTTATTAAAAAAATATTATAATAGCTTTATAAATTGGATTACCGCTTAGCTGCCAATTCTTAGGCTGGCTCAATTTTGATGAGGTTCTAATAATTTATTATAAATTTAAACTTTTTTAACTGCCTGACATTGCACTTAAAAAATATAACTATTATGTTTAAATATAAATATTTAAATATAATTAGGTTATAAAAATTCGCAACTAAACGACTTTATTATTAAATATTAACAATTGATTAAAACTATCATTATTGCTATTCTGAATTTGCTATTGGTATAAAGTTTAATTGCTTAGTCATTGACATGACACACTTGGTATTGCAGCCAACCACGGGTACAGTAATTATTTACCATCAGGCGGGCCGTATGTTTCATAAACACCCTTACATTTTGTTATATCAAAGAGGTGGTCATTTTAAAAGTACTAGTAGATATTAAAGGTGAACGCGCACTTAACCTCATATAAAAGCATCAGTTGTTTGTATTCGGGAGTTCGGCAATTCCCTTAACGAATTGCGGTCCGAATCATATGAAGCGGTCTAAATAAGGCAATAAAGGAGAAAGGGATTGTTAATAATGGGTTCTAACAGTCCTGTTACTAGCAATATGCCCCTATCGTGTCGACGTCCACGCGGTTTCTCCTGGAAACCATTGTGGTTAATTCTTGTCAAATTCTTCATGATGTGCCGACTGACCTGCCTTCATTCTCGCCTATCATATATAACTGGTGTCCTGCCAGCGTATACCGATAGCGCTGCTAGGGTCACTATTCCATTTTTCATTAAAAAAAAATATGCGATACGCATGCAATCAAAATTTTCGTTAACTTCAAATCTTTTAATATGGATAAGTGCACGTTAACCTTAAGCGATTAAATTAGAAACAATATCTATTCACTTATTTTCATTATTGAGCTATTCTTTTCACGTTTAAATCGTTTTGTTTTTTGTTAATACTAAGTTATGGTGTTAGGAGCTCTAATATATATTTAAAACCACTTAGCAATCAGTACAGCCTGATTAATTTACAAGTAGATTCCACGCGATGTAATTTGGCCACCCTGTATATGAAGACTACAGCTGCTCACTTCCAGTCTATACGCTATGGAAGGAATTGTTCATAATGGGATCTAACAGCATTAGCATCAGGTTGATCACCACGTGATTACCCCTGGAAATCTTGGTGAATTCGTAACGATGGACCAATTGACCTGCTTTTATCCTCACCTATCATCCTTTATATCCCGTCCCCGTCAGCATCGATAGTAGTTAATATCAATAGCACAGGCGGAGTTACCATTCCATGTTCATGCCATTAAAAAATCTCGCCTTCACGCTGGTAAGTTAAAAACGAGCTTTTATGTTCATAGAATACTCATTATTACATAGTATTTACATATATTGGTCGAAGGATGGGCAGCAGCGTCCCTCTTAAAGCATCACCAAAAATGTAACTGCAGTTGCCAACTTGCCTACCAAGCGTCGCAACTAGTGGCAAAACCTCCCTTATGGTGCCTATGTTCAGTAAACAGTTAACAGTTCATATATGAATGATTTATATATTTAGCACAAAGCGATCTTATATCGAGCAAACTCTACTTTTGTTGCAATGAGTAAATCCTTCTAATTTGAATAAGGCGTTAGGCTTGACGTCTTAAGAAACTAAGAAGTCAGTCACTTTCTGTATGAACAATACCCAATCATCTTGGTTATTCTCTCTCATACTCGTTCGTTTGTATTTCCTTTCCTTCCTTTCGACTTGTGAACAGTGTCCAAGGTTGTCCAATCTTACATGAGATGTCAAGCTGGCTCTTCATGTCCGCCTTGCAGGAAATCGTAACATTATCGACACCACAATAGGTAAGTTAGTTTAAACCTCTCTCCACAGAGATTCTCCAAAGGTTAATGTTCTTGTATGAGATGTTAAACATGTAGGAGTTTGTTCAAGGCGTTGTTTTGGTCCCACAAAATAACCCCTTGAACAAACTCCTGATACTGTTGACACCATAAGGGATAGGCAAATTTAATTCTCTTTTTACAATCTTCATTGTTAGAGCTGGCAAATCTAAGGTCGTCTAAGGAGTTAGTCTGTGCGGAGTCATCGATACCAAAAGTAAACAAATTTATCCTTCCCATTGCCAACTATCTAAGAGCTGGCTATGATTATTCTCACATGAGATGTCAAGCTTGGGGCGGTTCGTCTAAAGGGTTGGCTTGTGGAAGGTCGTCGTTGCGCTCTTCTCGGGGCTCGAACGCCACGGAGGATGAGCCGCTCCGGCTGGTGGAGGTCGAGGTTGAGCTTGACGAGTCACCTGCTTCTGCACTGGTGCTGGACTCTCTGAAAAAAACATATATTTGTAATGATTCTGTTACGTTTATAGGTGATAGTTACCACATTTTATTATATCAAGATTAAATTTCGTAATACATATACAACCTGGAATAAAATCCCTTCCCACATACAAGAGAGCCCTTCAATTACCTCTTTCAAGAAAAGGTTGAAGTTACATTTTCTTTCGTTTGAGTCATAATCTTAATTTATTTATTTTTATAATTGAACTGTCAAACCTTAAAATCATTTAACTAAATTTCTATTGTAGGTAGTATATTCATTTATTTTAACATCCACTGTATAAGTAGGTAGATATTATATTTATTTATAGTATATGTATTTATGTAATATTTTATTATGTATCTTAATATTTTATTTAACTGTATATTTGTTTATGTACTCTAAATATTAATAGTTGTAGCACTTCAGCTGCCCGCTAACAACATGTTTTCTAACTGCATTGGGTTGACTGGAAGAGATCTCTGTCAGAGATAAGTTCACCCTTGCTCACAATATTTATAAATGCATTAACAATGTAATTTACAAGTGCAATAAAGAATATATATAAATTTTGTAATACATATGAAAAATATGGAATGGTGAACACATACGACTTTATGACATCAATTGGTCAGATTAAAAGTGGGTAGTCTTTGTCATATAACTTATAGGATTGCTCAAAAATTTGTGGAGTATAATATTCTGAATATTCACCTGTTTGTTTGTTACTTCTATATTTTCTCATACTACTGATTATCATTTGCTTTTTTTTATTGTTAACCGATTCAAAAACGAGGTTCTCAATTCGGTTGTATTTTTTCTGTTTGTCACCTCATAACTCTGTGACATCTGAACGATCTGGAATATTGAAAAAGTTGTGTTTGCATGGCTGTGTTTCGGTTTGAATGGTGGGATATGGCGTGAATTTACTGGGTACAGAGGAATAACACCTGAGTCCTCAGGAATGGCAACGCATGGGGGGTATCACGGGCGAAACAGTATACTCTGTTATGTTCATGGTACTGCTCATGTCTATAGGCGACGGTTACCACTTTCCATCAGGTGGGCCGTCAGCTTGTTTGCCATTCTAAGTAGTATAAAAAAAAGTTAATATAACAACTTACTTTTGGAATCCATTAGTTTGGCAAGTGTTGTATGCTCCACAATGCTGACATTTCAGACCTACGACATGAAACTTGACTGTCGACAGCTGAAAAATTTAACAAAATCGATTAGACTACGTTGCATAATGAATCGATGCGACGAAATCTGTAGTGATGTATATACTCATTAACAATGGACAAAATTAACAAATATTAACAACCTTATATATATCTATACTAAACAACAAACGAAGGGAATAAGAGGGAGACTTACAACTAGAAGAGAAATATAAACAAACCAGAGGGAGACTTTGTACAAAAGTAGATTTTTTTTTATACCACTGAGGTGGCAAACAAGCATACGGCCCACATGATGGTAAGCGGTTACTGTAGCCTATGAACGCCTGCAATACCAAAGGTATTACGCGCGCGTTGCCGACCCTGAAGAAACCTCTTTACCCCCCTTTTGAAGAACCCCATGCTGTAGTCTCTTGGGCAAAAGTCACTCGGCACTTGTTTTCCATTCTAAGTTGTATAAAAAAAAAAGATACGAAATTGAGACAGAGATGGTGGGGCGACACATTGATCTAACACATGCAGTGCTAAACTAACAATTAATAATTCTCTTACTAGACAGTTTACTTTATTTCTTTTTTTAATTTCCTTAGTTTGCTGTACAGTATATAAAGTATTGGTAAGGAGAGATCTCGCTCTTGTAAAATATGTAGTGAGTGTGTTACGCGGATGGGTGCATCACCCACAAGTGCTAGAAACAGTCCAACTGCGAGTACCGAATGGTTATGTTGGCGCGCGCCGTCATCCGGTTACGTTTAATGTCCCGCCAGTAAGAACTAACCTACTTCAGCACGCTCACTTAACTCGCGCAGTACGGTTATTAAATAATATTATAAACATCATTGATATATTTAGTAGCAGCCTGTCAAAGATATTAGAAGCTGCTCAGACATATCTCGAGTCGGGTTAAATACATTTATTATAACTCTGTATGTTAGCACACTAGATTTATAACATTGATTTGGCTTTTGTTTGTATAATGTTATAATTATTTTTAATAAATAAATAAATAAAAGTATTGTAAAATCTTTATTGTACATAATTCATACTGTATACATCAAAAGATTTAATATACAAAGTAATTTATATACTAAATTACTATATATGTAAAATAGATATATAAATGACTTTATACATTAAACAACAAAGGATGGAAATTAAGGTAAAAAAAAATTCATTTCCTTTGTCTTTTTCTCAATGTCCTCTACCCAAAGGTTGTCTGGAAGAGATTGCTTAGCGATAAGGCCGCCTTTTGTATCACTTCTCATTAATATTTACTGTATTTGTTATTTCTCTTTTCACTTGGTGCAATAAAGTGTAAATAAATAAATAAATAAATAAATAATAGACATGATGGGGCGACACACTGTCCCAACACATGTAGTGTTAAACTAACAATTAATAATTCTCTTATTAGACAATTTTATTTCTTCATTGTATACTGACAGAATAATAAAAGATAATAGGAGATAATACTGTTCCCTTCTATTATTTCACGCACACTGGCCATTGGTAATTAATGCTCCTTTCCACTCAGGAAAGAACTTGTTGGAAGAGAACTCTTACAGAGTTAAGCTCGCCTGTTGTACATCTTTATTTAACATATGTATATTTAATTTAATTTTCTCCCAGTCAACCTTTATTATTATTACTTTTATATATATTATCGTATATGAAGTGTATTACCTTATGACAATCCTTGCACAGTATGGTAGCTTTGTAGTCTGCATATTCGGGTGGCATCGGCGTCGCAGCCACTTCCGAATCCAGATAACTCCATAGCTATAAATGAAAATGTTAAGTTGATCTAAACTAGTGTTTTTCAAAGTGTAGGTCGCGACTCCCTGTGCTATTTCAAAGCCTTTACAAGGGGTCGCCGAAGGTCGCACAACCGTAAATAAAAACATCATGTGCACAGTGTAATCAACGTTTTAGATACTTAATTATTTATTTATTTTATTGTATTTAACTGTTACCTAAATATGAAAATAAATAAAATATATACATATAGGTTAAGAAAAGCGGACGGTAGAGGGTCGCTAAATATTTTTACATACTAAGGGGGTAGCGACCCCCTTAGTAACCATGAAAAAATTCGAAATTTACAGATCTAAGTTAATAATATTTACTAACGTACAAAGTCTTTCACTATTTTTTTATAATGTTTACATGGAAGCGCATGAGGGCTATAGGTCGCTTAAAATACACTATGACGCCTACATAGACGTCACGGTGTATTTTTAAATTTATTGTTAGAAATGGAGGTTCTTAATTCAACAGATTTTTTTTGCTATACAACAATCAATCCTCAGATGTAGGCAGTTTGCTTGCACGCTAATGGTGGTGCAATTAAACTAAACAATTTTAATTAATTAACCAGTTATATGTATCTCCACTAAATAACATATAACTTATTCAAATCTAATCATGTTTGTATTGTGATACATTATAATGTTTTTATTGTTTGATCGAACTTTGTAGAGTAATATTTTTTTTACAACACAGGGGGCAAACGAGCATTCGGCTCACCTGATGGTAAGTGATTACCGCCGCCCATGGTGACCCACAACACCTACGTCATTGCAGGTGTGCTGCCGGCCTTTTAAAAAGGAATATGCTCTTTTCTTGAAGGTTATGTTGTCGTATCGGTTCGGAAATACTGCTGCTGGAAGTTGATTTCAAAGAGTGGTTGTGCGTGGGAGAAAGTGCCTTGAAAAACGCACGGTGGAGGACCGCCACTCGTCCAGATGGTTGGGATGAAATTTTAATTTATGGCGGGTTATACTGTGTGATATTTATGTCTATTGGTGATGGTAACATATTTATATTAGTTTTTTTTATATAACTTAGAATGGCAACAAGCAAACTGCCCACCTGATAGAAAGTGGTAACCATTGTCTATAGACTTGAATAGTACTATGGATATAACAGAGTATACTGTTTCGTCCATGATATCTCCTATGTGTTGCCATTTCTGATAACCAAGGTGTAATGCCTTTGTATTCTGTAAATTCACTGCCATATCCTACCCCTCAAACCGAAACATAGTCATACAAACACAACTGCATCACGGTAGAAACACAAATGGGACAGAGTTGCCCAAGCAAATTTCTTATACAAAGTCTCCCTCTGGTAAATTTGGTAAGGTTATCGTACTGTTTGCTATTGTATGTTGCATAAATAAATAGAAACATACATTGGCCATATCAATCATGCTGGTCTGGCACGTGGGGCAGGCATAATGTCCCGAGTGCAGGAGCTGCTCGAAGCAGGGCCGGTGCAGCAGGTGGCCGCAGTCCGGGATGTGGCACGGGATGCGCGATGTGTGGATGTCCTCCAGGCACACGGGACAGTTTGAGCGGGATACGTTTTCTACGCACTGGAGAGACAAAAAAAACAACAGTAAGCAAGCACCAATACCTTTTGACATTTAAAAAAATAGCTGTAGATTTTCGAATTTAACTATTCCCTTTACAAGATGGGTCTATCCTTGAATCCACTGTGCAGACTATGCAGTGAGGAATCGGAATCCATGAAATAATTGATGTACAACTGTGATTTGTTGGCAAGTATGCATATGAGTCTACTGCAAATAGCTTCTCCAGAGCCAGGGGACTACAGATATCATAAACTGGGGACTACAGATAAAATAAAATGATGGTATAAGGTAAGGAACTAAAGATGCCAAAGGGCATGCCTGGTTTTGAAAGGGAATAATTTATTCCCTTTAAAAATCCTTTCACCTATATGACATTGGATTTTTATATTCAGCAATAACTCGATTCTTGTTATATATGACAATTTTCTTATATAAATACATATATTATATATATTTTGGAAAATTGTAGCCTACAGTTACTTACTATAAACATCTATTTTAATTTATTATATTATTAAATGATCTCGAGACTAAAACACCTTATAGAGCTGAATTTTCACACTATTTTAATTAAATTGTATTATATTTTGAGGGAAATAATAAAGAGTTTTCATTAATTCATAACAAATTAGTTGAATATAACTCACCCGATGCCCCACGCGTTGCAGTTGCACTGGTAGACACATGTTGCACCGCTCGCAGTGGAAGAACCTGTCACGACCACCGACACGACATATGCCGCAGCCATCGCAATGGTATTGTTTCTTGTCCTCATCATCAAATAGGTTGCAAATGAGGCATGTGTACTGCAAAAAATAATAAGTATGTATTTTTAATATTTTAAAGTTTACACTTGTACTCATTTCACAGATTGATTTATTTTTAATGAGTAAAAATGACACCACCTGAGATGAGGATGAAAGCAGATCAGACAGCCTATCAAGATGAATTCAACTGGAATTAACCACCTAAAAATATATAGCTAGCAAAAAGGCTGGCCCCCTTACTCACATTGTTATGATACTATACTGGTATGATACCATTCCATTATCATTAAATTATAATTCTATAGGAAAGCATTGCAGTTAATTTAAATAGCTAAAACTTACGTGAAGCAATCATCTATTGAATCTAAAAAACCATACCAATGTCAAATACCTCAAGAGATTGTTATACCATATTATTGTTTTTGTTAATTAGCATGCTGTGTTTCCTTTAAAATGATTGTACACTAAGTGTAAATAGACAGTAATTTTAATATTAAATCTTATCAGTGTAACAATTGCTAGGAGACCAAATAAAGATAAAATAAAATAATTTTACAAATTTTTACATCCAAAACATGAGCGGTACCAAGGGCATCACAGTGTATTCTTATATCATTGAGGTGGCAAATAATCATACAGCCCACCTAATGGTAAATGGTTACCATAGCCTATAAACACCTGCAATGCCAGAAACATTACGCAAACATTACCAACACTGAAGAAATCTCTTAACCCTTTATTTTAATAACCTACACTTAAGCTTCTTGAAAAAATTTCGACAGGAAGCTCAATCCATAACCATTTTCATATTGTAATTAAAACTAAATAAAATATATAATATATAAAATACATACCTTGCCAAAAGTAACACCACAACTCTCACAGACGGCCTGCACTTTCTGCCGAGTGTCACACTCGGTGCAGATCAGTTCAGTCACAGACTTGCGGTTGAAATAATGTTGCTCATTCTCATCGTGACAGTAACGGCACATGTACATTTTGTTACAGCACGGGGTCTGCGACAGTTAGGAAAACCAAGTTTGGTTAATATAAACAAGTACATAGTAGTCTATTTTGGAGAAACTTAGAAATATAAGGTACCAGATGATGTTATTTATGGGTCTGTATGCAATTGCACAATTCAACTTGCAATATTGGCATATGCAGGGAGGGAGGTACTAGTGAAGGATGATAGGTTAGGATGGTATTAGATCAGTTATGGAATAGTCAAGTGTTAGTAGTATACACTAAGGGGCACCAGTGAGGGATAGTTTTTTTTAATAGATGATAATGGAATGGTAACCCCACCTGCACTGTCGGTATACACCGGCGGGCAACAGTGAAGGATGATAGTTGAGGATGAAGCAGGTTAGTTAGCCCACCGTGATGAATTCAACAAGAATTGTCCATGATGGTTTCCAGGGGGGACTATGTGGAGGTCGATCTAAAAAGGCATATTGTTAGCAATGGAGCTGTCAAACTCCATTGTTAACAATCTCTTTCCCCCAGTGAGGGATATTAGGTGTGAATGAAAAGGCAGGTCAGTTAGTCCAATGTGATGACAGCTGGAATTCAGCATGGTTTCCATGGGGGATCACATTGAGGTAGACCTGATAGGATATATTGCTAGCAATGGGATTAGTAGTTCGCATTATTAACAATTCCCCCCTCACCTCTAGTTATGGCATTAGGTTCTATATTTATCAAGAATAACATGTGTAATAAAAATAATAACCAAAAAGGAAGAAAAGTTCTTGAATGGCAACCCCATACAGGCAAACACAGTGAAGGATGACCCACTACTAGACGGAGTGACAACCACTAATGCATTGGGAGTCATTGGGTGCAAGTGGATTGGGACTATATGTAATGAATATCAATGAAAAAGGTCTACCTTCAGCAGTGAACAGATAATGGTTAATATGGTGGTTAACATGTTACAGTAGATTTAATCTACTGTAACATGCATTCTTTTATCTATCTACTTGATTAGTTGGCCATATGGTTTTATGTTTTAGATCTTACATATCTATAAAAGCTTAAAAATGAGATAAAATTATTGAAACATATTAATTTGAAAAATATTTATTTTGATGTTTTTGTGTTCACATTAATTGTGGACTTGCTACTTATAAATGAATAGGTTGGCTATTTTTCAGTAAATATATGCAATTTATCAGATGCACTCCATTTTATATAGAGGTATAATTTTTGCAAAAACAAGATTACAACTTTATGTAAATTTAATTAATTATTGTGGTCTACATTTTTTATATCCATCAAAGTTCTGTATTTGATCAGCAAGTATTTTGTATTTATTACATATCATCATCATCATCTTCCTACCCTTATCCCAATCATTTGGGGTCGGCGTAATATGATTTTATCCATATTACAAAAAGATTTGGTTTATAGTTTTACGACCGGCCACCTGCCTGATGTCAACCCTCTTTGGGAATTTTTTTTGTATATTTGTATTTATTACATAATTATATAATAAACATAACATGTTTTATTTTTATTTTCTTTATAAAAATCAAAATATATAAGTTGAAAATAAAAAATATGAACAAATATTTGAGTAGTCCTTAAATAAACAAAAATAGTTACAATTTTCTTTATTAAAGTTTATTTACGGTTTTATTATATTATGTAAAATATTTAACAAAGAGTTTTGGCCTTCTTACAATTAAATCTATTGTTTACCTACATCTAGTGCATACAATATTCTATTTATTTCACAAACAGCGCATTTACATTCAGGAATATTAAAAATAACACCTTATGCGGGGGTTTTGGTTCGTTGACATGGCTTTGTTTTCCGAATTCGTAACCCACCGAAGGCGAAGTTTCTACGCCGTGCATGTTTAAATATAGATTCGCGTGTTTTGAACCCGGCGCCGTGTTCTAGATTGTTTTTATCGTCTAAATAATAGTCAAATCTAATTTAACTCACCACGAACTTGGCTCTTCGTTTGTAATGTGCACAACCAATGCGTTTTTCTCCGTTCTGCTCTGAAGCAGCGACATCATTCTTAATTTCTTCTTTTTCTTTAGACATCTCAATGACCTTTACAACAATAATGATAACATGAAAAATCACACTCCAAGGCTAACGAATAACACTAATTACGTACTATCAATACATTAATGTTGTATTTAAAATGATGAAGATTGACTTGATATAAATTCAACGTGACAGTCTATTTGACGAAATAAAAGTGATTTGGATTTCTGATTTGACATTTGTTTCTCAGATGGCATTGACAAATGACAATTAACTTTGTAATAGTTATAAAAAAAAAAATTGGCCACGATGACAAAAGAAAAAATTTGTAATGCCTAGTTTGGGTTTGAGACAAATATAGGAAAAGACAATAAATTTTATTATTTTTAAGCTTTATTTACTTCACGCATATTAATATGGATTCAGATATTATTAATATATATTATTAATTTCCAAAAGTTCTTGATTTTCGTTTTTTTTTATAGTTGACGAATATAATTCTTTTGCCCCAAATATCTAAGCGTAAAAGAAATTAAAATTAAATGAAGTTGGCTTTGGCGCATAATTCAAAATTTGCAATTAATTTTGTTAACAAAAATTAATGTTATATAAATAAAATTGATAAATAAATTTGTAATTAAATATATATCAAGTTAGGTAATCTTTGTTAATCAATAAAAATCTTAAAATTTTCTAGTTTCTATATATATAATATTTGAAATAAATTATGAAGACAATATTTCTTGCTGTTTTTATATGCCTCTTTCAAAACAGCTCTTGTTTTTTACCTCCAAAATTTCAATGGAAAGTAATCGATTTTACATGGGCAAATCAGTCTCGGAAAGCTGCCATCGATTCAGGGTTATATGTGGCCGAAAATAATATGCCGACTGGTTTGGCAAGACGGAGGGAAAAAGTGTTCGTCACCATTCCAAGATGGAAACGTGGTTAGTATGGTTACTAGTTCGAAAAGACGTATCATGTTAGCTTATTGCTCATGTTCAGTTATTATTTACTGACGTTAAATTTTAGATTGATATAATCTATACTTTTTAACGCAATATCTGCAATAAATCTAAACTGATTTTGGTAATTATTTTTGCTTTAAGATTAATTTTCACCATAATTAGAATGTCAAAAAGCTGTCAGTTCACCTGATGGAAAGTGACATCAGTCGTTTTTAGAAATGAACAGCATCCCTAAATGATGATCACGCCTTTTCTGAGCTATTATTGCTATTATATTGCGAGCAATAATTTTCTTGCCGGCATACAATCGGCCAGCTCTTCTTTTTATCAATTCAGTTTTAATCAATTCGGTTTCTGATTTATACCTAATACTACGACTAATAATACGAGACATCAATAAGTAACCCATTGTGAAGAATTGAACAGAAGTAATTACGACAGTTCCAGGGGGAATTACGTGGTAGTCTACTTCGGTATATTGCTAAAAATGAAGTTGACGCTTAATTTAAACTTTCGCGTTGTTTACACATATTTAAATACACTATTGGGACTTGACGCTATAAAAAATTTTGCAGGCAAATAGTACCTACATACATTCTTCTTCACTGTTGACGTTTCAATGTAGGTTGCTTCACGTTGTGGTCACGACAGGACAGAAATGAGCGGCGTCTTCGTCTGGCAGCTCGCGGTTTTTTATTTTTCATCGCGCTAAGTCCCGATAGTGTATTTAAACAATGGAATTGTTAAACCTTATTACCAACAATCCTTTTCCTCTCTTTCGTTCACGTCAATTATTTGTTTCATTATATATTCGTTAAGTTCTACTGAAATAGACTATACTATTATAAATAGTAATTTTTTTCTCACCAGGGGTGCCATCCTCTTTAAATTATATCTACGTGAATGGTAGCCAGCAGCAGCCTCTAAATCCTTATCCAAGCTGGGCAGATGCAGTATTGTCAGATAAAGATGGCGGTATTAGCTCGAACAGCACAGTGGTATCCACGTTCAGGGTACACGCGGATAGGTGTGATAGATTGTGGGTGGTCGATAACGGAGTCACTGATATGTCTAGTAGGTATTCATTTATGCTTTCGTATTTAAACTTCAGTATTATATTTATAAATAGGAGGTTTTCTAACCAATAAGTGTGCATAGATATATTTAGGGGGGATGGGGAGTTATTCCACGCTCACTTTGGAATCGTGTCCACTCTAGAATAAGGAGCAGAGCCTTCAACTACGCGTGAATACATGCTTAAAACCACATATATGGTTTTTTTAAGGGGCATGCCGTCTTAGAAATTAATCCTAAAAACGTGAATGGTGTGAAAAATTTAATTGTGGCAAAACCAGTGTTTTTATTTAAAAAGTAAATATTTATTCAAAAATTTCATGGGTCCAATTTATAAGTATGCGATATACTTAGATATTTTCAGATAAATAAAAAAAAAAAGAATTTTCCAAATTGGCCTACACCCCCCCCTTTTTTTTAAAGTCGGTTGAAAAATGTACTATAAGTGACGATTCTCAACAGTGGACGTAAAGCAAGTTGCTGACCCGGCCATCGTTATTTTTGACTTGAACACACCGACAAATTATTGCACCGATACATAATGGGGCATGACGTTTTGAGGGAGTCGTCGGTACTAACCAGTATCGTAAGTAATATTCAAATATAACGTTACAGAATATTTTTTGTACAACGTTCATAACATGAACACCCTTTATAATACTGTACATTCGGGGGGGGGGGGGAGGGAGTGCTAGTAATGTGGACTAATGGCCCCATTGCTAGCGAGCCCTGTCAGGTCGACCTCCACGCGGTTCCCCCTGGAAACCATTATGATTAATATTTCTTGAATTCGCCACGATGGGCTAATAATAATAATAGGTATGGAAAACTATTTTTTTTATCCATGCTGTATTAAGAAAAACATTCCCCGTAGACAAGTGGCAAGCGAATCTATCGAGAGAATCGTTATCGTAAACGAGTCCATGAATTGGACTGAGATATCGGATTCTTCTGACATATAGAGGGCCAAGTTACTTTGGTAATTTTATTAGTAGAATAATGCTACTGCTAATATACTGTGTGGTCCCGGCATAGAAGGGGCCATTTCTTCCTTTCCCGTGAGTGTCGTAAGAGGCGACTCGGGGAATTTAATGTTCGCGGGATGGGCAGAAGCATCCCTCTTAAAACATCACCAAAGCCTAACTGCAGTTACCAATCCGTCTGCTAGACGTGGCAACTACTGGCAAAACACCCTATTAAAGGAAAGCCTATGTTCAGCTATGGACAGATAACGGCTGATATGATGACCACGGAATTACGGAACTCACTGTGGAAATCAGCGCATCAGTTTACTGCCCTACTTTAAAATAACATTTAATAATATTGAGAAATCTTAATTTTGTGTACACAAGCAATTTTACACCCAATACTTTTAAACATTAAGTCTATTCACATTATTTTTTTGAAGAGCAAAATCTTAAACTATAATAGGTATACCTTAATTATTTAAATTTGATTTTATAACAGGTAGTTGATATCGGAAAGAACTGTAGCGACGCGTTCGCCTACATTCCTGATATGGGCTCCAACGCCATAATAGTGTACAGCCTGAGAACGAACGAAGCCTGGAGAGTTGATCATCATTATTTCCACTTCGACCCCCACGCGGGCACTTACAAAGTTGGCGGAGTCCACTTTTATTGGAGTGATGGTGTATCCTCTGTTGCTTTATCGCAGACGAGAAAAGACGGGTACATACGTATATATATTACGTATACCCCATATGCCATGGGTTAGGTAGAAATAATAGAACGCCAAATGCTTCGTTTCATCAATCTTTCCCTGCACGCTCGTCGGTTACGGATACTTTGTCAGTAATCGCTACGATTGGCAGGCGGGTTGTCAACCGCAGCTGGGCTTTTGGTATTGTCAGAAGGACGCTACTGTTGACCCTTCGACTATAAAGTTCTCTTAGTATTACATTCCCTTACAACATCCATGCGAAAAGAAGGAGTGTTTTATTTTATGATCACACAACAAAATAAATTGTTAGTAATGGGGCTATACTGACTCTATTGCTATTAATATATCTTTTCACGTTGCTCGTCTCGCAGTCCCTCATGAAAGCTCATCGTTACATCCTCCAAGTGTCTGGCTTAGCCGGGTGCATCATTCCATCTTCATAAACATTTTCTATTAAATCGACCTCTATGCGGTTCCCTCTGGAAACCTGAAATATCGCTCTGAATATTATGTTGCGTCTTTTTTTATTATAAAAATTGTTTTTGATTGATGTTACTTTATAAAAGTTCAAGTGATGGATGATAAGATCTAGGATTGAGCGCGTTTACCCAGAAGATACTTTTTCACTTACGAGCAGATACATAGTCTAAGATATTATAGGTTCCTATTTCGATTTCAGTTATCGTGACCTGTACTTTCATCCGACTTCAAGCACGAAACAGTTTAAAATGTCAACGAAACTGCTGAAAAATAAAAACGTACCCAGCGAAGATATATTTAATGGAGTTGCTGTGAGTGCTACCTAATTAAATAAGTTATAGGTAATTAAGAGTAGCTACTTATAAGAAGTACCCCTTAGACAAGATGCAAACGAATCTATCGATAGAATCCTTATCGCCAGCGATGTGAGACAAAATAAGATAACGACGTGCACTGTCTTATTTTTTCTCACGCGGGCGTTATACGAACCACCAGCCACCTCATCTAGAGGATCATACTTTACTTTACAACTTGTAGTGTGGTAACTTTCTCCAAGTTTTGTAATGAAATTGAAATTTGGATCTCTTACCAGTGAAACATAAAATTTTACTCAACGCCAGTCGAAAAAAAAAAAATTAATATAAGGTAAATTATAGTAACTAGTATTGTATCTTTGGTCATTCAGGTTGTGGGTGACAGAGGAGCTAATTCTCAAGCAACTGCGTGCGACTTTGACCATCAGAGCAAAATTTTGTTTTATACCCAGGTAATTAAGTATTATCATTATTATTTGCAATTTAAGCACTTTAGTCCTGAATCATTAGTGGATGTTTCTGATGCTTTAGGATTTCTTTGAGATAGTTGTATCTAATGAAGCTTGTAACACTTTTGAGGCTGTCACTCCATCTCGTGACCTCACACCACGCCTGTCTGTACGGTGTTAACAGATTGTTCAGGATCTAGCAGATCCTTCCGACTATATCAGTCATTTTAATTCTTCTGCGGATATTTTCGAAACTCCGAGCATAGCCCTTTTCACATTTAGTTGAGCGACTTGAAATGTTCTCATATGAGTTTCGCAGATAATGGAATGTAATATGCAACCAAATTCTTGAGTAATACTTGCACGGTTACGATTTGGTTTGAAGGTGCATGGTAAAAATATTTCGGGGTACGGAGTCATAATACCTTAGTCTTCAGGAAAAGCAGAGAATAAGGATTATCATGGGCGTTGCTGTGTATTTTGCTATGCCAATTCATGTCAATAAGCAACGGTACTTTCTACTAGATAGCTCGTCATTTTATTTGGCATGTTTCAAATTGCGTAAAAATCTAATGTTAATATAATTTCTTTTTCGTAGTTGTGTAAAAATGGAGTAGGTTGTTGGAACACAGAGAAGCTCTTCACAGCTGAAAACAATCCGGTGATTATAAGCGATTGCAACCTCTTGGAGTTTCCAAATGACGTTAAGGTGATAGTTATTGCTGTTATTAAATAAATTAATACTTAGACGATTAGAATGGGTCACCCCTTCCATTGGGTGGGTGTCACTAGTGAACTTATTGGTCAAGGAATGGACAGCAGAGTCCCTCTTAAAATATCACCAAAAGCGAAACTGCGATTGTCAACCTGCCTGCTAAGCGTGGCAACTATTGAAAAATCCCACCAATGGTATCCAATCCAACTGTGTTTCATCTCCTCATGGTCATGGGCTTGCTTTTGTATTTGGGGGAACTTTTCTCAATCTCCCCTCCTCCAGATTCCTTAGCTCTTTTAGTAGGCAATAAACGGTCCGCATCTACTATCCAGGGACCCTGCTCGCTCTGTAACCCCGCCTGCGTTAACGGGATATGCTGGCGGAGCACCAGTGAAGGGTAATAGATGAGAATGAAAACAGTCCATCATGATAAATTCATCAGGAATTAACTATGATAGTTTCCAGGGAGAACCGCGAGGTCAACCTGGTTATGTATATTGCTAGAAATGGGATTCTTAGTCTCCATTACTAACAATTCCTTTCCCCCTCTGTGTTTGGTTTTTGCTGTGGTAAAGACGGCACTAGAAGATCACCATAAGGCAGCGATATTTTGGTACATGCCACTGTTTCTGAAGAGTGAGGTTTAGGGTTCTATTATCTAAGACTTCTGAACTATGCTATTCAATATAACTATGAGGATATTCATGAGATGGGTGAGAAAGTCACGTCGTAGTGAAATCGTCGTGCTTTGGTATTATATTCTTTATTTTATAATACAGGAGGTAAACAATTATTCGGCTCACCTGATGGTAGGTGACTATTGCCGTTCATGAGCGGTGGCAACACCGAGGAATTGCAGGTGTGCTGCCGGCTTTTAAAAAGGAACATGCCCTTTTCTTGATGGTTACGATGTCGTATCGGTTCGGAAATATTGCTGCTAGAATTCTAAAACGTGGTTATGCGTGGAAGCAAGCATCATGAAAAATTCAGATAGTTGGGATGGTTATTATAGTTTCTGTCTAGTTGTGCCGTGGTAAAATCTTTCTGTTTACCTCTTCGGGATTGTCCTTTTAACCTTTTGTTTTAGTACTAAGTATTTTAGAGAAATCACTACTAGAAGTTAAATAGTTTCTTGAAAGGTTTTTTGCTTCTTTATTCCTTAGGTGGATCAGGAAGGTAATATTTGGATATTGAGTAACAGACAATCACGGTTCCTCTACGAGTCTATGGATTTCGACCAGGTGAACTTCAGGATCCTGACTGCACCGGTGTCCGCGGTAGTCCAGGGCACGCCTTGCGAAAGAACCACGGTTTTTGGCAAAGCATTGAGCTTTGTCAAACGTAACAAGTCGGGAAGTAAACAATCGTTGACAAATTAATAACGAGATTTATTTTGTACCGAGACTTTGGAAGTAACCATTCTAGAGTACATATATTTGAAAAATGAATTTCCTTTGAGAATAAAAAATATTAATTTTGTTGGAATATTAAAAATTAATCAAGTAGGTTTGTTTTTTTCAAAAAACTAATAAAAATGTTTAATATGTTACAGAAAAAATACATTAAAATATTACAAGAAAAAGTATAGTGTTGTTTTTTTAAATATTAATTATATCTGAAATACATTTTTAATATATTTAATTGTACGTAATTACTATTATTTGCCGTCATCGGCCATCCGTTCCTTTCTCGTGGGTATTGTAAGAGGCGACTAAAGAAACTTAATGGTCCAGGGATGAGTAGCAGCGCCTCTCTTAGAACAATACCAAAAGCCTAACTGCAGTTACCAACCCGACTACCAAGCGTAGCAATTTTTTTTTATACAACTTAGAATGGCAAAACATATAATTTCATATCACTCATCATCAATACATTCTCCCTCTGGCAATACCCCTCTTTGGGGAGAAGGTCTATTCAGCAGTGGACAGTAGACGGCTGATATGATGATAATGATGAATTGCTATAATTTTCAAGAAGTAAATCAAGTCAGTTTCAATAGAACTTAATGGAAAGGTTTAAGAAATTATCACAGAACAACTTTAATTGAAATTAATATCGGATCGAAACATTCTATCAATCAAGATGATTTGTTCTATAAGTGGATAACAGCAGAATGCATTATGACCGGCTCTTAAAACTACAGGTAACGTATTAAAACTAATTTTACGCAGATTTCCCTTCCATTTAATAAGCTATGTATTTATTTATTATTTGGACAGAAGAGAAAAATGTTGGGACACTTGATACGACATGACGAATTTATGAACATTATAATAGAAGGTAAGATAGAAGGAAAGAGGGGAAGATGGAGACCGAGTAACAATAACATAGTTACATCAGGCAGATCAAGAAATAGGTTGGTGTCGTGTCGTATCAAGAGGTGAAGAGACTCGCTGAAAATCGTAGTGAGTGGCAAGAGCTCCACCGACAAGAGCGCAGCTCTTAAATAGGATGGATAGATAGGTACTTATTTACTGCACCAATGCTCTAACATCATACTTATAGCCTACGACTTGGTACGCTTGGATTTTAGAAAATATCTGTACAATTTCGGGATTGAAAATTCAGTAGTGCTGGCTATGCGTTGATATATGGGTCAGACAGTCAATTACCACCGTCTTATATATATATATATATATATATATATATATATATATATATATATATATATATATATATATATATATATTAGTACCTCAAGATTGATGAAATACATAGTAGTACAGGCGTGACAGATATGTACATATGTATGTAAAAAAAAATATCTAGAAATAAAATTAAACGAATGTAATAATTTAAATCTTTATTTAAATATACAACATTGTAGTTATAACTATTTAATTAAATAAGTCTATGTGATTGAAATAATTTGCACGTGTCACCACCGGCGCGCCGTCACAATCGTTATATGTTTTCGTTCACATTATATTCTCAGTCTTGTCGCTAAATACTTGTTGTGAATCGAATTCTCCTGCAGCATGTGTCTAGACAATATGTCTCGTACAATGATAACAATAAAAATATTAAAAAACAATACACAACTAAATATTATTTGTATAAAAATAATTATTTCCCTTGATACATGTTTTTTTTTTTTGCATATATTTTAATTAATCTTGATTCTCCACGCGAATATAAAGATGCAGAAAGTTTGAAGGATTTGTCGTAGTTCGTGAATGGATGGACCGAATTGAATGCGGTTTTAGAAAATAAATATCGTGGTTCTTAGCTAATAGAAATCAGTTTAAAGTGTTGAGGGTATTGAAATATTAAATTTAATATTTTTTGAAATATAATCTATATAGAAGGAACATAATTGATAAATATAAAGAAAAAAGTATAAAGCGCAGGAAAATTGACAATTTTGATTATTTTTCATATGTTTGTATGATTTTCAATATATGTTTATGGGGTAAAGTTTTAAGCCGTATTGTCTTGGCATACAATAAGCCAATCATTCCTTTTCCATGACTGTCGAAAGAGGCTATTAAGGGAACATAATGAACGAGAGATGAGCAGCATCGTCCTTCCTAAAATGTCACCAAAGTCGGTTGCCAACCTACCTGTCAAGCGTGGCAACTACTGGCAAAACCCCATAAGACTCCCCCTTATGGGGTTTTTATTGGTTGTATTGGGGTTCAAGAGTGGACAGATAGTGGCTGATGTGATGATGAGTAGATACGATTTAAAATTATATCTAATTTGCATCTTTAGTAAAAGTCAATTTTAATATGAATTAAATCTGCATATATGTAACGATATATACTACGTCTATGTTATTTATTATTTATAAAATGTCAAACGACTTAGAGACTTACGTTAGCTATTATTCCGTACCTTTCATTCGAGTAAGATTTTAATACAAAAAAGAGACAAAACATATTAATTGTTAAAAGAAATTTCATGAATTTGAATGCAAATTCATGAAAATTAAAAATTTACTGTGTAAGTAATAAAGTCAACAGAAATTAAAAGAACCAGAATAAGAAACTCGGTAAAGAGATTAGAATTCCTATAGAGATTGATTCCTCATACAATGGACGATTCTTTTGCACAAAACTTAAGTGTAATCGATTCTAATCGATGGATCTATATGTTTATCTATAAAATCGATGTAATTCGCGAAGAATCGAATCTGTATCGAGTGTGGAATGCACGCATCATTACCTAGACACATGTCAGGCTCAACGTTTGATATCGTTCCGTGCTTAACGCGTGTACGAACAAAGATACAAAAGCGTTGCAAATTGTATTTTCAAAGAGATTTCATATTTACAATTATATTATTGCTCGTATTCATAGGCCATAATAGGTAAGAGTATAAAATAATGATTCGATATAAAACAAAGATTCGAGTGCGCGTACGACTCAAATCGTTTAAAGGTTGGTGACCCCTGGCTCATATTTTTTAATACCTTATATTCAATTATATATAGTAGAATAAGAGAATAATAATAAATAAAAAGCTGAGGTGGAATGAATGTCGAGTGCCTTAGGCAAGCACCTCATCGACGCCCCTCTGCAGAGAATATATTATAATTTTTTTATTATAAATATTATAAAACCATCTTTAATCTGCAAATATAGAGTAAACGTCATATAAAATATGCTAATGCATATTTCAGTTTAGAGCTTTCTTAAAATATAACAAATATTTGAAAGAAAATTCTTTATTCCGTATCCACTGCAGGGGTTACCAACCTTTACGCGCGCGTTGAAGTTTTGAATATTAAATTATGGCAAAATACTTCAACAGCCTATACTTCCCAAATTACCTAAGCGATTAACATTGGTGCGTCACATAGTATGAACGGTTTTATCTATTTCGCTAAGAGGTCCGTTTGATGTGACGATGGAATCTCTACCGTAGGGCGTTAGTTCAAAGTCCACATTACTAAAACAACATTTTTAAGTCCATTATCTCGTGTTCTCCGCATTCTCGGTGGGTTTGTGTTGGGGCGTTGATTTGTCGAGGCGTTTCTTCAGTGGCGTGTTGTATTCCCAGCCGTCCTCGCCTTTCGGGTTGAAGAGCTGAAAAGAATAATTCATGATAGTAATGTTTCGCACTTTAAGTTGGATTTATACTAATAGTACATAGAACCACGAAGGTTTAGGCTAAAAGTATTTCTTATTAAAATTGTCCGTGACCGCAATAGTTGCTCAAACTAAAGAATGTTCTTTGAATGTTCATAAAATACTCTTAGTACGTGGGGGGAAAGGGATTGTTAGTAATGGAGACTGAGAATCCAATTGCTAGCAATATACTCAACCAGGTCGACCTCCTTGCGGTTCTCCCTGGAAACTATCATGGTTAATTCCTGATGAATTCATCATGATGGGCTAACTGGCCTGTTTTCATTCTCATCTATCACCCTTCACTGGTGCTCCGCCAGCGTATCCCGTTAGCGCAGGCAGGGTTACCATATTATTTTCACCCATAAAAAAAAAAGCTCTTAGTACGTATTAAATACTCGCTTGCGCTTGTTCGATGTGTATTTGGCGGTCACGACAGAGAGCTATTTCTCAGCGGCGGTCTCGCGTCGAATGATGATGACGATATTTCGTCCTTCTTTAAAGACATATTTAAAGAGGAGAGGTAAGATGAGGGAGAGTGAGAAATAGAGAGTGACACGTTGACAATTATGTATGGGGAGTAGGATAGAAACAGACTGTGGCCCACTTCTCAGCAACAGTCAAATGCATATTAAAAAATTAGATAGCAAAAATTTTTTTGGAAATGCATTTGTAGCGGCGAGTAAGAGAGAGAGGTACCCTATGTAATTGCATGGGGTACTTCTGAGCAAAGGTCTGCCTTCAAGATGACGGTGTTTTGGTCTTGTTTGAGATGCATTTAGCAAGCAGGATGGATAAACAGAAAGAGTTGGAGATCATTGCTTCGAGTCTAATTTTTGCATCGCTCAAAGATGTCTTCAGGCTCTCCTTTTACGGTACTGATGGCAGGTAGGATAGGTAGGGATACAGATTGCGAGGTATATAGGTCGTCCACTCCTCAGCAGTGGCGACGAGGGTGATAAAGGTACAATTTTAAGGTACAATTTACAATTTTTACAATTTATATTCAACGAGGAAATATCTGCATTTATTTTTATTTATTTATTTATTTTTAGATAACTGGGATCCATTCTTGTTAGTAAGTGTACTTAAAAACTATGTTAATACTTAATTACTAATAATGATCTAGTCCTCTCGGAGAGCATTTTCACGAGAGGACTATCCAATTTATTAACAAACATGTTCAGGATACTGTTGCTACTCCCGCGTATTCGACGTAAAAACGAAGCTGTCTTTTTTCACCAGACTGCGTCAAAACTATCTGTGCGAGCGTCGGCAAACATCGCTGAGGCGCTATAGAAGCGCGGAAGCCGCAACAGTAACCTGAAACTATTATTAAATTGGATACGCAAGGCATTGCAGGCCCCCCGAGTATACTGGAACCACTGATTCGCCGAATACAACGATGTACAATACGCTTTAAATAGTGTTATTTTCACTGCATCTGTACATCGCGCAAATCCATTACCATCAGTCCCCAAAAGAGGCCAGACCTGTATTTTGATGAACAGAGTGAGAGAGCGAGTGTTGGGTACCTGGGTGGCCCACTTCTCGGCGGCGGCGTCGCGCCGCTTGGCGGCGTCGCGCTGCGCCTGCTCGACGGCGCGCTTGGCGGCGGTGGCGGCGTCGGTGTCGGCGGCGCGCAGCGCGGCCGTCACGTGGCGCCACACGCGCCGCGACTCGTGCGCCGCCTGCCGCGACACCGGCGCCACGCGCTTGCGCCGCGGCTTCATGCTCGCCACCTCGAACACCACCTCCGACCGCTGCACGCACACCGTGCCCGTCCCCCAACACAACACCGATTCAAATGATTATGACGACCTGGCCAGCCACCGCCCGGGTGCAGCTTCACACACACGCACACACGCACGCACGCACGCGCGCCGACACACACGCACATACTTATAGTTATTTACTTGTTTATACAAGAGTTTCATCATAAAAAGGTTTTTGAATATGCTTAAATTTAAGTTTACTTGAATAAAAATAATTTCCTCCTTTCTTAAATACGATGTAGTAAATAAAAACCCTCCGTGAAAAAATTCCAAATAACAGTGAAACTTATATCACAATCAGTTTATAATTTACGACATGTAAAAAAACAAATATTAAAATCAGTAACTTATTTCCATGTTCATTACATTCTTATTAAGTCCAGAAATAATTTCAACTTTTTTTTATAACATAAATATTGTTAAGAACTGCACTTACCCCCGATTCGGTCCACCTTCCGTCCATCCTAGAGTTCCACTCGCCCTGCGCGGTGTAGTACGCCTTCTTGTCACTTCCGGCGTACACTTCGCACGTCACGCGGTGTTTCTTGCCACCGTAGAACGGTTTAGTGAGAAATTCTATATTCGCCTTGTGGCCAGTTTGTACACATTCGATCACAACTGAACCGCCGAGTTCTATCCACGGAACTGTTAGTATTGATCTGGAAAAATGAAATAAAAAGTTAACGTGTTACCCTAAATTTCTAATTTCTTTTTCGTTTACGCCTGTTGAGGCACCAATGAGGAATAACAGGCGAGTATGAAATTAGATCAATTGATCCCTGTATTGGATTCATTAGGAATTAACTAAGATGGCTTCCAGAAGTGACTACGTAGAAAACCCTAATGGTTGTGAAGGCTCTTTTAATGGAAAGTGACAAAAATCGCCAATAGACATATACAGCACCATGATACCCATCATACACTACCCATTTTTTTTTATACAACTGAGATTGGCAAACAAGTTGATAGCCCACTTGATGGAAAGTGGTAACCGTCGCCTAAAGACATGAGCAGTACCATGGACATAAGAGAGTATACTGTTTCGCCCATGATATCCCCCATGCGTTGCCATTCCTGAGGACTCAGGTGTTATTCCTCCGTACCCAGTAAATTCACGCCATATCTCACCCTTCAAATGGAAACACAGCCATGCAAACACAACTGCTTTACGGTTGAAACACGAATGGGACAGAGGTGCCCAGGTAATCGACTTTTGTACAAAGCCTCCCTCCCTCCTACACATTCTTTAGGTGTTATACCTTCGTACAGAAAAAAATTCTGTTTAGAGTTTCCAACTTTACCTGCCGTATCCATTGGGGAAGGTGAGCGTATACTCCTCGCCAAGGTCCAGGAGTGTGACCGTGCCGCGTCCTATATTGTGAACACCGATGGACAAGCCCAGAAACTTGCTCTTGGTCCACACCCACGCCTCGAATTGTATACGCTTGTTGACGTGCTCCGCGTAGAAAGCAGAAATAGGCGGATGGTGGGACACTTGTTCGGCTACGAACGACAACTGGTCCGGTGTACACCACGGCACCGGTCCGTCGCCGACCTCCTGCTGGGGAATTTATTTATTTAAATAACTTTATCGACTAAAATAAAATAAGGTATAAAAGGCGAACCTAAAACTAGTAGCATTCGCTACTAGTCAAGTTTTGCGATGAACAGAAAATCACAAACGCGGTACATCATTATTGGAATAGGTAAAGAAAATAATAACTAATAATGTATACTTATACAAAATAAATAAAACATACATAAAATATAAAGGAATATGCATATATGTATAATGTAATTATGTGTTTTTCTGGCAATATATATTTTCTATTCTGTTCTAAAAATATACCTGTGTACTAAATTTTGTTTAAACCTTTAAGCGTGATAAGGTTAACACAATCGAATATATTTTTTATTTTATAGTATCATTCTGATAAGGTGTCATTAACAACAAAAGTAAAAGAACCAGAGAGATTACATAAAGGAATTGATGAGGTTGTTTCTCTCTGGCCGCCTATGCAGTTACATGAAAAGGTTTACTGGCAAAAATCTCTTATTAGTTATAAGCTAGCCTTCGTTTGTTATGATTAAAATTGAATGTTTTTTATTAATATGTTTGTATATAAATAATGAAAAATAGATATACATGTTGATATATTAATTTACAACATTTTAATATTTTCAGATTAAGTCCAATGTTAACGTCGCTTTGCAAATAGAATTTTTCAAAAAGTTATGTATGAAATCATCATCTCAGCCATGTATCTGTCCATCACTGAACACAGGCCCTCCCCATATATCGCCATAGGGAACGGTCCTGAGCCTCCAAATGTCTGTATATCCACTACAAATCTTTCAAAATTATTTTTAAGAACTTTTTTTTCATTGGGACTTATTAAATTAATCAGAATTAGTATATAGTTCTTCTCTGTGATTCTATATTCATATTTGAATCGTAGCGTCCTTGTCCAATAAGTCGAACTCGCATTTGTCCGGTCTCCTTACCTTCTCAGTACTAGCAGTGTGCGCCTCCGCGCCGTCCAAGTCCCAGTGGCAGCGGAACACCTCGCCCAGTATAGGGTTGTACGGTTTCTTGGCGACTTGCGACTTGCGACCCGCGTGGTACGAGCTGAGGTACCATCTCACCACCTGTATCATGCGGTCGCGGGGCGTCGGCATGTCCACTATCCTGAAATATTTTTAGTGAATTTAAAAATTAGTTTTGTTTTCCATAAACTGTAAGACTTTACCAGAGGGAGACTGTATGAAAGTCGATTGCTTGGGTAGCTCTGTCCCATTCGTGTTTCTACCGTGAAGCAGTTGTGTTTGCATGGCTGTGTTTCGGTTTGAAGGGTGGGATATGGCGTGAATTTACAGGGTACAGAGGAATAACATCTGAGTCCTCAGTAATGGCAACGCATGGGGGGTATCATGGGCGAAACAGGCGACGGTTACCATTTTCCATCAGGTGGGCCGTCAGCTTGTTTGCCATTCTAAGTCGTATAAAAAAAAAGTAAGAACAGTCCAAAGGTCCAATATTTATAAATGTTTTATGTTTACAAATGCAATCATCATCTTCTTACCCTTATCCCAATTATTATTTGGGGTCAGCGTAATATGGTTTTATCCATATTACTAAAGGATTTGGCTTATAGTTTTACGACCTAGCGCCTGCCTGACGTCAACCCTCTTTGGGAAATGCATCATTACAAATGCAATAAAGAATCTATTTATTATTATATCAGACGTTGTCTGTCCATTGCTGAACACAGACCTTCTCCACAGACTGCCTTAAAGAACGCAGTCGTTCCTTATAGCAATTTATCATTGGTGGTATTTTATCAATAGCTGTCACGCTTGGCAGGCAGGTTGGCAACCGCAGTTAGGTTTTGGTGATGTTCTAAGAAAGACGCTGCAGCCCATCCGTCAACCATTAAAATTTCTTAGTCGCCTCTTACGACACCCACGGAAAAGGTAGGGGTGGCCTATTCTATGCCGGGACCACTCGGCAAAGAATATATAATATTGAAAAATATATAAACTTCGTGTGTAGCAAAAATTCAATGCGTCACAACTTTATTTTATTCCTAGGATATTGTATAATGAAAAGGAAAACTCAAAATCAAACGGTCTACATAGCGAGGTATTCCTAAGTCAACATCATCTCTTGTGGGGGAAAGGGATTGTTAGCTATGGAATTTGACAGCCCCATTGCTAGCAATATGCCCTATTACGTCGACTTCCACGTGGTTCCTCTTGGAAACCATCATGAACAATTCTTGTTGAATTCGTCACGATGGGCTAACTGACCTACTTCATCCTCACCTATCATCCTTCACTGGTGCCCCGCCAGTGTATACCGATAGCGCGGACGGGGTTACCATTCCATTATCAGACATAAAAAAAACATTGTTCCTTTAGTTTTAAACATGAATTATATCACTTTGATTTATTTCACCAATAAAAAAAAAAATCATACAAAGAAGGATTAAACAATGAAATATCTGACTGTGCACTTACTTTACAAACTGGTCAGGGTGTGCGAAGGAGTCCGCGTACATTTCTAGGAGTGATCGCCTCTCGAGGATAAATGTTGGCAGCACAACCTGCGGTGTACAAGCACCACTATGTAGTAGTGATTTCTAAAGTGGATTCTACGGAACCCAGGGGCTTCTTTAGGAAACTCATCAGGGTTCCGCGAAATAATGTTTGGTTGTTATTAATATTAAATTAATTGCAAATATTATTCTGAAATAGCGCAAAATATGTAACGAGAAGAGTTCATTATTTCTAATAAAATATTTTGTTCTTATTTAAACTACAGCGTCTTTGATTACTAAAATCAATTTGACGCGGATAGATTTTTTTATGGGATTTCATATAATAAAAGATATTTGGTGGGTGTTCCGTTATCTTAAAAGTTTAGGAATCGTTGCTCGAAACAGTATACTCTGTTATGTCCATGGTACTGCTCACGTCTATAGGCGACGGTTACCACTTTCCATCAGGTGGGCCATCAGCTTGTTTGCCATTCTAAGTTGTATAAAAAAAAAAGAAAAAAAAGAGCACTTTTACGTAATATTTTTACTATATAATAAACTAGTTTTCTCGCGACTTCGCCCGCGTGACCGCGATGTATTAATTGATCAGGATAAAACGTAGCCTATATCCTTCTCCGTCCTATATAGTACAAGTACATGAAATTTCATAGTGATTAGTAGTTGAGGTGGTAAAAAGTAATAAACAAATTTACATTTATAAGATAAGGGTAAATATTTCTTTTAAATAAGTCTAAACAAATAAATTTGTGTATAAAAAAAAACTACGTCTGTTTCTTTTGGTGAGTCTAAATAAACAAATGTGTTAGCTAATAACCAAGTATTATGGATATAGAAGAAAAAAAAAGCCTAATAACCTACATAATAGAACGTGTAAAGTGTACGGTGTCCCAACACGCGACAGTTTGCGAAGCCATTAAGTGAACTTATACGGGAGCTCTCTAAGGAGCAATAGAGTTTGCCCTTAGGTTGAAGGTCACGAGCGACATTGCACGGAGTCCTATTACTTATCACTTTAACATTAGATACGGCGGTATCGTAAGAACGCTTTAAAATATATATATAGGCTCAAGTAGTTACCACTTATATATATATATATATATATATATACAACCTAAATTGGATTTAATTTTTAATTAAAAATAACTGGTTTCCTTACAGTTGGTTTTTATTTGTTTTTTTTATACCACTGAGGTGGCAAGGAAGCATACGTCTCACCTAACGGTAAGCGGTTACCGTAGCTTATGAACGCCTGCAATACTAGGAGTATTACACGCGCGTTGCCGACCTTGAAGAACACCCCCCCCCCCCCCTCCTTTGAAGAACGCCATGCTGTAGTCTCTTGGAAAAACTTCGACAGGGAGTTCATTCCATAACCTGAGCGTCTGTTTGTTTTTTTTTTTGTGAAACACAATCTTAGTTATAATTTATATTATATCTTATCTTAAACTATATATAATATTAGACAATGTATGAGTGCTGACCTTTGTGAGATCCATTCCGATCTTGACCTGCGACAGGAGGTGGGTGACGACCGAGCCGTGGTTCTCCATCGAGCCCAGGTCACTGTCCGACTCATCTTCATACAGAGCTGTAATCAATATACATGTATGTAATCTAACAAACAAAATTAGCGTTGTGATTGATTCATTGTTGAATTTGTCGCGTTGGGCCAACTGATATGCTTCAATTTCACTTACCACCCCTAACTGGTGTCCCGCCAGTGTATACCGATAGCGTAGACGGGGTTACCATTCCATTATCATCCATTAAAAAAAAACCGACTGATTTTAAACCAAATTTCGTGAATTTGTATGGTGGATTTTAGCTTGAAAGGTATTTTAGTTTTGGTACTGATATGTAGCGTTGTTGTCGATATTTTGCACTTTTGCAAAGTTGAGGGTTATATTTTTTTTTAATGGGTGATGATGGAATAGTAACCCCGTCTGCGCTATCGGTATACGCTGGTGGGGCACCAGTAAGAGATGATAGATGAGAATGAAAAGACAGATTACTTAGCTCATCGTGTTGAATACACTTGGAAATCAGCACGATGGTTTCCAGGGGGACCACGTGGAGGTCGACCTGTTTGGGTATATTGCCAGCAATGGGGTCCTTAGTCTCCATTATTAATAATCCCTCCCCCCCTGAGGGCTATTTTTTTTAATGGGTGGTAATCGAATGGTAACCCCGCCTGCGCTATCGGTATACGCTGGCAGGGCACCAGTGATAGATGACAGGTGAGGATGAAAGCAGGTCAGTTAGCCCATCGTGACGAATTTCACAAGAATTAACCACGATGGTTTCCAGGGAGAACCACGTGGAGGTCGACCTGATTGAGGGCTATATTATAATAGTATACACAAGACGGCCAGCTTTCTAGTCAGGGCATATTGTATGCTAATGTCGCGTGTCACCTGTTACGTACGAGCGCAGCGTGAATCACGACAGCGGGCGAACGTGAATAGAATGGTACACTCTACGTAGATATAAATTACATGTGACGATGCAATATTCAATTTGCGTGCATTCATACGTTTTGATATACGTTAACATCGCGATTTTAGATTTGAAATTTATTTATTTATTACATCCACTGGGTGAGCCTTACAGTCTTCCAATACGCTCACCCAGGAATCTGAATAGAACCAATTTTTTTTATCACAAAGGTGGTATACAAGTATACAGCCCGTCTGATGGTAAATGATCACCGTAGCCTATGGACGCCAGCTACACTACGGGTTTTTTTTATGGGTAAAAATGGTATAGTAACCCCGCCTACGCTAACGGGATACGCTGGCGGAGCACCAGTGAAGGGTGGTAGATGAGAATGAAAACAGGCCAGTTAGCTCATCATGATGAATTCATCAGGAATTAACCATGATAGTTTCCAGGGAGAACCGCGAGGAGGTCGACCTGGTTGGGTATATTGCTAGCAATAGGATTCTCAGTCTCCAAGAGATTGTTAGCTCTTTCTCCCCGCTACACTAGGGGTGTCACCTGCGTGTTGCTGATCCTAAAGGAACTTCAATATATATCTAATTAAATATTTCTTTCTTTAAATTGATCCGATTTACTTCACTGTTACCCAATTACAAACTTGGGTCGGTTTTCATTACGTTTTACCATTTACCTAATCATTACGTTGGTCGTATGGTCTCAGTATAGAATAGGCCACCCCTTCCTTTGCCGTGATTGTCGTAAGAGATCACTAAGGGAATTTAATTGTCATGGGATGGGCAAGAGTGACCCTCTTAATCTTACTAAAGCCTAACTGCGTTTGCCAACTTGCCTGCCAAGCTTGGCAACTACTGGCAGCCATTATGGGGGAGGCCTATGTTCAACAGTGGACAGTTAACGGCTGATATGATTATGATGACGTAAGATTGGTCTCCCCCAAAAAGGGGGGTGGCAGTAGTTGTAACGCTTGGCACGCGGGTTGGTAACCGCAGTTGGGCTTTTGTGATCTGGATATGATGACGTACCAATTTCCATTATTAAAGAAAACATAGAATTTTTGGCAGAACCACTTGCTCATCTTTACAATATATGTTTGGAGGAAGGTATTTTTCCGGAACAGTTGAAAATAGACCGTGTGATACCAATTTATAAAAAGAAATCCAAGCTTGACCCCAAAAATTACAGACAATCTCATTACTGCCAACACTTTTTAAAATATTTTAAACATTAATAAAATCTAGAATTCTTAAGCATATAGCTGAAAATAACATACTTAATAAAAGACAGTTTGGATATCAGAATGGCATAAGTACGGCGGATGCGATGGGAACTCTTAAAAATGACGTTCTAAATAAATTTTTCAGCTTTTGATACAGTTGATGTTTTAAGAGGGAAGCTGCTGCCCATCCTATAACCATTATATTTCCTTTAATCGTCTTTTCGACACCCACGGGAAAGAAGGGGGTGGCCAATTCTATAACGGGACCACGCGGTTGAATGACAGATTTAAATAGAAAAGAAATTACAAAATATGAAGGCATTTTTATGCTTAGCTCTCAAAAATGGCAACCTTTACTACAATGGGCGACAGAGCATTTTGTGAATAAAACCGGTTTAGGATTGGCGAAAATACTAAACATACTAAAAAATACAGACGAATTAAGAAAGTCTTTCTCTTGAAAGCCTTTTAAAAATGCTTCACCTTATACAAGTAAAACAGCATTCAGGTGAACAAACAATGTACACCATGTTACTAGAAACTGTTTGCACTTGTTCCGGTGTTTGTAATACTATCCGTTTTTATGGGACACGGGGGCTTGTTTGCCGTTCAATTGATGGCAATCAAGTGCAGTCCATAGAAAGTACTAAATCAAACGAATTGAGAGTAGGTATGTTTGCACGGAATGTAAGGTATATATCTAAGTGTTCCTATATAGTAAAGTTACATTTTTAATAGAGGGTGAACCTAAATTTTCATTTATTCCTATTAGCCGTCCACTGTCCACTAGGGAACATAGGTCTCCCCCAAAATGACGGGTTTGCCAGTAGTTGCCACGCTTGGCAGGAGGATTGGCAACTGCAGTTCTCCCTCGATCATTAAGTTCCCTTAGTCACCTCTTACGACACTAACGGTAAAGGAAGAAACGGCTCATTCTATATAGGGACCACACGGGAATAGAATCTAAATTATTAGCATTAATTTAAGAGACTGTTCTTTTTCTTTACAAAGAAAGAATTCTTTACAAAAAGAAAAAAAAAGAATTGAAAAACGATAAAATTACTTGAAACGATTATTTTTTAGTTTATATTGATGTTTATAGAAATAGTTTATGACTTGACAAGTTGTGAAAAAATAAACAGACGTAATGTAAAAAGTCACTAAAATTCAACTGTTACATTTTCCAATTTTTGGCAGTTTATATTCGCTATGTGTATTTTAATTTATATTACCGTCATCATCATCAGCTCAGTAATTATCTGTCCACTGCTGAACATAGGCCTCCCTCATAGTCTACCATAAGGAACAGTCCTGAGCTGTCTACACCCACTGACTCCCTACAAAGAATTTGAGATCGTCACTCCATCTAGCACGAGGTCGTCTTACACTATCGCCATGTAGCCTATAAAACTTAGAGGCATAAAATTGGTTAATTCGGAGACACGTACACTCAATTCTGGCTTTGTTGGCAGTTGTTTAAAAACTATAATTATAATACTGTTTAGGCAGTGGACTCACCATCGTAATCGATCTCTCCGTCCCTGGTGCGGGGCAAGTCGACAGCGGGCTGCGCCGAGTCTTGCTCTGGCGCACCCTCCGCCGGGCACGTGCGGCTCGCGCTGCGAACAAGCGAACAAACGTTATGGTATACAGAATAATATAATCTTTAGAAGATAGTATAAAATAAAATAATCTTTGCCGTGTGGTCCCGGCATAGAATAAGTCACCCCATTCTTTCCCGTGGGGGTCGTAAGAATCGACTAAGGGAGAGCGAGGGATGGACAGCAGCGTCCCTCTTAAAACATCTCTAAAGTCTAACTGCGGTAGCCAACCCGCCTGCCAAGCGTGGCAACTACTGGCAAAACAACCCAAAGGGGAGGCTTATGTCCAGCAGTGGACAGTTAAAGGCTGATACGATGATGATGTAAATAATCTTTATTGTAATACTTTTGAATTGTCGTTTCTACATTCCAATGCTGTGTTTTGTAGGCGAAAGTCAATGTTTCTCAGCAGACCGTTGTTTGTTTTATTTTTGGATTATCACTTTTCTACATTTTATATTTATTTATTAATTCTTTATTGCGTCATAAAACTTTGTACAAGTGGTAAATGGCTTAATGCCATATGGCATTCTTTTATCAGCTAATCATTAGGTAGAAATAGAAAGCGTATGAAGGACAGAAGTGGTAAAAAATATGTGACATTTATTGGAGCATAGTAAAGTAATTATACATAATTCATAAGGAATACACATATAGTACCTAAACATTACTTTTAATATATATGATATACATATATGTATTTATATATACACAAACACATTAAAATAAGAATAAGCATTATGAGATATAGTGACTATTGATTAATTTGTAGCTAGAGCTAGCTGGTCTTGTTGACTCAACAAATAATTGTAATGCATTAGTAATAATAATAAATTCTGTTGCTACGTTGTTAATGTTGTTATTTGCGTAGAAACATTGATTTTTGAATTGTCTTTTTTCTATATTTCATGGCTAAGTTCAGAATGTTGTTGTCTATCGAGAAACATTGACTATCGGATTGTGGCTTTTCTATATAGTTCCTGGATTCTAAATTTTAAAATGTTGCTGTCTTATGAGAAACATTTAGAACTATCATCACTTTCATCACCTATTTGATGATAGAGTAGGTGATCTAGCCCATAAAGGAACAGCAATAATTTTTATCATTAATTTATTATGAGTAAGAAACAAAAAAGCGATATTGCTTTTTTGTTTGCTAAGTCGGTTAAATGCTAATAATACAGTTAAAAAAAACAATAAATAATTAGACGTATGCATTCAGCAATTTATAATTTGTTTTAGCGAATAATTACCAGACAAGGTCAGTTGAAAAGAAGTCAAGGTATTATTGACTTTGAAGAAACGTTACAAAAAGGGTATATGGATAAATATGTACTATTATAGTTTTTTTTTATTTATATAATAAGTAATTTCTGTCGCTATCTTTGAGGCGACAAATTTCTAATCTTTTTGTATTTATATTTGTACAATTGTTTTTTCTTTTTTTTTTAAATATGTACTGGTACTACACTAGTAGTCTTCGTAACATCGCCGTGGTGTTACGTACGAAATAAATTTGTAACGAGTAGGTACAATTTGGTATGCAAAAACAAAACAATGATAACAATCATAACAAAATACACTGATGAATAACGAGATATACTGCCTTCGCTTCCTGTTTTAACCTAATGGTTAGTTGGTAGAAATTGCCATATGGTATTAAGTTCGCCATTTGTATATTGTGCAATAAAGAATACATAAATAATTATAAAGAAATCTTAGATTGAAAATATTTAAATTTAGAACGGTGAATCTATTATTTGATCGCGTTCTAGATTCAAATAATTTATTCAAATATATTGCATAATCCTGGCTGTCAAGTATGACAGCTACTAGTAAAACCTGGAAGTTCAGCAGAGTGCAGGAAACAGCTGGTATGATGGTGATTCAAATATACGTAAGCAATATTAACAAACAAGTAAATATTTAACTACATGTTACTTTGTACTAAGCAATTTGCTCCACAAAGAAAAACGGCTTCCATTATTGTCTAGTGGCATCTAACGATTCGCTCGATCGATTGTTTCTAATCGAACTATTTAGATTTGCCAGTACACATTGTAAAATACACAGTTTCATTATGCTGAGTTGGGACCTACGTTGATTGTTATTGGTAAACTTAGTTTTTATTTAATTATACCTTATAATTCACCAGTGTACAGATATGTTTTTTTTTTCCGATTATAAATCAAATAAGTTTTTTTTTTCTATTGTAATAACAAGAATTCACTTAGCAGCCAATACGTTTTGGTCGTTCAATTTAGATTGCAATATTAGTGAACCGAATGGGATTCAGAAACTCAGATTTCGCTTTTTTTCCAACAAAAGTTGAATTTTACAAGTTTGTGAATAATAATCATCATCATCATCATATCAGCTCTTAACTGTCCACTGTTGAATATAGATCTTCCCCCATAAGGGAGGTTTTACTAGTAGTTGTCGCGCTTGGCAAGCGAATTGGTAATTAAAGGTAGGCTTTCGACCAGAGGGAGACTTTGTACAAAAGTCGATTGCTTGGGTACCTCTGTCCCATTCGTGTTACAACCGTGAAGCAGTTGTGTTTGCATGGCTGTGTTTCGGTTTGAAGGGTGGGATATGGTGTGAATTTACTGGGTACAGAGGAATAACACATTAATCCTCAGGAATGGCAACGCATGGGCGAAACAGTATACTCTGTTATGTCCATGGTACTGCTCATGTCTATAGGCGACGGTTACCACTTTCCATTAGGTGGACCGTCAGCTTGTTTGCCATTCTCAGTTGTATAAAAAAAAGGCTTTAGTGATGTTTTAACAGGGCTGCTGCTGTGCATGCTTCGATCATTAAGTTCCCTTAGTAGCTTCTTAGACATCCATGGTAAAGGAATGGATGGCCTATTCTATGATGGAATCACATGGCGAAACAATGATGCTGAACATAAAAATTCAGATATTAAATATAAAATTAGAATTATCCTGATGCCATTAAGAGACTACCGACTAAACCGTCTTTCAAAAAAAGCGTTCACGCTCACTTTTTTACTTTATCCGAGCAGTAAGTGCTTTATATTATTCTCAATTTCGTGTATAATATAGTATATATCATATATGTGTAAGTATATTTGTTATTCATATATATTTATTCGTTTATATATGTAATTTTAGTATGTATGTATATCAATAATTAGTAGTACCGCATTCGAGTATTCTGACACTTCCCTATGGTTGACTGGGAGAGAATGCTTTTAGTATTAAATCCGCCATGTACACATATTTGTACTAATGAATAAATAAATAAATAATGTATTAACTTATTTATTTATTGATTATTTAATATAGTGGACCGTATGTTACGTCGTAGGGGTGTTACGATCATTATTTCTCATCGTTACGCATGGTAAATTGGACATTTCGAACCGCGAAAGCCTTCACCAAATCTCAAGGCCGCCTCCATATTCACAATACTATGCGACTTCGTTCACGTGACCGGGATATGTTTACCGATTGGGATAAATAAGGATCAAAATTAGCTTATTTCCATCTCCATTCCATTTTCATTTAATTTTTTTTTAATGGATGACAATGGATTGGTAACCCCGCCCGCGCTATTGGTATACACCGACGAGGCACCAGTGGAAGATGATAGATGAGAATGAATGCAGGTTAGTTGGCCCACCATGATGAGTTCGACAAGAATTAAACATGATGGTTTTCAGGGGGAACCGCGTGGAAGTCAACCTGAGAGTGTATATTGTCAGTAATGGGACTATTAGACCCCATAACTAACAATACCTTTCCCCCCTTATTTAAGTATTTGTATACCAAAGTTCATAGCGATTGCTTGAGCCGTTAAGGTTTTAAAAGGTAACAAACAAACACATTCACATTTATAATATTAGTATTTAAGGATTATAAAAGTAGATACACTGCCGGTCATAAGTTTAAGACCACTATAAAAAATATAAGAAAACAAAAGTCAACATATGTATTTAAAACTTTATGAAAAACAGGTTTTACTTTAATGTTACACACAAGATTTGAAATTCAAAAATTACATGAAATCTTGACGAATACAATGTTCACAAAAGAAAACACAGAAAAGAGAGTTTAGAGAGATTTTCTATCAAAATATCCTTCTTTGCTTTTTACACGGGATACACATTTTATCTTAACACATACACAGCCATAAGAATAGTGTTGAATAAATTATTAAAGAAACATTTGTATTAGGGCAACTAGAAAATTGGTAAAAAAAATATAAAATAGAAAGTACATTAAAATTAAGAATGCACTCGAATAAATCGATATATGTAAACGTCTCACCTTGGCATTGTAGGGCTGTCAACTTAAAGGTAACGTGGTGAGAAAGGACCTTGGAAATACGACCGGTGAACTACTTACTATGCATAGTTCTATGCTATAAATTTAAAATTAAAAGTTTGAAAGAAGCAACGAAGTCTTTGTGTTTGCGAGTATTTTGCGTTTTTATACTGCTTACCACAATTAGATAATTTTCATTTAATGATGAAAAAATAATGTATGATTTTGTTTTATAAAAAATCTACTTGATTTTGATAAATATACCTAGTATATACGGAACCAAAAGAAAACCATGTTTAAAAATGTTAAGTATGAAAATGGATGGATGTAAAGAAAGGGAACGACCGAAGAAAAGGTGAATGGAGTGCGTGTAAAATGATATGCTTAAACAAGAAGTGAGCCCGGAAGTAACAGTTGATAGGGATTTATGGAGAAGAAGACATACTGCGCCGACTAAAAATAAATGAGAAAATGTAAGGTAATGATAATGATACAAAACCAACAGGGAATAAATTATTTAGACAAAAAAATTAATAATTAAAAATCGATTCAGAATAGGCGATGTACTGACGATATCGCGTAACATACATTTAAAATAGACAATCGTAAATAACACAATCGAATCGAGAACTTTCTTTTTGTAAACTGTTGAAAAATATATAACTATTTATTTTTTTATAGATTAATTGTGATATTTGTGCCAACCATAGTTGGTGGGAA